ATGTATTGTAAACCATTGGTTTCAGTTGTTTCATATATTACTTAATAAGAATTGATTAAAAATAGATGTTCAGCCACAATACGCATGCATTGACAAATTTTTAACATTTTCCCTGCTGAGAATGGAAGCCAAAAAGAAGAGTTATCTATGTGACTCAACCGCTCATAGACTTGGTGCGCGTTTCATGATGAATATCAATTTTTATGACCCATGTGAAATGGATGTCCATGTAGAATAGCATGGTTTTGCTGTATTTTGCGTTTTTGTACCTCCAATTTATTATTAATCATACACAGAAATAGCTTTGAAAATTCTCATTAGAGCTGATCATAATGAAACTAGAATCTTAAATCTTTGCGTTTACCAAAACCATAAGTTATATTAACATGGTTTGCCCAATGCTGAACCATGAAACTGAACAAGCTACTTTTCATTTATCGATGGATCCGATTCTCTTGAGAATTCATCGACAAACTCATTCTGTATCGTAGCAAACGCGATTTGGACATTTGAAGAGCGCTTCGAACATGTTTCAAACGAGATCGGTATTTAATATTTATATTGCGGTACGCGGCGTTATAATTGACTCTCTGAAACGTCGCTCTCGTTCGTGGGGAAGCACCGACCGGTGCGTCGATCGATGAAATGAATTTGTTATGTATCGTCAATGAGGCGATGATTAGGTACGGAAATATAAGTTACAATACATACATTAACTAAATAAGTGCAGATACAGAGTGGCCCCAAGAAAAAAAAATGATCTCCCCTCCATAACGTAATCTCAATAGTTTAATTTCATAAAAACATTCTCATAAAATTCCTAACATCCTGAACACTGAGATTACACAAACGCTGGGATGGCATACCAATGTAGACCTCATGGCCAAAAATCCATTTGAACTTGAATATTTTTCTCTTACTAGCAATAGATTGGCAATTATTGATTCTAGAAAATTTTGCCGCATTGGAAAGATCGCCGTATGAAAAATTGCCCCATTTAAATAAGATTTGTTATTTAAGAACATACCCTAACCTTATAAATCTAACTGTTTTATCACAAATACTTCTTTTACAGCAAAATACTTTTGCGATTTTTCCTATGCGACGAAATTTCCTGCAACGAGATTTCATACGGTGAATTTTCTGGACACGGGCATTATTTGAGGCTTGCATATTTTTTGATATTTTTGGCGATTCCACAATGCGACCTAAATTAGAAACAATCTTCTCTCGAACTTTGGTGGTTGTGTTTTAAAATTCGTGACCAAGAACAATATTGACACAAATATTGATAATGAAAAATGCTAGAAAAAAAATACATTTTTTTTGTATTTTTTCCATTTTAATTTTTTTTTTAATTTTATAAAGAAAACGTTTTTGAAGATGTTAAATGCACAAATTTGTCTTTTTTTTGTGCTCGTTACTCTTTGCAACACAGACTTTAACACCATAAAAAGGTATAAAATAGTCATATTTGATTTCACATACCTTATTGATACTTAATTGAAACGAAACATTTTGCTCAAGCTTCACTAATACAATGTTATTAGCACTAAAGCATAAGGTAGCAAATTGCCACGCAATATACTTCGTCATTTTTTGTATACCGAGTAAGGCCTATTGGAATTTAATCATGCACGATTTGGTCAAAGTCCCTGTTTACCCAGGTTGAACAACAATATTTATTTTGTTTACTTTCTTGCTCATCACACTCTATGATACGGTCTATGTATGGATATGTCGCGTGACGCTCTAAAGTTAGTTGAAGTCAAAAAAACAAAAGCTGTTTGGTGACAGGTAGGAGAAGGTTCTAATCGTCAATAATCCCAAGATTAGGAATGAAAATATTAGTTTCAAATACTAGAAATGGGCACTTGCATACCAAAAATAAAAATGTCACGGTGGAACTTTAATATTCATCGACCATGAGACTAGCGATAGGCACAAAAGTATTTGTTGCAAATAGTAAAAATGGGAATATACGAACTCAAAATGAAAATGTTATAAAATATAAATATACCATCCACTTTGATATTTATCGTGAGTATACGGCTTCGTTTGGTGATTTTTTTACAAATTATTTTTACAAATTATCAATGGCGCATATGAATTGGAATGAATAATCCATTTCTATTTATTGTTTTTCTTATTTTTATCAAAAGCAATCGTTTGTAAAACATGACATTATCTACGTGGGTGAAAAATATAAACACAATTAAATATTAATATTAGAGTCAGGTAATTGCTATATACAGGTATTTATCATATTATTTAGCTACAATAGGTGATCAAATAATCTTGATCGGTGGTTCGTGATTTTATATCAAATTCATAAGTTAAACAAAAGTGCTATGCTCAAATATATGGACACGGAGTAGTACCAGCATACAGTCTTTCTCAGTAGCCTACCGTACGTAGCCACAGTGTTCACGACTTCGCTCGACCTCAAGGTCGCTGTGCAAAGACGGAATCGCCACAAGGAGCGCTATTTTTTATTTATTTTGATGACGTCATCGCACACAAAAAACGAATCTTTCAGAGTCCACAGGTATTTTATAAATAAATGAAAGTAATAGCCTTCTAGCGAAAAATCTTCAACCACTGAATGTTTCAAAGCAATTGGTCCAGTAATTGAAGAGAAAAGCGATTTTTTAAAACGTTATAAGAAGAAAACGTCTAACAAGAACAAGAATAACAACAACAACATAACAAACGATAATATCGGTCGGAGACCGAAGACTTATCGATCGAAACTGCGATTTCGATTCATGACTCTATAGTGACTATCGTGACATCACTAATTAATTAATACCTCGCTAATTATACGACATAATTCATGCAAAATCAATAGGCTTCTGGTCCAAGATATGATGAATGCACATGCAAAATTTGAAGCAGATTCGACCTCGCCTTCGTGAGATATCGCGTTCATTTAACAGACAAACAAACGGACAGACAGACAAATACCTAACAACATACTTACCGATCTTAAGATCGATAAGTAACAAAGCGATCCATATCCCACTCCGTGTCCAATAATGATATCCAATATGAATTTTTTTTGATCGAACTAGATTCAACAAAAATTTTCAAAACATTAATAGCATTTCATGACAATGTATGAAAATTATAACTCTTTTAAATTCTTGATATTTTTATGAAAAACAAAAATGGCAATGAAGTCATAAATTTATTCAACGGACTCTTTAAAGTAGAAATACTTTATATTTTAGAAAAATAGAATTGTATGTTCAGATGAAAAATTTATTTGGTATGAAGCATGTATTAGTCTAGCAAGGTCTTTGTGTGTTGGCGAGAACATTCAGGCGACCGTGTTGATTGCGAAAACCGGAAGACGCAGGACGATTTGGTATGTGCAATTCAGTCCTCTACATATTTCTGTCAAAAAATAATACAGTATATATTAAAGACAAAATTTATATCAACATAGCGATCACTTGGGAATTTTTAAGGTTCAAACAGCGTTTTTGATAGGGGGAAGATACGCAAATGTAAACTTGGGATTTGATATTATATATGTGATTTAATAATATTTTTAATAAATTCTAAAAATGAATACATGGAGTACTGGTAAAAACGAACAAACATAATCGATTCGAAATGTGAAAACAAATGAATTTGAGGCAGAGAAGTAGTTAAAACACGTAACGCTAATAGACGGCATTTAACAAGCGGTTTACCTAGCAAGAATGGAAACGGGCAACTTGGCCAAAAGACCGACTTGACTAAACTTCTAGTAATAGTACAAAAAAAGTTTAAAACGGCTACCTGTTGCATTTAAGCAATATTTATTTTTTCGATTTCACCACTAAACCGCATGCGGTGAGAGTTACGAGCACCATACACCAACCAGTACAGCGTAAAAATGTAGTTGCTCCCGATCCAGATGCTTTTGCCTCCATGGACACGGGGCCGGCCCGAAAAGCCGAACCGACAGTATCTTTCTCTTTAATTGTAGCTCCTGGTTCCGATGCTTTTACCTCCGTGCCCCGTAAGGCCAAATCGGCGGTATCTTTCATCTCATATATTGATTTTAGCGAATTTATTCATACAAAATCTATAAACATCAAATGGTAATATTAAACGTCTGACGAAGTGATGTTTTGATTTTTGCTATTGTTGTAATCAGCTCGCGGGCAACACGCAATATCTGCTTATCTGGCAGCTGGGAAAATGAGCCAATTCCAGACAACGAATATTGGTCTGCTTAGATACATCATCTTATAAGTTATATCATGAAATGAATTTTTGACAATCCTAAATTGTACAATTTATATTTTTGACATCGACGATTTAACATATATCAGATGTTGTCGAAAAACACTCCACTGATCTTAACCTTGAGGTGGTTTGCTGAAAATCGTTTTACCCTGTTCTATGCTATGCTCGTATATATCACATATCTGTTGCATAAAAAAATCCACATGAACTAATTGCTAGTTTTTAAATATCATCACAACCTAACAAATCTGTCTTAATGAAGCCAAAATGCATTAGCTTCATCCAATCACACCTTAAATATAAACTGGAAAGCATATAAAGCTGTTTCTCTTTGTTACCATTAAAAGATACCATAAGCGCGCATACTGTCGCTAATGGAAACACCATATTGGGTGTATGAAATATTTGCGACTTCCTGCTAGCGACAATAGAAATTAAAATTTTGTATTTTGTAATACCATATAAAATTTTAAAAGAGTGTGCTTAGCAATGCTTACATTTCTGGTGACGTCGCACCCAAGGGGGCCAATATTAAAATTTACTTCACATATTAACTTTCGAGAACCCTTTCTGTACACAAATCTATTTTATAGCGCGCAATATCTTTTGAGGATTCAAATAAGATAACTCCTATTGTCAGCAGACAACACCTTGAAATGTTTTACTGCCTTTAACATATTCACTTTACAGTCATAAATCTTGTAAATACTAGAAACTTATATCAAATTTACAAAATGTGTTATTGTGTCGTGTATGCTTTTAATAAATCAAAATTCCAGTGTAATTCAAGTTTTATTGCATCGTATTGAATTATATCATGGGACCATAAATATTTGGAGAAGATAACTTGCAAACGTTCGCAGTCTATGATTTTTTATATTTGATATATTGATACATGACTTTTCATTTCAAAATAACCCTAAAAATTAAGGTACCCGAAGTATGTGAACCATGATGGCGGACACTCGAACCCTGTATGTGTACCAGGTTAAGGTTAGGTCATAATTTTATGCTAGTTTTTTGTATTTTAGTTCTATTACGAGTTCGAGGACTAGCCAAGTGATTCCCGTAGTATTTGTACCTGAAAGTATTGCCCAATCCTAACCTGGTACACATACTACGTTCCGGTTCCCACTATCTTGGTTCACATACTTCGGAAGCACCCAAAATTTAACTGACGGTTCGCGTTCACCAGGTATACTTCAAATGTTCAATCGAATAATATAACAATGAATACGTATTTTGAAACATCATTCAGTAATGCAATATTCTTCTCCCTGATTTGACGATGATTGTATTATACCGGCAGGAAGCAATATTGGTATGACATTTTGTATACGCACGAGGGCGCCAAATACAGGCATTTTTTCTACGAAATTGAACAAGCGGAATGATTTTTAAGATACTTATTCAGTATCTTACGGATTCCGTATAATTCAATGGCTCCGTGTTGTGAGCGTAGAATACAGACAACAAAATCGTATTTTTCAAATTCAGAGAATTTATTCGACAGCAGTGGCTTGTCATGTAAATTGAATGTCATCGCTTTGGGAGATTTTCAACAATAGAAGATTATATCGAAATCCAAATTCTAGACCATCTAACCTAAAATGTATTGTATAATAAGCACCAGTAAAGAGGAGGATGGGTGTATTTAAATCTGTATTTAAATAAAGTTATGACTAAATATAATGTTTAAACTTGCATTTTTTTTATTATGGCATTTTATGGGATTATTAGAGGAATTATTATACAATGCATCCAATAAAATGCAACAGTAATTTTATCGTCGTGTAAAATACCACAATTATGATATTATATCGTGAAGTCACAAACTTTCACTTCTATACTACTCATAAATATGTGCGAAAAACGTGAAATCTACCTATATTTATATGACAGCCAGAAATGTGTACGCGACTATTTATTCAAACATGTATTAACGTAATGCATTTTGAGCCACTTTGCATTGAAAGAAGTTTATATAGTACATATTACAGTATTTATGTAAATATTTCCACTATTAGATAACTAGCAACACGAGTTGGTTTCTGGATATCCGTATCGGTCCATTTCGCGAGAAAGTTGACACATTCCACATGGAAGGCAGAAAGTAGAGATGCAGCAATCATCACATATTGTACCCTGTAAAAAATTAGGAGTAAAGTTTCCAACTTCGTGTAATTGCTATATATAATACAAAATGTTATTCAAAGCAGCATTCGAATTCTTCTAAATAATAAATAAGCAATGCTCAAATATATGGACACTAAGTCTAGGACAAAATAGGGTACTCCCGTAGTATGTGAACCAAGATGGCGGACACCGGAACGGTTAGGATTTTTGAGAGAAATGAATGTCTCCTAGCGACAACAACAATCTTTTACCACTGAAATGTTTAAGCAATTGGTCCAGTAGTTAATGAGAAAAGCAATATTTTCACAACAAAAAGAATAATAATAACAAGAACACAATAACAAAATGATCCGTACAGCATTCCGTGTCCAATAAATATTTTAATGTTGTTTAGAGCAAGCAAGCAAATCTTTCTGTTCTGCTATGTAATCATCGCATCATGCATATGAAAATATGGAAAGTATATGAACGGATTGGAAGATTATTTTGTAATATGTGACATTGTAACATGAGAAAATTAATTTAGAGTAAATACAAAGTAAACAATAAAAAATGTTATCATGCTTATATGGAATATAATTATTTCGTTTTATTCTGTATCAATATTAATAATGTAAAATAGAAAAATTTATTTGAATGTCATATGGTCGATTTTAACTACCTCTATCAAGATAATTGGCAGTTCTGCAATTTAATTCAGGGTTATGCTGTAAGACTAGAGACTGGCGACTGCCTCTTTTAAAGAATATCAAATTTAACTTCAGTATACTTGAAAAAATTCAAAATTTGCGCGATTCGTTCACTACAAAAGTATACAAGGAAACGTTTTATTGAAAAGACCCGATTGACTCTAATCTCAAATAATAGCGGCCGTAAAATATCCCATACATTTATTTTCAACAAAAATAGGGTTTTTAAACTTGAAAAAGAGAGTTCGTGTTTTAAACAATGCTAAATTTGGAATCCGAACATCACAATGGTGCGTGCTGCCATTGTAATGCATTTTGTGTGACCTGCCATTCATTACGACGGGAATTTCCACTAACAGTATTATCCTAATAGTACTTGCCATTAAGAAAGATCGATATTCCTCACGGGAGTTACAAAGCGTTGATTTTAGGTCAGCTTAGGAATAACTTTGATTACATCATTAGCTTAGTGCGATTTCATGGACATTTATTATTTTCCAAGTAGAAACTATTAAAACCAGCATCAGCTTTGTATTTATTTGAAATTTTAACGCATATTATAAATAAATTTCTAGTTCATCATTTATATTTAAAAAAAAATTTTTTTCACTTTTCGCGAATAAAATATATGAAATAATATAAATGTTTTTTTCATGTTTGCCTCAATATTGCCTAACGGAGAATCAGGTCTTTTTAAAACATATCCACTACCTAACCTAGTGTGGAATGCAATTTAAATGGGTTAGTCTCGTCAAAAAAGGTTTTCTGATCATTTCATATACAATTAAGTGGTAGATTGTCCCAAACCTTGTCGAAAACAAGGTTAAATAACTTCTGAAATTTTGTTAGGAGAGTTCACAGAGCAAAAAATGTTTTGAGCAGCCACACCTGAATTCCGTGTTTATTTCTGAATGCCGATCTCATAGCTAAGTGACCTCCGGGAACACATCCAGCAGGATATCCACTGCAACCTACACAGCAGTTATCTCCCATACGTTTTGCAATGCATGCATAGAAACAATTTCCAAGCCATAGAGAACAGCAACCTGAGAATAAATAAATACTTGCTATTATATCTAAACAGACACATATGTAAGATGAACATGTGCTACATTTGGTATGACAGTATTTTCTTCGCAGCCGAGCGATATATAAATGGTCTAAACCCCTAATTATAGTTCTTTTAAAAGAATAAGGTTATTACATATTTTGCGACTTCTGCAATACGTTAGTAATCACCAAAATTTATATATTTCAGCAACAAAATTCATTATTCTTTGATATCAGTGGCTGCATGTCCCGAGCCTTGTTCATTACAGAAGCGCGTAACATATTTTAAAAGGCATTTTCAGCAGTCTATTTCGATTGTTGTAAGTGTTTAATACTCACAGGAGTCAAAAATATTTGTAATAGAACGATGATTTTTTAATGTGGGATTGAGATAAACCAGATTTAAGTATCACATTTATTTGTTTAGATTTGGGTTGAGTAAGAATTAAATAATGGAATTTCCTCCCTCTACAAACAAAATCTTAATCTGCAAATTTGAAAAGATAAGCCCGAGTGAATTGGACTATGGCTTACAACAGTGCTCCGCAAGCACTTTTTAACTTCACACTTATAAAACTTGCCAAATTCGACGGCACACCATAACCACAAACGAAAAAAAAATGTAATTTTGTTTTATGTTCATATTCCAATGAGAGATTTGTGGTTGTTTTAATGAGCACAATCGCTCTATATTAGAATCAATACGTGAAAGAGCAACTCGAATTTCGCTGTCAATATCTTTTATGCAGGATCGTTTATGATCAGTAATAAAGAGGAAAAGCTTTGTTCGCACATATACACGCATTCGCACAAAACTGGAGCAATATTTCAATAGCTGCATTAGAATGCGCTTATATTCTTCTTCTTTTAAAATCCAAAACACATCAAGTGGAATTTCGCTGAATTTCAGTCTTAGCGTTCTGTCATTTCTTACTTCGAAGAAATTTTCTCGAATACGCAGGAGTAATTCTTTCGTTGAAATTTCAGCACTAGTTGAGAAAGGATTTCGGATCCAGTCGTATCGTTGCGCACGTGCTATGTTTTAGTCTCGACAATGGACCTTTACCCGACCTTTGACCCCTAAAAATTATTTCTATACTTTACCATTGCAGAATTTTCGGGACTATTTTAGAAGTGCTTTCGCGAGTTGGCGCCTGTAAAATGGGGTATGTGTTTCAAATTACCATTATGATCCATCGCACACAATAATCTGTTTCTTAAAAGTACCGGTAAAGAATTTCCGCCAGCTGTATCTACACTAATTTTTTATTACTGCAATTAAATGAAAGTTCTTAGGAAGACAGAGTGATCTTTGAATTATCTGATTTATTTTTAAGTTTCTGAAACACAACTAAAAACTAACGAATAGAATTCAAAAATGCAAAATGAGGTAATATTTAAGAGCACGCTTGAAAATCTGCTGTCTGAGTGAAAAAAAGTGTCTGGACGTATGCGAAAAGGGAGCATTGTTACAACTCTCTTTGCATCTTGCTGATTGGCCAATGTCACGAAGTAAACAAGGAAGTCGATGCTCGGGGAAAGGTCCTTAGGCTTTACAATATATCTGCTCGACATATAGGTCTACTTCTTGTTACGTCACAAATGCACAGTGGGAGGAGTCCGGAATTTGTATTGGTGTCGCTCAAGCTAACGTGAAAGCAGGTCAACTATACGTTAGTAGACTAACGTAAAATTAACGAAGGATAAAAAAAAATTGTGAAAAAAGGGAAAAGTTGCAATTCCTGTTCGGCACACCTGGCATTGTATCGCGGCACACCGGTTACGGAGCACTGGCTTACAATAACATGATGAAATTGAACTAAAAAAGCGAAAGCATTAAGATTTTGAAGTGGACCAGACAAGTAAAAGACCCCCGGAAGTATGTGCACCATGATGGCGCACAACCTGAACATAGTATGTGTACCAGGTTAGTGTTTAGGCTGTGCGCCATCTTGGTGCACATACTTCGGGAGTACCCAAATAAATATATTATTGCAAAACTATTGTGCGTTAAAAAAGATTCCAGAGCTCACATCATAAATTTGTTTTACTGGTTTTGTCTGGTGTAAAGCTACACCAGACTTGCGTATTTCAAGAGAGTGATGCATTCTGACTGATGGTCAAACAAATATCCACAGAAGAAAACTGTTACATTCATTGCACTATGTAGATTTCCCAGCAACAGCATAGTAAAAGAGTGGGTAGGTTTTTTCACAAGTCCCAGCCAATAGCTTCAACCTACTGTTGATACTTACAGCTCTTGATATCGTCAAAGCAGTAACAGATGCCAGAACCCCATTCAATTTCAGTTGGCTGAGTTACAACAACCGTTGTTGTGGTCTCCATCGTAGGTGCTGGTTGAACTGCGACCACTGGCACGGGAGTGTACTAAAAACAAGAGAGCAAAGCTCAAATATATGAACACGAAGACCAAAACTAAATCAAATCATTTGAAGTACAGATAATCTTTCATGTCAAAAAACTCCACCGATCGCCAAATGAGACCAACACTCATATAAAACATATCATTTCGTAATAATATATAGATTCGAGACAAAAAAAATCATCGATCGAGACAAAACGGATACAAAATTATGCTCAAAGAAGTACCCATCGTCGTGGAGCAACGACTTGTAATGTCTCCAATATATTCTTCATATATCACCCAATGGAAGAGAGCAACTCGCGGCAAATGAAACGTTTTATTTTTTAAAGCGGGCCAATGATGCCTCACACTGCATTTGGAGTAACAAAGTAGTCCAATAAATAATTCAATAACGTATCCGGTAACTTGGTGTAATTTCGTTTTTTCGCGATTTAATGCAAAATTACTGCAAAGTTCTCAATTTTGGGACTTCGTTAGTTATCCACACCATCGAAATGACACGGTACCTTAAAATGCAATGTCTCTCATGATGGTGTTATTTGAAAGTTGCTGGTTCATATGGTCATGTACGAAAACAAACTATCATTATGTGACTTGTAAATTTTCTGGAATTGATAATGCCACGACCAAAATATGAACGCAAAAATATAAACTCCTGGTACGAACCATACATGAATAACCATTTAGCGTGTATTATGTATGAAACATTCTGAATCAACTGATACCAACAAAAAGTCATTTCTAAAATAGGCCGCATAATCAAATTTGATATATAGGGTGTTCATAAAGACTTCGATTTTTTTTAAATTGTAAGTGGAATATATCGTTACCGTATATTGTTTTGTCCCTCACGGATGTAATGAATGAAGTAAAAAATAAATAAACAATTACTGATTGAAAAACAACAAACCTATATATTGAGGACTGACTTCATAACAAAATATGAATATGAATATCTGTTGATTGTAATTGATTCGGAATATTTACTCAAAGCAATGTAGTCACGAGAACTCACTCAGAAATTGAATAGAATGATCCTGTGTGAAGCTACGCGCGACTACTAAACTACAATAATACGAATTATATTACGAATCAGAATGATATAATAAATGTTTATGCTAAAATGTTATTTTTTAATGAATTCTCTCTATATGTCTACAAAAGCCCTACAATCGGTCGACACATAAATCGGAATTCCGCATAGAAATATACCGAAAAGGGGGATGACCTAAATCAGGGGTGTGCAACGGGCGGCTTGCGGGTCACAACCCGGCACGGCAAGCCACTTATTTGTGGGTCTTTTCAACGCGCAGTCTATGTTATTCACGTAACGTTTATTTTTATCTTTTGATATTTTGACATCCATTGAAATTTTGAACTGACATTACAATTCTTTCGCGGTCTTTGCAGATTAAAATATCGATTTAGAACATCATCCTAGTTTTAACTATATATTTTTCATTTTTTTGACTGAATGAATAAATTTCTATTGTAACCGGATAAAATTATAGAAATGTGCAGAGTGGCTAATAGTACCAGTATAACCTTCAGTGGAACGGAACGCCTTGTAAAAATTATCGATTTCTCATTTTCCAGCTGGCGAAAAAGGAGTGATGTAATCTTTCATGTATATTTTATAAAGTCTGATATGGGATTCCAAAAATGCATTAATCTTATTCTTCTAAATTTTGGCTTCTCAAAAATAATTTATCAAAGTAGATTAAAGTTTCGAACAGAAGGAATAATTTTTAAATTTTGATTAGTCAAATCAAATAGGGATATCATTACCATTGTCTTTTCCACCACAATAACTTGTCCAATATTTTATTAACAATGAAGGTGTTGTGTTGCGGGCTAATTCATTCATAATTCATTATTATATTCTAGCTTTAACCCACACAGCAATTCTAACCAAACAAATATTCGACAACTTGTCTGATATGCAATTGTTTGAAGTTGGTTTGCAAAAGATATTTGGGGCCAAAGCTCAGAGCAGTTGAAGAGGGAACAATGATAGGCGCAAAATCTATCTGCCTAACTGTCTGTTTCAATGCAATGATTAATATAACCCGAAGCTAAAGTATTCACTGCAGCGTGCAGTTAAGTTTTATTCTGCAAAAACTGTAACACAAATTGAACCAAGACAAAAAAATTCTATTGCTCATATATGAGCTACTTTTTGTAAATAAAACTGGAACCGAACTTTCCCAAACAAACTGGTCAAATATCGATGATTTTGGCAAACCGAATGGTGTCATTTTGACCGATAAAAAATCCAAAACATTGACATATTACTTACACCAGTTTGCTGCATTGGTATTCCTTGTCCATCAGTCATCGTTTTGGTTAATTCTTTTTTTTTCAACTCTTAGCTACAATAGACCAATCAAACTACAAATAGAGAATTCAACGAAAAAAATGTTATAAAACTACTGATCAAGTATAATTTTTTGTCTTTATGCTATCCCAAATATTTGGCATTTTAGCATACTTGATCCCAAAGACATGGTTGGACGTTTAATTTCAAATGCAAAAACACTTATGTCAACATTTTCCATATACTTTTGATCCTAAAATTTGAAAATGATGCGAAGTCAGATAGTAAGGCAAGCAAAGCAATTTTTTTCATTGTCTAACTACATAAAACTTCAAAAACCAATAAAAACTTCTCATTTATTGATTTACTATGCGACCTAAGCTCAATCCATTATCCGGTATAAAAGAATTGAATTTCGAATTAAAACGTCGAAAATGTCAACAAACGAATATATTATTTCAATTCGAATTTTGACGCTATCCTGTCCAGTTTATTATTTTTCTGATCTGTCTTATCTTATACCCTTTATCTTAGACTAAGATAAGACCACATTTTGGCCCCCATGTTTCTTCGTTACTAATACTTTGGTAACCTAATTTATCTTAATCGAGCTTGAAGTTAACTGAATCAAAGAGACAGCTAACAAAATTATGAAATGATCGGATATTATTATTTCCTATATTAACATTTTGCAGATAAATGCGTCAGAATAGTTCCCTTATATATTGTTTATATACAAATGTCTAATCCGTGTCCTGCCAGTTCGAATAATATCCGAGTTATCACTCATCACCTTCAAACTGGAAACACAATACTCATCAATCTGCAAATTAGTTTGAAGGCGATAAAATTTACATACAATGACATTATTGACGCACATTGGAATGTCGTTGATAAGGTGTCAACAACAGATGTGAAATAGAATTATTCGATTGTACAACTAACTAGAGCATGAAATATTAAACATTAGACTTCCATTATATATCTGTTATAACTTCACATATATTGTAATAAACTGGACAAGCAATGCCGGATTGCAAAAATTTTAGTGCTAACAAATTTTAGCTTCTCGTCGCACATCGGTGAATATGTATAAGAAGCCGGGCGCTCCAGAAGTGTGTGTACCAATATGGAGGTAACTAATTTTGTTCGTCTAATTTACATCAAGTTGTATATAGGGACTGAATCCTATGTGCAGGGGGTAGATTAACTTGGTTAACACAGACAGTGCAGAACTCGTAATAGAACTAAAATATGGAAAAATGGGATTAAATTATGGCCTAACCCTAATCTGGGACACATACCACGAGCCTTGTTCAGTGCAAAAAACGTATGAAAAGTCATATAAAAATCTGCAAATTTACAGAATACGAACAGTACAAACAGCTTGTCATGGGCTTTATCGAAAATACTTCGTTATCCTGTATTCAACATTTTACAAATTCCAAATGACTGCTCTGTATAGCTGCATTCCACTTCTGTAAAATATCAATACTCTCTCACGCTGTAATAAAGGAGTGGTTTTAACGATCAACATTCCAACTGGAGTAAACCGGATTCTTATTTCTTTCCATTTATTTCTTCTTCTTTTTTCAAAATTCTTATGTGATAAGGTATCAGGAAACATTTCGCCGTGATTAATTATGTATGATGTCGAGATAAGCTTTACTTGGCAATGGCTCACGATAACGGTCAAAATATTTCTAAATAACTTTGATCAGGTTTGGGCTATAGATGCGTTTGAAATTTATAGCAAATCTATGCATGGCATGACTATAAATGTCCAGTATAAATTTTAAATCCAGCATGTACAAAAAAAAGTACTTTCAAATTGAAGTAAATTTGTTTCAAATTTGTATTAAAATATAATCAATTTTTGTCGTTTTCAGTAGACCAGTCTAAGCTGACATGATTGTACCGGCCGGCCGCGTATAAATATACGATTCCTGACGACCAATTTTTTCCACCCATTATATTCCCGCTTCCCGACATTTTTGTTTTGTTTAGGGATAATTTTAACAGGAAGAAAACACATCTCGCTTGCTTCACCAAAACTTTGATTGACATTCAACATCTTGAGAAGTCGGGATTTAAATAAGCGGTTCATGCGTCACAAACTTTTTGTGGTTCTGCGTATCGAGAAAACTATTTCATCTCTTTCCAACACGCGATTTAATCAAGCTTTGTTTATTCGATGTATCCCACGTAATAAGTAATACCATGACACAAAAATGACGATTATACCTTTGGTAATTCATAACAGTGTCATCTTGGATGTTAGCGATGGACATTGGGCAGATATCCTATATATATATATAGATATATGGGCCGAGATATGACAATAAACAGGACACCACATTAGTCAATTAAACCGATATAACAGGGGCGTGCAACTGTTAATCGCAATGAGCCAAAACTTAAAATCATGATACCACTGAAGGCCAAACCCTAGAACAGCCCTTTTTAATGGCATCATGGTAATGGCACGAAAGCCAAAACGAATTAGTATATGGTACGCAATCTGCCACAGTACCCTCGATACAGCCTGACCACCAAATCGCGAACGCCGAACCGCCACAAGTTGCGCATTTTTTTTTAATTTTGATTCCGTTATTGCACAGTAAACAAAACGAAAAAAACCAAAGGCTTATAGGCGACAGAAATTTTTAAAGTATGTAAAAGTGATGGCGAAATATACGATCTTGAATCAACTAAAAATTTCAAACTAATTGGTCCAGTAGGTAATAAGTAAAGCGATTTTTTGTAACAACAAGAACAAGAACAACAACAATATAATAATAACAAAACGTATTGTTTATCCATTTCGTGCCCACTAATGGTATACTAAGTATGCTAAAGGTCACGTAAATAAGTTACACATATGTTCCTGCTTTAGAATCAAACCAAGAGAATAAAATCCAACCAACGAGATAATTCAATGATTTGAATTGTAAGAATTGATCGCTTGATAAACTCTACTTTACTTCTACTCTAAGTTGGCTTCAAAACAAACCAAACTTAAAGTGAACGTTCCAATATCACGCAAATAATTTGAAAATATTTTGGACAAATTAGGATATTTATATTATTATTAAATCTATATTACACTTATGCTAAAAGAATTTTATGTCTATAAGATGCCACATAGATGTAGCGAGTGAAAAACCAGGCTAATCTTGTGTCACTTCACCTGTTCTTTGTTGTTTGCACTTATGGGTCAATTCAAATTTTGAGACGAACCGCGGGGTGTCGCCTTTGATCCACGCAAACAACGGGACAAGGTTGCAAAGTAAGATGAGCGAAATTACAGCGAAACTATGGAATGGATATGGAACTATTGGAATTTGAACGAGAATGAAAATGAGATAAGTGAATCGAACCGAACTACATTTTTTACAAAAAGTGTCAGATGTAAAACACCAACGGCTCAGAAGAAATAAAAATTGCAAAATGTTCCATTCCATTTCCTGTTTTTTCAGAAGAGGCAAAACTTGTTTTGAAAATGTGACGGTGATTAACCAAGGATCTCAACTGTTGACTCAAGAAATACTTTAAAACTACAAGCTAGCTAGGTGGAGTGAGGATCGCCAGGAGACATTTAATTTTCGCGAAAGATCGTGCTTAAATCAGATGAAAATTTCCATCAGCCTGAGTCGTAAGCTGAAGTCGGAATCAAACCTTTTTGACCCAGAGATGAGAGTCCATTGTAAATTATCACCGATTTCTTAGCCCTTGTGAACATCAATATCGGATTGATATACAAACGATTGTATATTTCAAATCGTTTTACAGACCTAGCACCGTATCTGTAGCATAAAGAAGAGAGCTGTCTATTTTATATCGCGAAATGCAACAACTATCAGAAAAAAATTGAATACATGTTAATATTGTATTGTCATGTTTAAAATAAATACTGAAATGATATATCGAAAGAATTGAACTGATACAAAAACAAAATTATTCCCAAGTTCTCAAATTAGATAAATTGAATATTGTATACTGTCATGTTTTATCCTAAAACTATTTGAACATCAGAATTCTAAAAAAGAGCATCAAAAATAAGTTACAGTATATGTCAAAAAAGAAGTCGAAAGTATTTATGTTCGATTGCCAATAATTGGTTATGCCTAAAATATGACATAATAAAAAATATTGTATCACTCTTCCAGTTGGCAATTCTAGCACAAACAGTTTAATTCATGAACAGCAGAATTCGACCTGAAACTAGCATAGAATAGAACATTTTCAATTTATAATTAGCCCGTAATGGTACAAAAAAGAGACAGAAAAAATACAAGACATTTTCATACAATACAAGGCATACATCCATTGGTATGGGGAAATTTTGAAGTTTAGAGAATATTGCTCATTCGAAGTTCAATTTCATCTCTTTTTTGATAAGTACTAAAAATGTATAATCTATGTCAAGGGCGTGCAACCTTTAATACAAGAGGCTCAAATAAAAATAACTAGTTGAAACCGCGGATCGCACCTTTATTCAACATAGGCTATCTAGTAGTTTAGGCACAAAAATGTTGGTTATTGATCTTGTGACATGCGTTGTTTGCACAAGTCAGCTTTTAGGGCATAGTAACGTCATAGATAATATATCGGATTAATGTATAAGCTTCACAACGCAAACGGATTTAAATTACTCACAGGTATCAAATAGAATTAAAAATCGTTTCTCCGGCGCCCATTATTCCAAATTTGCACTTCTCCACGGACCGCCCAATTTTTCCTTGAGGGGCGTATTTGGCCCGCGGGCTACAGGCTGCCCACTTCTGATCTATGTAATTCGGGAATATGTAGTAAGAGAAGGTTTTTGTATTCAATACATACAACAACTTTGCCAATATTGCGCTATGGTTGCAGTTTCCTAACAATACGAATATTATTTTGAAACACGGAATGTGCCATGATTTGAATAGATATAAAGTTATGAAACATTCGTTTTCTTAACTAAACTAGTAAGAAAAACATTCCTAATAATTCAAAAATTTCAATGAAAAACATAAAATACAATATTTTAACGAAATTGCAGTTAAAATTTGAAGATAATGGGTATATTAAAGTTGGTTATAAGGCGATATTGCTCAATTTACCCAAGGCAAAATGAAACTAATATATACAATACAGATCACTTCCTGAACTTATATTCAAGAGACATAGGAATACGCTACAAATATTTGAAACGCACTTATATTGAGATAATAGGCGCAATTATCTCAATTGTATTTAATGGTAATTTGTCTTCATTTTTCACAAATATTATTGGGCACGAAGCCTATGGATCATTCTGGTAAATTGTTGTTGGTATTGTTCCCGTGTGCGCATGTAACAAGCTAGTCGATTCCAAATTTTCAGTAATTCAGTACCAAAAAGATAGCTAATATTTTTTTAAGTTATTTCCGAGTTCTACCATGCTTTGACTGGAATTATTCTGACATTGTGAAGACCTTAGTGTTTATTGGATCTTCGTGTATAAATTGAGCACCTATCGCTTGGTTTATGAACTTATTGAAGTAAACAACAAATGATGAAATGAATTACTGATCTGACAGACACTGAATTTATGCCTACATTTTTTACACTCTCCAGTCTCCACTCTCATTGTATGTAAATCATAGTAATTCTTACGGATCTTTATACAATAATTAAGTAACTAGTGAGTATGTTGAAAATTTACGATCGTTATCTGAGTATTTACGCACAAATATTTTGATGAATAGATGTGGTGGTAAGCGTCCTCAACAACAGCAATCCCTCTCCTCGTATCCGATTGTATTCATATGTCTTGACATTTGACACATTGCACAGGGAAGGCAATAGGTCACAACACAACAATCATCGCAGATTGAACCCTGAAAAGTGTTTACCTCGATTATTATTTGAATGTTATCAGGAGAACAAGCTGAAGTTTCTGAAGTAGTAAGAACCACGTCGGTGTGTTCGGTTCGTTACTCCCGAAGTATGTGAACCAAGATAGAGGACACCGGGACGTAGTAAATGTACCCGGTTAGGGTTAGGCCATGATTATATTCCAATTTTCCTTATGTCAGTGCTATTACGAGTTCAGGGACTAGCCAAGTGTCTCCCGTGGTATTTGTACCTGAAATGATGGCCTAATCCTAACCTCGTACACATACTTGGTTCCGGTGTCCGCCATCTTGATTCACACACTTCGGAAGTACCTTCGGTTAAATACCTTAAGAGACAGACATGTGTCCGTAAGTGTGAGGCTATCGTAACTGCATAAGTTAATTGAGCCGTATCTGTAGAATGTTCGTATTTTACTTGGGGCCTAATTTAGCTGCATACTGTTAGTGTAGTAACTCACTTATTGCTGGAATTGAGTCTAAGATGACCTTATTACAAACTTTTTTATCACTGAAATGTTTGTAACTTTTATATTTTGTAATTTATGACTTGCCAAATCACAGAAATAAGACACTCAGTAAACCGCGGGTCGGTGGACCGTCATTTCTCAAATATATCAAAATTACCTGAATTCCATGCTTGTTTCTAAACGCAGATCTCATTGCAAGGTGTCCTCCAGGAACACATCCAGCTGGGTAACCGCTGCATCCAACACAGCAATGCTCTCCCATACGAGTCGCAAGACAAGCATAGTGGAAATTTCCCAGCCAAAAAGAGCAACAACCTGCAAATTTCAAAAATAGTATTAAACACATGGCCATTATTAGTTCGGCGCTCCAAAAGTATGTGTACCAAGATGACGCACAACCTGAAACCTAACCTGGTACACATACTATGTTCAGGTTGTACGCCATCTTGGTACAAATACATCCGGAGCACCATTAGTTCTGGGCAGGGAGGAATTTTGTCGCTTTTGTGAAGGAATTTTGCCCTGCTGGTTTGCTATAGTATTACTAATATTATTTAATTCCTCATTATTACAATAATACTTATTTATACAAAGATTATAAACTACTTAAAACTGTATAAAAGCGGCGGCGCGACTTGGTCATCATAACACTAGCTCGGATCCATTAAAAATTGAATGAAGAAAGTGATTCTCATGCATAGAAAAGAGGAATAACAAGTTACAAATAGGCGAAGAGAGGAATTTAAAATCGGGCTGGGAATTTCAAATATTAGATTTTTCCTGACGCGAGTGGTTAGAGAGCGTTACACGACACTATGTTGGCATGACATGTCACACATCTAGTTTGAATTCCCATGCCCACCACCTCACTCAGGGTGAATTGAATTGGGTAGACAATGCCGAAACGCAATGATTCCGATCTTCCCACGATAGTAGGTTCTTACATACCGTTGGATATCAGCGACTGCTTTTACATTGCCTTGTTCGGAGCCAAAAGCATGGCTAAGCGTCGCATAAAAAATAAAGATACAGTATTCCAGAAACGTAGTTTTCAAAATGAAAAAAATTATTCTGAATATCCTAAATATTCTGATTATCCAGTTTCCTAAACTGTACGCGTCAATGCACGAGCTTATCAAAAACGCGTGTCTGAATTAGGTACAGTACAGCCATATAGTATTTTTCAAATCCGTGGTCACAAATTTTACTTTAGTTAATTTTTAATAAACAGAAGTAACCCTCCTTGAATAAACGACGAAAGTAGTAAACTTACAGCTTTTCATGTCTTCAAAGCATCCGCACAGATTCGATGACCAACCTGAGGTTGGTTGAGTAATTACTACTGTAGTAGTTGACTGAAGAGCAATAGGTTGTTCTGATATGACATTCGGCATCGGGGTGTACTGGAATATTAAAACAAGTTAAATTTTGCAACCACTCTGAAATATAGGTTAATTTTACCATTATTTCTTTACAGTCACATATCAGTACCGTGTGTCTTTGTTGGGTTATCGTGTTTCACTGGGGTAGCAGTTGAACTAACTGTGGTTTATGGTGACGATACTTTAAAACAGAGGTGTGCAACGAACGGTCCGCGGGCCAATTTCGGCCCACAAGGACAAATTGTGCGGCCCGCGGAGTAGTGCTAATTTTGAATGGTGTGCGGCCCGCGAAACGAGTTTTAAATTTAGTTTATGAGTTAAATTTAGTTAATCCGGTACGTACGGGTGATTCCAATCCTTCTGCGTTGCAAAGAAAGTACATTCGTTCAATTTATTATCTAAACATATGACGTCACAATGCCATAACAGCCAGATTGTGCGAAGCAAACAACGCATGTCATAAGATCAATAACCATAACTTTGTACATGCATCTACTAGTAAGACAGTTTAATGAAGGTGGAAGCCTGTGGTATCACCTAGTTACTTGTATATGGCCCTCCCGTATTAAATGTTGCAAACCCGTGCTTTAAGAGACTGTTTACCAATTTGTAAGCAGAGTACAACACAGCAAGGCTGATTGATGTAAATCAAAAGGTTAAACGAAGTAGTCTGCTGTGATATATTATTGTATGTTCGGCCTCAAGTCACTACGAACGGTGCGGCATCGCACTTCCATGAGTCCCGCGTTGATCCGAGACGCAAATTACTAAATTTAACCATTATAAATCATAATTATGTATAGGTCAGCGCGTTTATTCTGTGAACACAAGACTATTTAGGTAAATTAAAATTAATTGCGATTTTGTACGTTACTGAAGGTAATAAAATGCAAACGCTCAATTTCCTGTGAAGTTTGATTTAACCCAGATTGGGCCCCCACGCAATCCGTTTCGTAAAAGACTCCCGTAATTTGACACCGGCCCTGATTGTTTACAACCTTGTATGTCTGATTTAGAGGATTTTTTGCATTCGATACCGCATTAATCATGGTGTGAATAATCACAGTAATAAATTGCGCAATAGTTGCTTATTAATAATCACTGCAGAAAAACCAAAAGTTAGCCACGATAAGTTTTGTTGACAGTGATTCTTCATTCAATGCAACGATAAGCAGAAAACGACCAAGACCAAATATTCATTCCTATTACCAACTTATGTAGAAAGAGTATTTCGACGTGGCGTGCAAGCATTTTCGACTTGATGACTATCATTGAACAACGAGCATACGCATGATTTGACCTCATTTATTTCGCCACTAACGTCACGTCGTTCGACGCGGAAACAATAATGCGGAAAGAATGTGAAACCTAACACACGCGTGAACATTAACCGTGTATAACTCTAACTCAAAATTGTTAATATCCAGTTGATCACATGTTCAACATTTTAAAATTTTACCAGATTTATGATATTTATTTGTTAATAGATGAATTTTTTGTACAAAGCCACTAATGCAAAAATGTGAGATTTGAGAAAACACCTTCTGCCAGGCTTTTAAATAACAAATTGAGTAATTGTCCAGTTAGGGTTAGAGCTGGTGTTAGGAATGATTTGAATATTCAGTGCAATCTGCATTCCTAACCCCAACTGGATAATAATTTGGGTATATCCATAATTCAAATTTTACTTTTTTTCAATATGTTAAAGTTGGGTGAGACCAAAGATCTCAGTTAAAACCACGGCCATAAAATAGATTCCCGGCATCGTCGGAAACCCAATAATATCACTCGACCGGACTCAACTTTTGTGACGAAAAAGCTTTTATTCTTTATATTAGAATTATACGTATTTCAGTCAACAATATATCTGATTATTATAGGGTACGTGGGCCGCAGCGTGGGATAAAAAATTTTTCTATTTATAGGGGTTTTGCAGTGTAGAATTGAAGCTTTGACACTGTTGAAAGCCTTTGAACGAAACACTCACAAATTTTTTTATGTCTATTTGTTAAGCGACTGCTGAAGACAAACAATTTAAAAGGACCTCCTGAAGTATGTGCGCAGGTTAGGGTTCAGGTTGTGCGACATCTTGGTGCTCATACTTCAGGAATACCATTTAGAGTACAGTATTTTGCTCGGTACATTCTATTACAGCTGCAGTAGTATTATAAAGTGCTATGGCTACGTCAAACTTTTGAGACTGGGTGTTTCCATTTTATTCTACATATGTACAAAGCGCTACAACCTTTTTTCCAGCATCTTTTCTTTGCACGCATTGAAAAGGTTTAATTTACTCTGATGGCGGTTTAAAGGCACTCCCGTAGTGTGTGTACCAGGTTAGGGTTAGGCCATAATTTTATTCCGATTTTCCTTATTTTGATTCTATTACGAGTTCGGGGACTGTCTGTGTAATCTAAGTGAATATACCCCTGCTCATAGTTTTCGGACCCTTTAATATAGTCTATACATGGCCAACTTAGTGCGACTACTGCGGAAATGACCTATATAGAGTGATAATAACGTTTAGTTTGTGACTATGACCCGGCGCGAAAGCTGTACAGCAAAGGCAGAACCCGGAAATAACTGGCTGCTATGTCGATATGCTATATTTAAATTAATAATCTGCTGTGGCGTATAGTGGTGAAACATAATCATAGTGTATTGATATTTTGAATTTTGAAAATGGAATTTCCACCACACTGCTTCTATTATTAAAAGCATTACTGTAAATATGAAACCAGTGCGACTTTAATATTATAATAATATTACCTATTCTTAAATATCATACCAATTCCAAGGCCCAAGATCAAAATCCCAGAGTAATGTAACTACGCATTTATCAACAGAAATATAGCGATCTCAACCGCAATTCCCTAATCATAATTCAGGTGTCGATTACTTTAGTTTACGCAAAACTAAAGTAACTAACAGGACGATTATTACAGATAAGTTATCAAATGTTATGAAAAAGGTGCTCCTTGGTTCGGCCGATGTCAAAGTTAAAAGTTCATCTTGTCTCAAGGACGCACTGATAACTGTTAGAAGAAGGGATGGATATATGCTATACATCGATTGCTATCTGAATTTATTGGGCTGCCAAATAGACAATGGAATTCGATTTCTAAGACAACTAGTCAACTACACAAGACGTGTACAGTCAATCACGTGTATTGTCACGGTAACTCGAAAACATCACAACACGCAACCAGAAAAAAATATAGGTTTATTCGAAGCCGAATTCAATTTTTCTAGACTGGTGGTTCTTTTATGGTCCGAATTGAATTAGTATACATAATTATGCGACAGACATTTATATTGAACCAAAGTACCTACAAATATGATTTTGGTTACCAAAAATTATTCATCGAAATCGAAAACCATTTCTTATAACGATGCAGAGAGATTTCGTGATGAACTATGCGCATTTTCTGTACACTATTTGAATAAAGTAGCGACTTTACATTCTAAAATTAATTACGTTTTGCACAAAGCGCATTTGATACACTCAATGAAGGAAGTGATACATACCGTCATTTGCATAGCTGACTGAACATCTTTGGAGGAATTCATTGCTTTTGCGTTCTGGTAAATACAAGCAAACGTATTGGCTATTTTTAATTATACCTAGGTTCTAAAATAAAGAAAAATAGGTTTCAGCCTTGGTGAGGATTACAGGCTATTTCTTTTGGTAAGTATTACTTGGCAGTTTGTAAGCTGCCAATAAAATTGACAAAAAATTGCTTTATTTATGATAATACAATACGGCGCAGTATAAATATGATACAAAATATACAGAGCAGAAATGCGAATAGGAATGTAAACACATACCCACACCTATATATAATATATTTTTTGCTAATGAAAAATTCTATTTAGTCTGGAAGCCCAAATTTTGTGAATATGAAAAGTTTTGTATAATGAAATTGAATGATCTGAGCTGCTTCGAATATACAACTTTTTTGCCAAAAACAAAATTATCACGTCCAATAGCTATTGCCAATAGCTATAGCTATTTTAGAAATACTTTATGTGTAAAAGCCTTCGTCGGGTGGGCGCCCGTTAACGACGAGGAGAACGTTAAATAAAAGTTTCAAAAGAAAAGCTTTTTAACGTTTTTAATAAAATATACCCTATGGGTCGCGATAGCGATTGTTTGATTTCATTGTAAACGTTTTGAAAATAAAACAATAGCTCAGTTTCTGAGTGACGGATGTTTCTACGCGTCTCTACTGTTTACAATAGTGAATAGCATATTTTACCTTCACTTAATAAATGTCAGGAGCACGCTGAAACTGTGCAAAGCCATGATGATTTGTCTACAACTCAGCTGTGTACTATCATATTAATTGACCTGCCAGCTTTTTTGTTCGACTTTTGTTTATCTTAAGTTAGCATATGTTATGTTTACTAATGCCACACCTTTCCCTGTTAAACTTGCATTGTTCAATACTTGAATCAAATTTGAAAATCGGTGGCGAATGGACTGAAGAATAACAATACCAAACATCATCATTAACACAGCAAACAACGCGCTATGGGTTTATTTCATGATTATGAAAATGAAAGACCACTGCATAAAACGAGTATTGGACGCAACTGGGCACGATCGCCAAAACAAAGTCAGCGCGGCGCAAACTATTGGGAGGTTACGCGGGTATGACGGTTACGCTCCGATGCCACTGATCTGGCATCAGATTTCAACTTACATCCGAAGTTGACGCGACCATAGACGCGACGCTTGTCTGACAATGCACCATTCATTCGTGTGTTTTGCATGTCAGGCGTAGGCGAAGATCCGTTTAACTGTGCGGTAGCGCGATTGTTGTTTTGGACAATCGCGTCCCCAGAAAATCAGCGGCCGTGAAGACTATAACTGGAAATTCAGAGTTGAAATTGCACGACAACCTACATTCGATATGAAAATTTGGATCTTTTGCACAAAGCCCCCACCGCTAAAAAAGTGAGTGTGAGTTTTGAGAAAACATCCCAGCCACGTTTTAAAATAACAAATGAGTAATTATCCAGTTAGGGTTTGGAATGATTTGAAAATAATAAGTTCCAACGAAATCTTCAATTCTAACACTAACTGGATACTTAACTTTTATTTTTTGAAGGCTGGCGGAGTGTTTTTTGACAGGGGTTTGTTCAAACAATCCGACCATTTTGATATAATTCAATGATATATCATTCGGAACGGGCTGTCTTATGTATTCATATCACTAACACTAGGTTCCCAGTTCCCTCATTCCAGAATGTCACTACGAAAGCTACATTTTAACATGACAAGATCACATAAATCTAATTCATAACTTTCGAAACGAAAAATGTAATTTTAGACGTCATCTGCGGTGTATATCATTCGTTTACTGCGGTCGAATAATATCTAAAACAAAAACGAGTTTTCTGATTAACACGACATTTCGAAAACAAGAGTTCGCGAGAACATACAGAATATCACCACTGATTCATTCTCTATACCAGTGGTTCTCAAAAGTCCGCGCCCCCTTTTTAGAATTTGTCAAGTCTCGCGCCTCACTTCAAAAATAACTAGCTAACAATAAGCTACAAATAACTGATAGCCAGGCAAAAGTACGTTTTATTAAAAAAAAAATTGTTGAAAATACATGGATGGAACGTAAATATTGAAAAACAAGTGAACAAATTTTTTTTTTTTAATTAGCTTCACGCCCCCTCGAAAATTGTCTACCTTGCGGTTCGGGATGGTACTTGAATACGAAAAATAAGAAAATGTTTACCTCAACAAGTCCAATATTTGAGTCTGACCTACTAGAAATAACGTATTTCATTAAATACTTTGATGCCCTTATTGCTTAAGCCAGCCCTGTAACAAATATCACCTGTATGAAAAACACGGCCAATTTTATTCGGCGAATTGAAATAGCAGGATGTATCTCGAATTTATGAGTAGTATATGAAATTTGACAATATGATCGGCATCCGGTAACTGAAAATACCTAAATCAGGAGTTCCTGTTGGTTATGATGATCACCAATTCGAACAACCGACTCCTGCAATCAGATATTTAACCAAAACAATTACGCAATCAGATATTTAATCGATTCTGCCACAATTTATACCGAATATCATAAAATTATTGGGTTAGGGATTTCCGTGTCAAACGTTGAATGACAACCACACGGAGGAATGTGATTCGCCATATTATTATTCGCCACGAGATTATTTGGAAAATATAGATTAGTGATGAAATATCCTATTCAAGGTCTTAATCGCAAGGATCATCAAACTCAAAGCGGGTGTTATAAACTCATTGTGAAATGGTTGTTGATGTTATTCAATTAACGAGATTATCTATTGTTTTAGAAACTCCTAAATCTGAACTCCAATATAAAATAATATGTTATTCATCACAAGTTAACATTCGACTAGACATCAGGCATTTGAAATCGACTTTAATAATGGTCGATTCAGAGCAAAATGTCATAAGACGGTATAATAATTTGGCGAATCGAAACCTTTTGTCTAGTTACCAGTCAATTTCTGATATGGGAACAGAACCATTGAGAGCTTATACATCTTAATGAATTGAACCAGTTAATTGAATGACATCCGGTCTAAATTGTTTGGGCTAAATATCTGGTTGCAGAACTCACGGGTAAGAATACGCGGCTCGGGTAATTGAGATGTCTCTTCAGTCTCGTCGATGAAAAACAAACATATTCAAGTCATCCCAAGCTAGTTCGTTAGAAATGTTTACACATTTAGTTGCATTCACTGAACTATTGATATTTTCACCTGCTATCCATAAAAATTACTTGAATTTTCAAACTCATTTTTTCACCTCATTGCTATCAAAGTTTAATTCCGTCTCATATTGTGTGATTTTCCATGCAAACAATTCCCGATAGCTTCAACTTGCTGCACGGACATCCATACTCGAATGCCACCGAGTCGTCAACGACACTTGATAGCTGGTAATTCAAGTCATCTACTTGACGAGGTATATAGCATCCGGTCTAACTCCGTAATCGAAACTTTGGTATCGGTGAAGCTGCTCTTGTACGTAGTTGTGTTTTTTAGTGATGTACCTCATGACGTCAGAATCAGGTGTAACCCGGTGATTCGGACGCGTCAATTTTATAGGGCAGTGGTTCTTAAAGTATGGGTCGCGACCCAAACATGGGTCGCGGAAGGTTTAAAAATGGGTCGCGACAAGGTCGTCAATCTAAGAGAAGGACGAATTTTCAGCTTTCCCAATGTTTCAATTTAGCTTCTAAACTCTGGTATTTAAAAATAATGAAATATAAAATTTCATTCACGGGAAGAACTGTCTTGAGCTCATTGTTACATCACAATTCTGATATGCCAGTCACGTGTATTATTTGTATGGTATCGTTAACCATGCACGTCGCTTGTCGTTGTGTTGACCGCGTGGAATGTCGTCTTAGTGGATTAAAATAACCAAAAATGGGTGTCTTTTTGGTAATGTAAATTGTAATAGACGACGCAATGAAAAAGCTCGCTTCTCGACATTGGATTATTCAATATCTAGAGAAAATGTGACTTCATCTCGAGGCACCATTTACTGCGAACGAGGCAGTGTGTGCACATTTGATGAGTAAAAAGTTGTATATTGCGAGAGATACCGAAGGCCAGCTAGGATGTCGTGTTTGCGACAGACAGCGGACGCCTTTTCTGCTACAATTCGCGACAAGGCACTTGTGCGAGCGAGAATATAGGGGATAGCATGAATTCGCCGAAGCTGAAAACGGTAACGTAGATATTTCGTGGAGAAGCCGAGTGGGTGTATGCTGCTGTGGCGAATATCTCTAGCAAGTTTTCCGAAAACTTGTATCGGGACAGCTCTTCCCCGGCTCAACTGTTTTACATATTTGTCTAATACTCAAACAAGCATTATATTCACGAATCTCGAGGCGCATAATGATTTGCGAGAGGATTGCTAGATATCTCGCAGTCGCACGGTGGTTCGCGTTGCATTAGTGGATTACGGCATCCAATGCCATCGAGTATATGTATTAGAAAAAATAGCTGAGCAACTATTCCCACACCCGACATTGACTGGTAACCGGACGTGATGTCATGGTGGGCCATATATGATTAAGTTATGTTATTGTCTTTCTTCCTCACAAGGGTATATATATATGAAAATATCATCAAACTCATAGACGAAATATATCAAATAGTTTATACTTCACAACAATTTAATGATTTCAGTTCCCTCCGATTTATTATTATTTTTCTGTCGGTAATATAAACGAAATACGTTCACGTATCAAATTATTGAGATAAAAGTTTGACACGCTATTCTTTAATGTCCCCGACTGACGAACGCTTACAAGCCGGGGTTTCAATTACTTTAGGTACTTTCCAAATCATAAGTATATGTAGCATATTGCTATTTAAATTCGATTCATTGCTTGGACTAATATTGTGGCACAATTACAGGAAATTGTCGGAATTAAAATGATTCAAATATTTTAGGTACTTTCATTTTGACAGAATTGTAATTGAAATAAAATATTCAACAGTTATCAACCGAGTTTGAATCAAGCGAAATTTGGTAAAAATCGACGAACCAAGCTCAAGCATACATAAACGTCATCATGATGATGTCATCAAAAAGCATATAAACGATTTCAAAATTTGAAGGAAAGGACACAGTTAAATAATAGAAATATGTAATGTGTATAATTCAATAAACAAAAGTATACTGAAGGCTAGCAACTATTTCCACAATATTTCCCGTCTAAACTTAACTTAGGAACGTAGAAACGCCTTGTCCGAAGACTGAATGGTAATATTGCCATGCATGGATCCGTTCCAACCTTCTAATCTGAAATTAATACGAGCGTACAACCTACATGCCAGTTATATTAGGTTCTTAATTTATCTTTCCAGGACACTTGGCAGGACCAGGCACTTCGAGTACCTCGGTATTGTGATAGTATTAAGAACGCACAAAAATAGGCTCTTCAGAAGTCAATATGGAGGTAACTAATTTTGTTCGCCTACTTTACATCAAGTTGTGTAAAGGTACTGAAGCCTATGGGCAGGGAACATATCCACTTAGCTAACACAGACAGTCCCCGACTCGTAATAGAACTAAAATAGGGAAAATCGGAATAAAATTATTGCCTAACCCTATCCTGGTACACATACTGCGGGAGTACCCAAAAATAGATACCCACAATAATCATATCCAAAACACCGAAAACAAAAAAAACTCAGAAAGAAAAATATGCTTCGCAATGTTAATCGGACACGGAAGAAGCCAGCAATTTACCTATTTCCGAGTCTGAGTGTCTGATAACTGAGTGAAAGGACGTGGTATGACATAGGATTAAGCAGGCTTTCTATTTGGAAAATCCGATGGCAAGATTATAAATGTAGGTGGTTGAAGCACTGATCATCTAATTAAATATATTTACTTCATTTTTGGTGAATATGAGCTTAGTATTCAGATGATAGGTATCTGTAAAATGCTACCATTCTTTTAGAAGACTTCATTTGTGGAATCGTAGGCCAACGAGGACGCACGTAGTATATAAAAGTGCAAATATATATTTTCTTTTTCAGTTTCAGTGTGTGTGTAGTATGAAAATAATTGGTGTCCTTCTAACAATTTAAGTCTTTTGCGCCCGACAATTTAAACCAAATTTTCTATATGACTATATATAGCGGAAGACTTCACAAAATAATCAATTTATGAAGGGAAAATGCTGGGTTTGCTGGAGATAGCTCTGTTTTAAAAACCAATGCATTAATCGCGGCATTTCATTTTAGGCATGTGTTTTTCATTTCTATATACAGGGTGTAATGTCATAATGTGGTTAACCACGAATATGATTAATCTCGGAGAACACAATTCGATACTCCCGTAATATGTGTATCAGGTTAGGGTTAGGCCATAGTTTGAATTTGGAGTTCGCAGACTGTTTTTGTGAGCCAAGTGAATATATCCTCTGTACATAGTAGTCAGTCCCTGTACCCACCGCGATGTAAAGTATTGGTACACACACTAATGGAGCGCCCAAAATTCGACGTAAAGACAAAAACAATATGTAAAGAAGTCGAATACAAAAAGCATAAAATTTTATGCTGTCTTGAATACAGTAGGTATAAATGAATTTTTTTCATCGTTCTAAGCACAAGTCCTCTCTTGGAAAATAGAACTAACAGCAGGAGTCTTTTTGTGGGTATCCCAAAAAATCCATCTGCCTCGAGATCTGGCACATTGCGAAAGGTAGGCAGCATGTCGTCGTGCAGCAATCATCGCAAATTGAACCCTAAAAAATAAATTTATCATATGTTAACTATTTATTGTTATATTACATAAATCAAATTTTGTCTGATTTTTGGCGAGGCGAAAAATCTATCTGTTCTATCTGTAGTCCGAATGTCATATTAACAGCGGTTTACAAGCGGATATTCTAATTTCTTCATTCATTGGTGCCGAATTGATGGGTGATGCTCTTCTATATAGCTTAGCCCCGGGCCCGCGGGCCAAATCCGACCCGATTGAGACTGCGATTGAATGGCACGAGGCCTAACGTTTTATACTTTTTCTTTTGTAAAAGTGTCAATATTGTTCACAAAATAGAACTTTTACGTTGCACTTTCATGGCCCGTCAGTATAGATGGGCAAAATTGTTGGTTCGTGTTACAAAAACCACGCCCACCTCTGGCTTAGTCTCACTGATTTTATTATAAATTAGATTTACCATGGAATTCAGGAGGTTTACACGGGTTGCCAGCAAACCCGTACTTGGAATCCCGTTATTTTTTTTGAAGCTATCAAATGCGGCATGGTTGCGGGCTGGATATGACCTGCGAGCCGTAGGTTGCCGACCCCTGCCATGAAGTTATTAATGCTTACCGCTATTCCGTGCTTGTTTCTGAACGCAGCTCTCATCGCAAGATGTCCTCCGGGAACACAACCAGACGGATAACCACTGCATCCCACGCAGCAATTTTCTCCCATTCGAGAAGATATGCAGGCATAGTAACAATTACCAAACCAAAGGGCGCAACAACCTTAAAGTAAATAAAAGTTAAACTAAAGTTATCTGGGTTCATAATACCTAAAATAAGGAATCGAACTAAGATGAGATATAAGTGTTAATCGTCATATATTTGTGTACCCGACTTGGTCCTCCCGTAGTATGTGTACCAGCAGGCTAGAGTTAGGCCATAATTTGATAACGATTTTCCCTATTTTAGTTCTATTACAAGTTCGGGGACTGTCTGTGTTATCCAAGAGAATATACCCCCTGCCCATAGGTTTCAGCCAATTTACACAATTCGATGTAAAGTAGGGGAACAAAATTAGTTACCTTCATATTGGTACACAGACTTCTGGAGCGCCAAATAATGAATCGAATATATACGAGAAATAAGTGTGAACATCATCATATATATATATGCGTATCCGACTATCACCAATCAAATACCTGATATACGAAACTCTACTTGTACCGATATTTACCACATCTATTACCACGTAACTCCCGTAAACATGCTTCAGGATATTTTTCTGCGGCAGTGTGAAAATTTTCACAGAAATAAGAGGTTATTTACTTACAACTCTTGATGTCATCAAAGCAGGAGCATATGCCGGATGACCACATTGTCCCTTGCGGCTGAGCAATGACCACGGTTTGTTGAATAGCCATTGGCTGCTGCGTAACAACTGTCACAGGCCCCGGCGCAGACTGAAAATAAAATTAATTTTCAATAAATTTACATAATAATGAGGGTACTCCCGTAGTGTGTGTACCAGGTTAGGGTGAGGCCATAATTTTATTCCGATTTCCCTTATTTCATTTTTATCACGAGTTCGAGCACTGTATGTGTTAGTTAAGTGAAAAAACTGCCCATAGTAATCAGTCTCTTTACACAACTTGATGTAAAATAAGCGAACAAAATTAGTCATATTGGTACACACACTTCTGGAGCGCCATAATGAGGATATAAAAACAATAGACTAATGCTCAAATATATATATATACTTAATTATGCACGGTGGTCGCGCAGTGGTACCGAGACTGTTCGCTGGCAAGAGTAGCAGACAGATTAAAACGTGTTTCCCTTTAATTAAAATGAAACAGTAAAATTTATGTAAATAATCGGGTCATATGGGAATCGGATCAAATTTAAAAAAAACTCAATTAGTCATTAATTAGGTCAATTAGTTTCGAAGTGAGACTTTCTCAAAACAAATATCACAACAAGTGGAAATTTGATATACACATACACTTCGTTTCTAAGAAAATGAAAACATTATGAATCTCGCATATTACTAATTACATATTAAAATTGAATCTAACGTTCTATTGAATAATATGAAAACGAGAATATCGGTCAGAAACCGAAGACTTATCGATAATAAGCTGGGGGATCCCCCAAAACAGAAACTATGACTCCATAGCGACACCGTGTGTCCCATCACTAAATAATGAATAACTCGCTAATTATACGACATAATTCATCCAAAATCAATAGGCTTCTGATCCGAGATATGCTGAATGCACTTGCAAAATTTTGAGCGGATTCAACCTCGCTTTCGTGAGATATCGCGTGTATGTAACAGACAAACACACAAATACCTATCAACATATTTACCGATCCAGATCGATAAGTAATGATTGTACACCTCTATTGAGGTGATTTTCTTGCAACCTATTATATATTGGCGTTGTTTCAGTCTCAGTATATATTATGATACCTCGATCAATTGCGTGGGCAACATATTGTTCCACATACGATAGAAATTGGCGTAAATTGAATATAATTGAAGTAAGTTGAGTATCAAAAAACGTTTATTTTGTTAAATTGGCTGACAATGATTTCCTACTATTTGCGAAATTTACGCGTTTTATCTGCGTTTTATGCGAAAAATGAAGACAAAGTGGTACGGGTTATATTCGAATATCAAAAATTCATAAATGTATAAAAAGCTATAATGTTTTTTTATTCAAATATTTGAGATATGCAAACTACATGCAACTAATGATATCACACATTTGTGTGGTGTTCTTTTATTAACTCTTCATAGTTTTCATAAGTATAATATACATATTCACAGTGTCACAAGTGAAAACAAGAAGCCAAAACTAAATTTAATCGCAATCTCAACAAATTCCTTCAGCTATTTTTTAACTAAAACATCAAAATTTGATTTTAGTTTTATTGTGGCAACATCAAGCGGGCCAAATTGAATTACCCAACAGGCCGGATTCGGCCCGCGGGCCGTACTTTGTCATGTCAGCACCGAAATCTCTATATGAAGCTATTCAGCTCATAAAACTGTAAACGGGCTAATTGCACGCCATAAGTATTCTTTGATAAATTCTATACCTACCATATGAGACATGTCGTTCGTTGTTCAAAATACCTCTGATGATAAACTATAGATATTAACTGGGACAAAGCAAATTACTCAATATGCTGAATATAAGAAATAAATTTGAACTTAGTTTTGCCCTTCATAAAAATAAAAATAAAATTATCCAATAAAAAATAACTTTTATCGCAAAAATTTTGTTTTAGTTTTCCAATAATAATATTTGGGGTCAGGCGAATGCAAAAGATTTAAAATAGTGTTTGGGGTAAACAAACTCAGGCTAGTTCAATACATCAAAATCCTCTTATTTTGTGTCTGTAATTCTTAGGTTTTCAAGATAAATAAACTTCTTTATCATTCCTTACACACAACCGCGTCTCATCAGTATAAAAACTATTTTCGCGCAGATTAGTACGTTACTTTGATACGATTTGTGATCGATCATGCACTGAAGCCGTCGTATGACTACCTCACCAATGTACAGTAGAAACAAGATATTTTTTTCGGACCTCCTGGACCTGAAGTATGCGCACCAAGATGGCGTACAACCTGAACTCAGGTTGTGTACCAGGTTAGGGTTCAGGTTATGCGACATCTTGGTGCGCATACTTCAGGAGTACCTTTTTTTCATATACTCTGCGTTGACTGCGAATTTTTCTCCATAATCCTTACGTATTACTAAAATGGAACATGTTCTGAGCAACTTAAAACATTTCAAGCCATGAGATTTATTATGTTGGGCATTGAACTAATATATAGGGCAGGGTCGGCCGACGGGCCACATTTAGTTTACTAATAATTGCGCGGGCCACTTAACATGGTAATTATTTTCTAGTTTTGCTACACTGACTAAAAGTTAATGAAAAACAAACAAAACCCTCGCATCAAACTTTTGACCTTCACAGATGTATTAAATGAAGTTGTAAAGGGAAAGGGAAAAATTGAAATTGTAAAGGAACTTTATGAACACTCTGTATATTATTATACTAATATCACATATCACACTAATTATCCATTTCTATCTTCGTCAATTACTAAAACCTCTTCTCAAACATCACCTGGTCTCTTATAGGCAATTATATTCTAATATAGACACGCTATCATGTTATTTTATTGAAATTGGAATATGAACCGGTAGCTTCCACTAACTAATTTCCTTCCCGCATTATGAGGAGGATTTGAATATAGAAGCCATCCATGTTATCATTGGTTAATTGAAAGGAAGCAATCTTCATTAGAGATACTGGTCAAATTGAAAGCATTGTTGCGCGAATAAATCCGTGTATTCTTAGAATGGTTCATATATAACAGAAGTAAAACATGAAATACTTTTAATAAATTACGCTTTGGTTCACTATTTCAACTGTTGAAAACAACTATCTCAAAATCGCACATCTTGATTCCTAGCCTGCTTAATATGCTTCGAATTCCCCAATCGTTTCAATTATACACGAATTCAAACTTTACTACTTTGCGGAATAATATTTCGGTACAGTCAATGACAGCCCAACAATTCTGTCGCAAGTGTTTCAAGTTTCAGCCAATGCTTTGTCAAACATGGCGCAAATATAAAAAAGTATGTTTTCAAAGATTACCAATGGTCCATATATGGCATTTAATTTTGATAAATGCGTTGTGACATCTTATACGAGTCAATACGGAAGTACTTTACTGGAGAGGAAACAGTGGGTTTTTTGTTTATATTTAATGTATGATCTTATAATAGAAGTTCCAAAAAGCAGGATAAAGTATAAATTCTCTTTCCGACTTGTGACATATTTTCCGTGAATCCGAAAATAAGAATCAAAAATTAATTATATTCGGGCACAATGTCACGGCAATCTGAGGACATAAATTGTGTGGCAAATTCGCGATTAATATTAATTAATATTTTCGTATTTACAAAATACAACGGCGATCTATGGACTTAGAATGCGTGGTAAACTACCCGATTATAATTCGTTTTTGATTCCTATTTTCGTATTTATAAAATAACAAGCCGGCAGGCGCCCAGGATCTCCGCTGATAGTGATGCCTGCACTCAAGCTATTGATTGCCATCCATAGAGACTTGAGGATCTTTAACGGTGGCGCGTATAAAAGGGGTATAAAAAGTCGATTTGGACAAGCGGAAATAAACGGTTTTAAGTAAGTGAAGCGGATGGCCAAAAAAGCCAGTTCATATTTAACGCTGCGCGTTTTGTAGACATACTCGCGTGACTGATACGAGGTGGCTAAAAAGTAAAATGAAAAATATAATGTTTGGTAGGCGCCCAGGATCTCCGCTAATAGTTGAGGTCCACTCAAACAACCGGTTACCATCCTCAGGAACTTGCGGATCGATAAACGGCATCGTGATCAAGTGAACGCGTTACCGAAATTGCCAGCTCATTTAAACTCTGCGCGTTTCGTAGACATTCTTGCGTGAGTTGTAAACTGCAGCTGAAAATTAATATAATGTTCACTAAAATCACTAAGGCTTGCCCAGTATATGGAGTATCGGGACGAAAGACAACTTGTTCTTAATTTTATTCGTCTCTGCGGAAGGTAGCGTTCTTGGAATTTTAATTTTTGACTTGGTTGACAAGAAAACAGCGATAAATTGTAAAAAATTTGAAATTTTCTTAACGACCGGCGCGATTTTTCATTGTTGCCATTGAAACGAAACTTTAATCCGGACCTTCTATATAACGCACATCACTAGGATCTTAGGATAACCCAGGTGTAAAATTTCATCTAGTCCAGCCGGACGCTAGAGCTTGACACACAGACAGTTAGACAGAACGACCGATAATGAGGGTCTCCCATAGCGGAGAGTCGGTAGGCGACCAGGATCTCTGCTGATAGTTGATGCCTGCATACAAGCTATTGATTGCCATCCATAGAGACCTGAGGATCTTTAACGGTGGCGCGATTAAGTAAGTGAGGCGGATGGCCAAAAAAACAGTTCATTTAACCCTGCGCGTTTTGTAGACATACTCGGGTGACTGGTATACTGTCGCTAAAAATTGAAAAAAATAATGTTCACTAAAATCCCTAAGGCTTCTCCAGTTTATGGAGTATCGATACCAAGGACAACTTATTGGAAAGAGTATTTTCCCGTGCGGAAAGTAGCGTTGCTGGAATTTCAATTTTCAACTTGGTTGACGAGTAAACGGCGATAAGTTGTGAAAAAATGGACTGAAACGTATGGACTTTCTATGAAACGCACAATACTAGGGTGACAGGATGACCCACGTGAAAAATTTCATCTCAATTGGCCCAGTCGTTTAGACGCTACGTCTAAGCAGACCGACAGACAGACAGACAGATACACAGACAAGCCGGTAGGTCCACAGACAGACATACAGAATGACTGATAATAAGGTCTCCTACAGAGCGGAGATCCAACAGACAGACAGACAGAATGACCGATAATAAGGGTCTCCTAGAGAGGAGATCCAACAGAACGACCGATAATAAGGGTCTCCTAGAGCAGGGCTTCCCAACTAGGGGCCGCGGCCCTGGAAGGGGGCGCGAAACGAATTTTAGGGGCCGCAAAGAGAACACCAAATTTGCACGAAGTACTATATTTATTGTACTTTTTCAGTCTCTTGATTCGAAACACAATTATTAAAAATTGTGTAAAACAAAAATTTTACGATTCCGAGTTAATACATCTTCATACCGTGTTTCCCCGAAAAATAAGACAGTGTCTTCGATTTTCTTTCGAAAATAACACCTTATTTGTGGGGGGATGTAGAGAATAACGAGATTTTTTTGAATGAATACCGATTTCCATTTACCTGTTTAATAGAATGTTTTCATTTAAAATAACTGCTAGATATAGATTATTAAAGTAGAAAAGATTTCTCGCTATCGACTAGGACTCAGTGGTTCTCGAACTTCATTGTATTGTGTAAACTAGGCAGAGATAATAAAGAAAAGTTAACCTTGATTAGCTTCAAAAGGCATAAAGTACATATTAACGATGACTAATTGTGTTTTATTTTGAAGCAGCATATTTTTTGTGTAGGTGCGCCATGAGCTTTTCCCTGATAATTTGGAGCGCACAGACCGATGCCTTATGCTAAGTTTGATCAATAAGAGTGAACAATTCCGGATAAAGACCAGCCCATCGGTGGCCAGACATTGTAATTCATCATTTAGGCCTGCATAAACAAACATTGCGCCACGGCTGGACTTGTTATGAGGCAAAAAGCATTCGCACTCATTACATTGAATAATTGAGTAACCTTAATCTGAGTAAATATGTGCTTGTTTTTGTTATTGAGTAGGCATACTAAACACTGAGAATTAGCTATGTCAATAAAATATCAAAAATGCATATTTTGAACTGTTTAGCATTATTAACTTAATCAAGGGCCGCGAAAAATTTTAATATATCAAAAGGGGCCGCGAGCTCAAAAGTTAAGGAAACCCTGTCCTAGAGCGGATATCCAATAAAAGTATTATTACTCAAACATATAACGGGGATCTGCGGACTTGAAATGTGTGGTAAAATTCCGAATATATATAATTTTCGATTCGTATTTTCGTACTCACGAAAAAATTGTCACAAGTCATGAAAATAACTCATACTTTATCCCGCTTTTTGGCGAATAATTTGGATAATGGTTGGTATTTAAAAGTATGGATGTTTTACTAGGATGATTTTGTGTTGCGCAAATATTCAAATCTATCACCGATACCACTATTTAAAATGCCTTGTCGTATTAATTCGATTCTTTTAACATAACTCATCGCAATAATCTGCAAACATGAAATGCCTGGTAATATAGCCAGCTTGTAGATAGCAGTTATTCCATTGTTTATTGTAATTCTTTCATATACTTAGATAAGCTTATATTACTTGATTTTATTTTCGAACTATTCGAAATTTCATATTCGAATGCTAAAAGCCCCCAAAAGGGTGCCACGAGCCATAAAAGGTTTGAAACTACTGCGCTGTAACAACCATGTACCTTTTGGATGAGTTGTTTCAAGCAGTGGTGAGATTTAGGGGGTTTATTTATACGGGTTCGCGCCCAATTTTGAAATGTCGTTATAATGAGCGACATTTGGCGTTTCATTAGTTATGTATTAGATTTATGCAAAGTGTGTCGTGTTAATGTAGCTCACGTAAGGCGTACAGCTATTAGTTTGGCGTGGCTATCTGAAATGAAGAAAGCTATTATTAAAGCGTTCGAAACAAAAAAGGGACCTCCCAAGATGGTGCACAACCTGAACTCAGGTTGTCCAAATTTCGTATAATTAGCGAGTTATCAATTAATTAGTGATGGGACACAAGGTGTCCCTATGAAGTAGGAGCGCTGTTTTGGGGATCCCCTAAGTTTCGATCGATAAGTCTTCGGTCTCTGACCGATATTCTCGTTTCTCTTTCGGTACGTTTTTATTCCATATGAGGTTTTAGGTCAATACTATTTGGGTTATTTTTGGTTTCTATATATGTTATATTCCTATATAACATTAATATACTCCTATATAAAAGAACCCTTTAAAAAAGTTATTCTTTGCCAAAATATATAGCTGTTTGACGAATTTCCTGTTTTTCTGGCGACCACCATGTATATTTGCTGCTGCACCCTTTACTTGAAACGGCGATAAACTTTACTTACCGGCACTGCAACTGAATTCATCTGCATTTGTGATCGAGTGGCAATTGCAATAGAACGATTGCAAAATGTTGACAGATAACAGCCAATATTCCGGTATTATAACTCAGTAGACGTCTCGTACAATGTTTTATTGAAGGTAAACTCTCTTATGTAGAACTGTTTTACATCAAAAATTGGAAAAGAAATACAAGTTTAGCCCTGTGGTTGTCAGTTACTTGTGGAGGCAAGCCTGTCGTCCGAAAAATCGACCAAAATCAAATTTAGTCTGTGACACTGGGGGCAATCCGAAGCAAATGATCCAACTCCAGTCGAAACCATATAAAAACATAATCTGAATTTCGATTGATTTGCATGAACACTTTTACCAATACTTTGTGTACAATATAAAGGTAACTAATTTCGTTCGCCCAATTTACATTACAATTCGCACAAGTTGTATAAAGCGGCGGAAGCCTATGGGCAGGGCGTATATGCACTTGTCTAACACAGACAGTCTCCGTAATAGAACTTCGTAGAACTCGTAATAGAACTAAAATAAGGAAAATGGAATAAAATATGGCCTAAACGCTAAACCTAACCTGGTACACATATGGCAGTATCTTTACTTCTACGGTTCATCAGTGAATTAGCTATGAAGGTCACCATATTATATGAAATGAATGTGCTAATTGCGAGAGACAAAACGCTTGTCGTCCATGCCATTGAACAAAAACCCTTATGCTCTCATGATCCACCGTCTTCGAGAATGAATATCCTATTTCTAACAATCTAATAAATATAAAGTAAATATTCAGATTGAATGATTGACTGAAATCAATATCGTGCTAAGGTTCGCCTTTCAACTATTTGGCTGAAAAAATTAGTACTTTACAGAAATATTATTCAACTTCAACGGTACAATAGAATCTAACTATGTAAAATTACAACGGCAAAGACTTGGTGTTATCAGTCATGTGTAAAACTCCCTCGTTAAAACTCTCTTTCAAGTACCTCTTCCGTAATTGTAGCAAGCCATGCTGAGTACCCTGATAGATACGAAAAAATCAAACAATGGGCACACTCCACTTTGAAGAACGACGGGTTCTGTGTTATTGACTGTATTATGTTTTTATTGCGTTAGGTTCTACATAACTGTATATAATGATATATAAATTTCTTTGGTTTTGGTCCTCAGTATGGACAGATTTATATTGGTACTTGGAAAAAAACATTGAACACAAACAGTTGTTTGAAACATTTAATATTACATAGAAAACTGGTATTAATGACGATTTTTCCCTTTTCAGCCTACTTCTCGAGAATGTCTTGAACTAAAGATCAACTACGAAAAGCGTATGGAACAGACAAAGGCATAATAATGGATTCCCTGTGAACATCCCTCTCTAAAATGTGAAACTTCACGGTGGTGCGAAACCACACCTTCACATCCCGAATTCAAAATATAATTGCCTATGATCATCCACAAAAAGGCGTACATAATAGTACAGATGGTCAGGGGAATAAATAACACATTTTTCGCAAATGGCAAATTTCTGCCCCCTGCTAAATTTGGAAACACCCTTTCCCCGATTCCACATTCACCGCATCGTGGTGATAACGACATTACATCAAACCTCTAAACCAGCCGTTCTCAAACATTCTAAGCCGCGCCCCCTTTTAAGAATTTGTCTAGTCTCGCAACCCACTTCTAAAATAACTATGGCGAAAGTATGTTTTATTCAAAAAACACGTTGAAATACGTGGAATGTAAATATCCAAAATAAGCAAATGCCAATATCCAAATTAAGATCAAATCTAAGAGATATTTTTATTTTCAATTAGCCTCACGCTCCCTCAAAAATTATCTACGCCCCTCTTGTGGGGCGCACCCCACTGTTTGGGACCCACTGCTCTAAATTAACTGGGTGGCTATCGTACATAGTGAAAAAAGTGAACAAATCATCTTGGAAAATCTTAATTCTTTCCTGGTTTTAGCAAGTTCTATTCAAGTCTGCAACCAAATCGCTCATCGCTTTTACATATGGATGGAAATCTAATTTTAATTTTTTGATGTTAGTATTATGTATTATGAATACTTTGACATAAATACGCGTTGGAGGGCCGTAGAAGTTTTGTATGTCAATTTTGCATAGATCAGTTGGTTTTATTGAAGCGTGTATGATTGATAAACAATGAGTTAAAAGGAAAAGATGTTTTTGAGTCCGCTGAGAATATTCTTTAAAGCAAAGAGTATACAATGTTTATATTAAGCTTTTTATATTCTGAAGTAAGTAAAGAACCTTTACCATTTGTCAATGTTACAATGAGATATTCATATATCCTAACATCTGGGACGCACGATTATATCGGCATATCGTATAACTCGTGTACGTATGTACTGCTTGATAATGGAATAAACCTAATTTCGAATATTTTTTTGTTACATGGGTTATGTAACTGTTATTCGTGCTCAGAAACTTTTTATTCACTGCTAACACATTCAACAGAGCAAAACGTTGCTTGATAACTAATGGGCGTAGACCGTGAGAATATAATTAACGTTCAAATTAACGACAATAACACTATTGACGAAGATCTATTATATCCCAAAATACATAAATCGAGTATTTTATCCCTGACGTCATATGATGTATACGCGACAAAGAGTGGAAATTTTCTGGCCTGTCTTACAATATTACACACCGCCTTTATGTTTGAGCTGTCTTATTTTCGTCGATGAATTAAACTCATCAATATTTTCAATGTTAAAAAACATACCCCACGGGTAATAGTGGCTTTTGAATGATTGGCGCTATATTTATAGGAATTTAAATTTTGAAATAATTTAAGCACTCGTTCGATATTTATTCGAGATTATTTAGTTTTGTTTCACATGAGTAGCACTACCACAATTACTGTGGTGAGTTTAAAAGCAACCTGGTCTTGAGTTGCAAAGAAATGTTTAAAATTGCTTTTCTCCAGCTTCTGATAACGGCTTCACATTAAATAAATAACTTTTTTGGTCAAGACAGCCACGAAATGTACATATTTTCAATTGCATTTCCGTGCGAGCCAAATAGCTTTTTTTCACCTAATCAGGCTTGAAATTTTTACTCAAAAATCAATGAATACAAGGTCAATATACATTTAATGTGACTTCTGATGCTACATGTTGTCGCTGCGAGCTCTGAATGGCTGCTCACATGTAGCACAAGTTGAAATCTACGATACTCATCACTCTTCTTTCATTTAGGCATCTCCGTAGTATTTTAAAAACTAGCTTTGCTGGTCCGATCTAAATATGACAAATACTGTAACTGGTACGTACAAACGTATTGCTTTGCGATTTTATCGCTTTGTGATGTCACAAATTATGTTCCAGAATCCCCTAGTTTTGTCACCTGTCTGGTAATTCTATTACATAACAAAGACATGCGCTGAGTGTATATTCTCAAACGTATTGGCAAATTTGGCAAAAAGATAGTTTGAAATCTCGTGACAATAGTTATCTTAGCCCAGGCCTGCACAACTCAAATTACCACGAGGGCCGCAAGCATAAATCTGAAGGCCCGGCGGGCCGCAAACTTTGCCACATACATATTTCACAACAATGAACTACAAATCAAAATAATATTGTGAAACAGTTAAATTTAATGAAACACTTTCATTACTGGGGAGCTTAAAAACATGAAGAATCCTATTTTCTTGAGTAAAAACAAGGTATAGTATTTTTGCATATGAGATGGCAAATATGTATTTAGTGGTTCATCTACCTTAAAAACCCACCTTTCAATTTCCATATTTCTTTTTTTATTAGAATTAGGTATTGCGTGTTGCAGTATAAACTGACTACAGAAAAATATTTTACTCAAGTTCAGTTTTGTAAAATCGTTCCAAATATATGTATGACAATGTATTCAATCATATCTACCTTTATTGAATATTTCCATTGTAGGCTAGAGAAACAATCCGTTTAGTAGCAATAGATCTTCCTCTGTTATACTTTTTTGAATACTGATATATCTAAATCAGGGTTTCCCAAACTGGGGGGCGAGGGGTCGAGCGACGAATTTTAGGGGTCGCAAGGGGCACACCAATTTCACACAAATGTCGATATTTATCGGAACTAGTGCAAAACATAAATCTCATGATTTCGAATATGATCGGAGTAGCGGCGCGCTTGCATAACAATGCCGGCTTTGATTGTTAGACCAGAGAAGTGGCGTGTTCCCAAATCACCCGCGGGCCGCACAGAAGTATCTAGCGGACCGCATGCGGCTCGCGGGCAGTATGTTGTGCAGGCCTGTCTTAGCCTTATAATATTAGATTTTTTCGGAGCCATATGCCGTCACCAAGAGAACCATATAGGGCTCGCGAGCTATGGGTTCTCGACCACTGCTATATTCACATGGCCCATATAAACAGCCCCCGAACTTGCGAAGGAACTAGAATAAAAAAAAATCTAAATAAAATTAGGGCCTAACCTTAACCGGGTACACACAATACGGGAATACCGGAGTTTGTGCTATGTAGCCCGATATTTGTGAACACATTTATAGGACCCATGGTTTCCAGCAGTATGTATACAATAATGTAAGCAATGCTGGATGCTATGTATAGGCGAACTTGTCTGATAAAGTGCAATATTAATAGAGATCAGATTATTCCGACTATCAGGCCCTTCGCACCAGCTCGAGCTTTGTGAATACGGTATTTGCTCGTTTTGGAGCCCGGGCCCATATTTTTTTAACCAAACTCACTAACCGACCCTTATTCCAACCGGTCCTTATTCAAGCACGAGCGCTTGTTATTTTTAAAGTAAAATTATACACAAAAATTTGTGTATAAATAACTTTGTTAAGTCATGTGTGTGTCAAGTCCTCATTCATCCAACCATTCCCACTGTAAGCACACACAACACCGCTTACTTTCTGAAGGCCTTTATCCACTCGTTTACCCTTGAATACTATGAAAAGTGAGAGCTTGCTACCATTGGCCTTGACAGCTAGTACAACAGTCACTCTTAATTTCTCATAGCCAGTGGTCTTGATAGCGCTTCCTATTTCCTATTGTTCTCTACCACTGAAAAATCAGCTTTTACATCGGGCGGGTGTTCAATCACCGGCCCTTATTTATTTTTATGTTCTGTTCACACGGGCGGCTATTCAAACGGGTCCTCAATCAAGGTCGGCCGGTAAAACGAGCATATACGATACCTTTATTGAAACCGGCGTATTATCTGTATGTATACAATTATGTTGACAATGACTTAATTGATAAAATATACACGTAAGTCTAAAGTCAAAGTATACCTGATGGTCTCCATCACCATTTTGTCCGAGCTTGAAACTTGTCAACAGTGTTGAAGAAATTGACATGCCATGCAAACGTATACAACCATATGCACTACTCATATCTTAATTTTTCACGTCCATTGACGACGTATTACGCACCCTTTTTTGTATATTTATTTATTAATATATAAAAATATATAAAACACAATTGATTGGTACAGTTACAGCAATATTAATCACTATCAATTATTGTACATATAACTTAAAATTTACCATTTTTGATCATGTTTCTTTATTTTGCCATTTTTGTATGCAATGATGGCCAAGTGGGACACGTGATACACGTAGGACAAGTGGGACACGTGGTACAATTGGGACACGTGGTACAAGTGGGACAAGTTGGTCAAGCTGGACACGTGGGACAAGTGAGACACGTGGGACACAACATTTTGAAGACACCGTAAAAAAGTATTACGTACCTTGCGTGCGTAAAGTGTTCGATGCCCCTGGTACGTTGCGTGTCAACACGAAGAAAAATGGTGGATTCGAAGTTAATTACTACGACAATAAGTGTAATAATTAAAAATAAACAAAGTAGCAAAGTAGGATCGACGTGAAAAAATGACGCTATAATTCGTCGTCATAACGTTAATATTTTACACAAAACAATTTTTGAATATTTTAAGCAATAAAAACACTACTTAGTCTTGATGCCAAGGACACAGACATACAAACAATCATTACTCAAGGCTAATTAACGCAAAGTTCATGGAAACAATCTATCCATTACTTGCCGTTTCCAACCAAAGATATAAATACTGTAACGAGCAAATAGAGACGAAATTATCTTTTGTTATTGTAACTCTAGAAACAAAATTCTCTAGGACAGACAATGCTATAATAGATTCAAAATTGGTAACTAATGGTCTATTAAGCCGTGAATGTAATTTAATTGGAATCGGTATGGTGAATTATCATTTACGTATTTATATACCTATATAATAAGAATACATGCTTTTGCATATAAATTGGCGTATAGATCTCAATACTTTCATTTGAATTTTCATAGCTGTTGCGTTGGGATGTGTTTGTTACACGGTGGCTTATGGATCGTTGAATTGTTATTGTTCTAGTTCTTGTAATTCGTGATTTTAAGGGGGAAAAAAGCGCTATTATTGGCCACTTATCAATCAATTTCAAATTTAGAGTAGAATCGTTAGAATATACAGCGTCGAGGCGCCGTACAAGTCTTCAAAATAAATTCACCGACTCAATTTCTTTTATCAATTTTGCGAGTGTGAGCTTTAAAAATATGGCAAATTAGTTAGTTTTTGTTTAATCAAACGTATTTCAGAGACAAAACTCTCAAGATATGTAGTTACATTTCCCCTGAATTTGGGAATTCCATAAAGATAATTTTGAAAAAGCAACTTTTGGTATAACTTCTTGTTTTTATGAATAGGGAATTATTTAAAATTTGAAGAATTTACTTTTTTGACTGAGTAGAAAAAAAGATAAAGAACAAACATGCATCGACTGTTATTTTTCATTGGTATCGTTTTTACGGTAAGTGTTGGTTATTTTTACTATTATAATACAATTTGTCGATTAAAAAACTTTCCGCACCTGCTTGGGTTGAACTATACTTAGTAGTTGTTGGTATATTATGTTTGTTTTTACTAAAATTACTATAATTATGTAATATTCTAAAGGATACTTCCGTAGTGTGTGTACCAAGGTTAGGGATAGGCCATAATTTCATTTCGATTTTCCTTATTTTAGTTCAATTGCAAGTTTCGAGACGGTCTGTGTGAGCCAAGTGAAAACACTCCTGTCCATTGGTTTCAGTTCTTTCACTTGATGTAAAGTAGGCGAACAAAATCAGTTACCTCCATATTGATGCACACACTTCTGGAGCGCTGTTTAAAGCCGCCATCTGAGCCAAATTGTATGAATAAAATAGCCTAATGGTAATATTCGATTTTTATTATATTAACATATACATAACATCTTTTTATTATTTTTCCAGGTTTGTCGACAAGCACATGGTGGTAAGTTTAGATTACTGTGATTTAGTTTGTAGGGCACACGAATTCAAATTTTGATGTAGATATAATATTACACTCAGATCTATTGGGCGTCCATAAAGTCTCAATTTGTTTTAAATCGCGAAGGGAATATATCGATATCATATGGAACAGACAGAGTGACAGATCATATGTGAAAAATTGAAACTCCCCAAGAAATATTATGCTCTTGGCGATTAGAATCAGGGTTCTTATTGGACTTACTTTCACAAACTGAAACCGCACCAAAATTGCTCACACGCAGCCGTAAACGTGAAAGTGATCTGTAACCAATTGAATTGAGTTCTAAATTATCACAAGATTATGAATTTTGAATCAAATTTATTCCTGTTTATTTCAGATTTCAGTGAATTTTGAATCGTACTTGACGGCCATTTTTGCCCAATTTTACTTTAGACAATTCTGGTTTGAATGAAATGTAGTTATTTCATTTTTTGTCAAAAATAATTTGAACGTGGAACATTTGCGCTATTTTGAGCAAAATGTGAATGTCACTCTAGGAAATTTCTCCAAAATACGGATAAAATTTTCTCCTAAAAAGGCGGAATTTACCACCAATAGGATATCATGAGAAAAAGATGTTTTGTCAACAATGAAATTCCTGTCTTTCCTATTGTTTGGTTGCACTTATAAACATTCAAGATGAATGAAAACGTTATCGCACAATTCACTTATAATTGAAAATAAAATTTGCTGATCTGTTTGTTTTTCAGACTGCAATACCGTTATCAAAGATCTAAACATTGTCAGTGAAAGAATCCTTGAGTACAACGGGTGCGGAGACTTGGCAGCGGCTGTAGGTAAGATCCTTGTCTTGTCTACTATCTGAGCTAGTAACTTTCAGCTTGTTTGTTGGAGTCGAAACCCAATGAAATATTCCGGATGCTCGACAAACCCCTGTGAGAGAGTTCAAATTTTGTTTTTATTGTCTGAATTATTCTAAACTATTTTTTATTTATATATTATTTCCAAAAGCAGACAATTTCTATCTTTGTGTAATTATAATATAATACTTTGCAAAGTCGTAATTTGTGAGTTAGAACACTCACGAAATATAATTTCAGAAAATTAAAATATTGTATAATATTATTTTCAAACTTTTCATCAATTTATTATTTGTGCTTTATTTTATTACGTTTATTTAATGAATATTTTTGTGTTTAGCTGACCCATCGTTCCCTACTTTCCCTGACATGGATAGTTCTGATGCCTCTGCTAAAGCGATCGAATTTGTGAAGAGTGCTGCGGCATGTTCTGGATGCGGTATATAGTCTTGAATATATATTAAAAATGTTGAAAAGCGATATGTTTTGTTTTACTCATCGCGAATTACACACAAATAATAGTGATATCACAAGTTACCATAAAAATTACGACGTGAGATTCACAGGTTCCATGGTAGATTAGGGTTTCGAAGCCCATCCACCATCTTTCAAATTTTGCAGATTTTACAGATCAAATAGGAAACTTTTCGTCTTCCCAAATTTTATTTTCTAAGATAGCGTTTCTCACCCCCTTCTGAGGTCACGGACGCAAACATTCACTAGTTGCTAAATCTCCACTGAGTTAATTTTTTTTTTGTCTCTGGTTGTTGTCTTTTTAATATTAAACGTGGCACATAAAATTACTAATTAGGTATGTGGTAAAAGGAAAGCTAGATATTTTAATTGAAAAGCAAGGGCCACATGTTTTTAGAGTCCTTGGAAGGGACCATTTATCATGACAGTTTAAAACCGCTTCTGGAGAATTATGTTATAAGCTTTATTTGTGAGACTTATAACACCTCACGAATAATTAATAATAGCAATATTGTGGTAAATTCCCGTTATTACCAAAACTTGAAGCGGTGTAATTCAGCAGTGTCAAAAACCCTTCTCCGTGGCAAACAATTCAACATTGCTCGAGGTTTTAGAAAAAGAAAATAAATCATCATAAAAATGATTTTAAAAAGATATTACTCTAAATTTACATTATGTTTAGGCGATGTTGATGAAAGCAAAGTTACACCCGAAGTGGTTGCCGACCTCGTCATTTCCATTCTAGACACTGGCATGAAGGAAGCATGGAAAAAAGTATCTAAAGCGGAAGGGTGTAAGTTTACTTAATTCTTCGCGTTCTTTACCTATTATTCAAAGTACTAACGTGATAACGTTATTGATCTGGTGTGATGGTCTAGTGCAAGGTGGTGCAAACCCAGGCCCACGGGCCACATGTGGCCCGCCACTTTTTTATCTGTGGCCCGCGTCACATTCAGAGAGTAATCAAAAAATCGCATTTCGTGTTGTTTCGTAATAAAATAAATCAGAAAAATGTTTTGAAATATTGTTACATCGATAATGTCACTGAATTGACCAGTGTTTTGGCTAGCTGAGGCAACTAGCAAAGTTGAATGAGGTGCTTGCTTGGCAGTCTAAATTATTATCTGGCTTTCTACCGTTTTGGTCGAGAAAATATAGGAATCATAGACAACTAAAAATGCGGATTCTATTAACTTGGGATGGCTATGTCTGATAACTATGTGTTTGCACAATAAAAGTGTTTGTTTTGTATTGCACTGTTTTCCTATTCTTGGCACTATTGTGACCCGCGAACAATGCAAAAATAATTTTGTGGCCCGCGAAGCCGACAACCTTGGGCCACCCTGGTCTAGTGGTTTAAAGTTCCGGGTTCATTTCCCGGTACTCCCGTAGTATGTGTACTATGTTAGGGTCTGGGTTGTTCCCATGCCCACCACGACAGACTTATTCTTTCAGAATAAAGTAGATGATTTCATAATAATGATGGCTTGTGCAGAGTCTTGTTCGTAGTTAGAGAGCTAGGATTCGGTCACTGCTATAAATAAGATGCCACTATATTTGAAAGGACCGGAATCTTTCGGTTCAGCCTTTTCTATCCATGCCCACCATGACAGACTAGTCATTCCAAAACCAAAGTATTTGATGCTTCCGCAGAACCTTTTTTGGAGTCAGAGAATGGTGTTTAAGCTGATGTCTCTTTATACGACGTTTCCGATGTTATCCACTTTATGCAAGACTCTGTTCAAGCGGCCACTGTTAGGTGGATGGATCGGAATCTTTCCGGTTCATCATTGCCTATCAAGTTTATTACACGCCGGGTGAGGTGGCCGGCACAAGATTTGATTTCTATATTAGAGCCAATGCTTCAACAACTCCGCCCAATAAAAAAAATGACTAATAAGGCTTTTTTCTCGTAATATCTACGTTCAACTTCATATATTTATTTATCTCAGTCGGCACCACTTACCTGCTGGCAAAGCCTGATAAGGTAAAGAAAGATTCGTATAAGACGGAAATTGCAAACCGATGTGACAACTTAGTTGCTAACGCGCAAGGGTTGCAAGATGAGTACGACAAACTTGGAAGCAAGGCAGCAGACTATGGAAAAAAGGACGCGAAAAACTTCATCAAAGCAGCAAGTATGCTAATTTTAGTTCTATATTTAGTAATTTTTTAATTTTTTTTTACGCATATATATGGTGTGTTGACTAATTATATTTCTTACACTACAGATGAATTTTTGAACGGCGATGGCGCACCAAAGAGCGGCGCGAAGAATAAAAAAGCACCGGGTTCGGGAACATCGCTCAATTGCAAAAATCCAAAATAACACCAAACAAGGCACTGAATCAATAACTGTTAGAAATAAAGTAATTTTTTTTTTTCATTAATTTTGTGGGGCATGGTGGGGCACTGTAAGAAAGTACTGTATAAGAAATAATCGTGATTTTAAATTGACCACCTAATTACAACACATACTTGTTTGGTTGAATTATTGCCAGCTTAATTACTGTAAAAAACATTGAATTTTACACTATATTTCTAACAGCACGACAACTCAATGAATATGACCAAAACTTTATATTGTTTCAGAACCTATCTTTTGATTGTTTTAATTTTTTCTAATAATCAATAACTCTGAATAAAAACCTACATCTCTGAGTAATTTTGGGTTTTCGTGTAAATGAATTAACGTCTACTATAACAACATTTGTTAATACCGATAAATATTTTGATATAATATATATATGTCTTAGCATATATCATTATTTGGCCGGTTCTGATGCAATATCTATTTTTTTTTATTTCGCTTTCAATTCGGCCTGCTCTTAGTTTGCAATACCTTAGCTATGCTTCTGCTTACACTATAAGAAAACACTGCGTTTTATATTGACACTGCCTGCCGTAACACAATCGTTGAGGTCCACTAATAATGTCTTTTGATGGAAACATCGAATTTACAACTTTTATAACTTACTTCAAACCTTTTAGTTTATATATATTATAATGTCAAAGCATATCATCAAACTCAATTCCATTTCAAGTACAATACCTCGAAGCAGCTTCTTGCGCATGCATGAGATTTTCTCGCAAATAACTCCCCGTTAATCAGAAAAACAGGCTTTACCGTCGTATATAAATTGTCCGTGTTTTCTTACAAGTGATTTTTGCTTCTTTATCTCCTAATCATAATCGACCAATTTACGATCAGCAATTTTTTTAAATATGCTCGATGGTTTTGATTAGCCGGATACGATTTTCAGATAAAAATTTTGCCGCTTTATCTGCTCCGCTATGCTTTATAAAAAGATATTGAGATTTGCTTTTTTGAGAAAAAAGTCTCGCTTTTTAAATTAAAATACATATTATTATAAATCATAATATTATAAACAATTTACTCGATACATCCAAGAATCAAATTTGGGTTGTTTCCTCTACATAGTGTATTTATATGTTCTCTTCAAATTTATCTAACAAGTTGCAATTTCTGTTTTATATTGTGTTCTTCTTCTGAATCTTACCAATTTCAGATTGCAAGACTTTATTTTTCAGTCAAATCTCGACAACTTAGCGCTCTGCTTTTAGTTTTAGTTGCAATAAATTAAATTCCCTGCGCAGAATTTTATGTGTCAAATTGGGCAATGGGTATATCTCAGACGAGTTCATTTTCTTTATATGAGATTAGATTCAGATCAGATCAGATTTCATAGATCCGTAGGTTATTTTTAAATTAGTATTAGCGAGATGTCCACTAGTACATCTATGATAAACGCACCTTGTAAAACTTTCGCACAATTTTAGATAGTTGGAGTTGACCTATAAAACAAATTAATACTTTTTACTAAAAACTAGAAATTTTGTTTTGGTGTAACAGATCGTTGCAAATTGTCACATATGCATAAAATATGGCTGTTTCGATAACATCACGAATTCTTTCGAATTATAAATCTGGAAAGTTCATTGAGCACTGAAATGGGTACTTCCATAGTATGTGTATCAGGCTAGGGTTAGGCCGTAATTTTAGTCCGATTTCCCCTCATTTTTAGTTCTATTAGGAGTTCGGGGACTGTCTGTGTTAGCCATGTGAATATACACAGCTTTAGGGGAAGGAAGCAAACAAAATTAGTTACCTCCATATTGGTACGCATACTTCTGGAGTGTCCTATTTTGCACATTTGCTTTTTTGTTTATGTGACTGAGAACAGAAGACTTCATAATTCTGATGCCTCATGTAACCTCACTTGCGCCACCACACGTCTGAAATTATAAAATTTTTTTATAGGGTGCGGGGTTGCGTGTGTCGAGACCGGGCTAGTTAAATTTCCGCTTTGCAGCCTTCAAGTGAGACGAGTAAAATCGTTCTTTGTATATTGTAACAATATCAGAAAATCAACCTAATTTCGATATGAGGCAGAAGCTGTAACTTTAGGCGGTGCTGAAAATAGTGTGTAATGTTGAAACCAATCACCGGGCGACTTTTAGTCGGATGTCGCCATAAGTGAAAGTACATAGCATATTTAAAGTTACCGCATTTTACCAAAATAAAAAATGATAGATATATAATATATAATTTACCGGTCATAGGTTTTCTAAAAAGAGCAAACGCTTGAGAAAAGATGAGAAAATTCACATTTCTGCAGTCTTGGATTATGACACAATTGTGATTCAAGAAAGAAACAAAATTGGCATCCATGCCCTAATCATATTCATAATTCTACGCGACAAAAAAAATTATTTCAAAATTATGCCCGAACTTTTTATGTGGAATTCACAATCTGACATGACTACTCCAAATCTCGCGCCAATCGGTATTCACTAATGCGCAATTCTACGGAGATCACTCTCTTTCTATACGAGTTGTTCATACTTGGCTTTAAGAGTATTCTTTAAAAAAACAGTGGGATATTTTTGAATCCGTATCCGCAGTAAGTTAATGACAGAAAGTTATAATTAGCAGCTTGATTTCCAAGATTATTTGATTTAAAATATATACACGGCAGAGATGTATTTTGAATGTCAGTAGGCTCCAAGATTCGATTTACTCTGAGCTCTTACCCGTTCACTGTTAGTAAGCTATAAACCAATTTCCCCAATGAACCTCAGTTTTTTGGAACTCACTCCCCTTTTTCTGATGGTATTGACATAAACTGCTTCAAGTCTTGCGACACTCGGTATATACTAACGCGCGTAATTTTATAATATATATGGGGTGTCTATAAAGTCCTCAAATTTTTTTAAATTGCGAAGGGAATTTTTCGATACTATATTTTGTTTAGCCATCACAGCAGATGTATTAAATGAGATAAACATACTTAAACAATCACAAATTAAACAACAACAAACCTGGTTAAGATATATTGGGAAATGACTTCACAACGAAATTGACTGTAAAGGCACTTTATGGACACCCTGTATAATGCTTAATATTCTGAAAAGTTCTTTAGTGGTCGCCAGTAACTTATCCCAGAGATCAACCTCCTATATTCGGAGTGAGTGCGCACGACCTTTTATCCTTATTAAAAAATTGGCTTTTGCACCTACAAATGCTGATTTGGAATATTTTGCCATCAAGTATATTAGGTCAAAAGGCCATTAGCCACTTCACAACACAATTGTGATTTTATTCAATTCTAATTTATGTTTATCTTAGTACTTATTGCTATCAGAGCTAGTAATGTTCATGAAACCTTCATGAAATGTTTTATGCAAAAAAGTTGAAGTCGTATTTCCTGCCTTCACTGAAGAGTAAAATTACTGTTTATAAATACAATTTGGTAACCATTCCGTGTACATTATGATTAAAGTTCATTTCTTTATCTGTTTGAACAATTCGATTTGATTGTGCATTTATACAACATATGGGCATAGGTAACAGATATTGTGTGTTCATTCACCTCTGGCAGAGTCAGGTTGGAGATATTCCGTTGAGTACATTTTAATAGAACTGGGACTAGGACACGCAATTCTCTAAAGTATTTCTTATTTCCTTCAAGAAATGCAAATAATCGGTTTTGTGCTTATTGACCGTGAATACCATTCACATCATTCCGATACCCTACTACACCAATACAGGAATTTTAGAAGAAAAAAATGACATTTTCTCATCAGTATCATAAACAATAGCAAACAGTCTCATATCAAAGAACAGTTTCATAACACAATAAGGCACATGAAGATCACAATTTTGAAATTTACCGTTTGTAAATAAAGTCGAAACTTTGATATATACAATCTTTCTGCTGAATTGAATTAAATTAAAATTCAACAAAAAAAAAATTCTCAATGCAAAGTATATTACCATTTGGTGTAGTAGGGCTAAAAGTTTTTAAAAAGTTCCACAGCGTGCTGAAATTATGTAAAGCCACATTTAGTAAGTGGGAAAATAAGTAGGAAAAACAATTTAATTTTAATCTTTGTGTTCATTTTCAATCACACACCTTAAATCTACCCTAGTCTCAAAATTATAAATGTATACTGGAATGTATTTCAGTAAAGGACATTTATTTGCAGCAAAATCATTTCTGATCCAACGACGTAATAAGAATTATTTTTGGGCGCCGCAGAGATATGTGTACTAATATGGAGGTAACTAATTTTGTTCACCATTTTACATCAAGTTGTGTAAAGGGACTGATACCTATGGGCAGGGGGATATTCACTTGACTAACACACACAGTCCCCGAACTCGTAAAAGAACTAAAATATAGAAAATCGGAATAAAATTATGACCTAATCCTAACCTGATACACATACTATGTTCAGGTATCCGCCATCTTGGTTCACATGATTTGGGAGTACTTTATTTTGTACGTAATCTATTTTACGCCAAGTCTGACAGATCACTGTGATTTTCAACCATTTGATAAGGAATCTTTATTGGCCGCGTACAAGCCGTGCATTGAAGCCCATATATTTACTAACTCGCTCATTTCACTATGTGGAACAGGGCAAATATACTTCCATGAGATTTTTGAATTATTTTAATCTGGTACCTCCAAGTAATTCCAATGCCTTGGCGTTGCAAAGCCCGAGTCAAATTCGATATCTATGTCTATTACGTTACAGTTAGCAGCTAACAGCCAGCTTGTGCGAGGCAAACGAATCATGTCCCAAGATCAAAATGTTTGTGCCTGTAACTACTAGAAAACCTATGTTAAATAAAAGTGCTAGCGAGGGTTTTGCCCAAATATTTGTATCTGGCCCTCGTATATTAAAGGTTGCACACCCTTGATTTATACCATTCCGATACCTAATAACACCAATACAGGAACTTTATAACGCAATACTCTTTCAAATACATTTTCTCATCAGTACCATGAACAATAGCAAACAGTGTTATATTAGGGAACAGTTACAGAACACAATAGGGCCCATAAGTGATCACACTTTGGGAACTAACCTTTTGTGAATAAAATCGAAACTTTGAAACAATCTTTCTACTGGATTGAATTAAACTAAAAGTCAACAAAAGATAAATTATCACTGCAAGTATCCAGGGTGTCTATAAAGTCCCTTTACAATTTTGTTATGAAGTCAGTTCTCAATATATCTTAACCAGGTTTGTTGTTTTTCAATCAGTCATTGTTTATATATATCTATACATTATTTTATACATCTGTGATCACCAAAACAATATATCGATAAATTCCATTTGCAATTAAATTTTTTTCAGGACTTTATGGACTTTTTACCATTTGGTGCACTGAGGCTAAGCGCGTTTAAAAAGTTCCCCAGTGTGCTAAATTTGTTTAAGGTTATATTTAGTAAATGGGAAGAAGAAATAATTTAATTTTAAACTTCGTATTCATTTTCAGTCTCTTTAAATCTGCCTGAGTCCCCGTTTCATTGATTATGAATATATTACCGGAATGCATTTCAGTATATGAAATTTATTTTCGGTATTCCCGAAGTATGTGAACGAAGATCGCGGATACCGGAACGTAGTATATGTACCAGGTTAAGGTTAGACCATAATTTCCATAATTTTATTCCAATTTTCCTGATTTTAGTTTTAATACGAGTTCGGGGAATAGCCAAGTGACTCCCGTTGTATTGGTACCTAAAATTATGGCCTACCCCTAATCTAATACACATACAGCGTTCGGTGTCCGCCATCTTGGTTCACATACTTCGGGAGTACCTTATTTTCAACGAAATCATTTCTGATCCAACGAGGTAATAATTATTTTGTGAATTGTATGTAATCTATTTTATGCCAACATCGGAACGTAACATGAGTAACAGGTTAGGGTTAGGCGATAATTTTTTTCCAATTTTCCTTATTTTAGTCCTATTATCAGTTCGAAGACTAACCAAGAGCCTCCCGTAGTATTTATACCTACTAACCTAGTACACATAACATATTACATTCCGATGTCCGCCATCTTGGTTCGCATACTTCGGGAGCCCCTCTTTATCAGTCGGGTACAAGCCGTGCATTGAAGCCTATATATTTACTAACTGTCTCATTTCATTACGTAGAACAGAGCAAATATACTTTCATGTACGTTTGATAATGAATTACAAGTTCTAACTAAAACAGGTTTGCGTGACTACCAATGTTTTCTTTCAAATATATATTTTATAGCGGGCAATATATCATATGAATTCATTACATCATTCTACATCAGACTTTTGATCATAAATTACACTTCTAATCTCAACGGTTCCTATGAGTACCAATGTTTTATACATGAATGTTAAATATATGTTTAATAGATTTAGTGTTAGCAATATATCATATAAAGGATTACATTATTTTACATCAGACTTTGCTCTCTTTTGTAAATATTTCAAATTTGTTAAGTGCTATACAGTGTTTCACTTCGATGCGGTAGTCGAGTTCTTCTTTCGTGTTTACCAACATGAGGTAACCATCGTGTACCAAGACCTTATATGGATATACAGAAAACGGTTGGTTCCCTGAAATAAGGTATCTACAAATATTTATTTTTTGATAGCTTCTTCACCATGAGTATTTGAACCAGCAAGAGAGATCTTCTGACAAATAACACAGGAAGAGTTCCAATGCCCCAACAACAACTATGCAAACATAAAAGAAGAATTCTTCATATATTTTCGTCTCTATCACAACCGATTCTCAACAGCAGGATTTTAATGTAACTTATTGATCACGAAAAAATGTCCTTAAACTTGCTTAAAAATTTGTTATGTTTTTGCTCAAGCATAGCTTGGTAACTTACGTATCTGTCAATGGGTAATATTTGTTAAAAAATAAGCTGACCACAGACAATTACATTTTAATTTAATATGTCAAAGCAGTGTCGAGGATCGACGCTCATAGATAAAGTTAACCGTAGGAACCGAAAGGGGTAGTTACACAATTTTTTCGAAAGTATCGTATGCTATATCGGGATTACCCAGTATTGCCACACTTATCACAAATAGGCATCTCTATTGTTTGAACGAGCTATAAATTCTATGTATTGTTTGCTTTGTGTCAACTCTTATATTGAATAAACAATAGCGAATACCTGCTCTCGATTCGACAAACTTTGATGAGATTACTATGGAACCGAGTACTGAGAATACGAAATTATTCTGGCTGGTATTTGGTCAATTAGCGAGAGTACGTTTTATAAATACGTAATTAGCGAGTTGTAAAAATAATATTGGGACTTATTGGCGAATAATCTGGGACTGTATTAGAACAAGACTGCAAAACTAAACCCAAATCGCAATATTATCATCAAACAAATGAGGTTGTTTATTAAAAGTTACAGCATTCTAGTCAATCCGATCCCATTGTAAAAGCACTATTGGAAATCTAGCAACAGTTCTGTTTTGGGGATTTATAAGCAAAACATAATAGGTATATAAACATAAATATATAATAGTCCAATTTCCCATGCGAGGTGTTTTACGTATAAAAATTATTTTCCAATATACACCGGGTGTTACATGTTTAATCGTCCGGGTCTGATCGACCTCAGAACTCATACGCATATGCTTAATTCCCCAAATGTAGAAAGAATATAGAATTTTGTTATATACAATTTTCATTACGCTACCAAAAGTTATAACCAGCCTAACAAAATAACTCTCCCCACAATTGATAGGACAGGCATTTATCCTTGTCATCCATCAACTGAAAATTTTCCTTGTTTACAGTTCTGTAAATATTTGAATACTTTACCTTTAGATAAAGTGATGGCTCACTAGATATTGAAACCAATTCCTCGTATGGATTTGACTTATCTCGTGGTTAAACTGTGTTTAAAATTTATTTCTGCCCCAGCGAATTATACGAAAATTTTAAAATATCGGAAGGCTAATGACTCTAACCAAAATAGCATATTTTGAACAACTTTTGCGAGAAACTGAGGAAAACGTATACTTTTGATTTTTGAACTCTTGTCAATTTTTTATTGAATATTGCTTCCAATTATGATAGGATACAAACGTCAAGAGCTCCTATTTCTTTGTGATATTTCAAATAAAACTTTTATCGACATTTTAACTTTTGTCCCTTAGTTTCGAAACCTCGCTGACAACCCTTTCAGTAGGGTCATGTAGATACTCCTTGTGAAAAAATTTATGAAAGGAGACAACAATACACCGAAAATGAAATTTTTAGATAATTCATTTTAACTCGTCCTTATTTCATACAAAGTAGGGTAACATTATTCATACAGTATTAGGTACGTCCCACTCATTATATTTTATTCTTAGAAATACGTAACCGGGAAACGACTTGTATGTAAATCAGTTTCCTCGAATAAAAAGTTTATGCTCCGTTGAAAAATAAGAAAAAGATATATATGGCCATATTTAAAAGTTTTGCCGAAAATAGTACGATATCGATATTTTTGTTATCAGTGAAACGAGACGAAACGGAAATAAGTTTAAAACGAAATAGGTTTAGCTTTCAATGAATATTAGCTTAGATTTGGTTGTTTCTATGTTCAAAAACAAATTCAAATGCTCAACATATGGAAAATGAATTTGCTTTTAAATATTATTATATTTAACATTTGGTGTTAGTTTGCCATATAAAATATTTAGATTGTTCTTTGTTTTCCGTATAAAACCAATCGTTTATAATTTTCGGTGGGTATTATTACTACCTTAAATAACCCTCAACAAATATGATATCATATATGGAAATGACAGATGTAACCTAGAAACACCACTATCGAATACGAGAGACTTGGCCAATAGACAATTTAGTGGATTTATGGATTACGTGAATGTCAAATTAAGTACGTAATTCCCCTGTTTCGACATCCTTTTAGAACCCCATTTCCTAAAATATATAGCTGTCGTACTGTGTGCTGCTCTCCGTCTACACTTTGTTTGAGTAACGTCCCTCCCATGCTACACCCCTTTATTATCAAGTCGGGACCACATATGATGGCAGTTGGGTATTCCCACAATCATAAAAGGATGTATAAACAAACGTAATAGATTGTGTGCGAGCCGTGCTCAACTGGGTATTATATTTATACGATACATGCGAGAGAGGGTAAGTCGAAACTCTTCTCTCGAATAGGGGGAATTCAAATACATACAAGGACATTCTTAAAAGTGGGGTTCTTCAACTGAAACGCCGTTATAATCGCTAAATTGTCAAGTAGAGATGGTCGATGTAAGCTCACTAGAGGTGTTTAATATTAGAAAATTATTATTTAATCTGTTCTGAATTAGCTACATTAGTCAGTATATAGTGATAGACGGTAGTAACCGCGATGAGTCATAATGCAAATTATAGCACAAACGAATAAAAGTTCTGTGCAATATAAATTGCTATGATTATGCTATATCGCACAAAACAGTTCGATTTATTGTAGTTTCATAAATTTATACCTAACACAACTTGTCGACCCTATACGCCCCAATTATTCTCAGTTAGTATACGATTTAACAGCGAAATGTGAACAAAAACCACCATAGCGTATAAGAGACAAGCTTGAAACGACGCTATATCTTAGAACAGAGGTGTGCAACAGGTGGCCCGAAATCCGACCCACCAAGTCATTTAGTACAGTCATTCTCACACTCGAATTTTTCCCCATCAAGTATATAATTTTAACTTTCGTCAAAGCTGATGTTAACAAACTGCAAGATTTCAAGTGTCCCACTAAAATCATAAATAAATAAATTTGGCATTGTGCGAATTTTTTAATTCGTTATCTACGTGGAAAAACTAATTTTTTGTGTGGTCCAGCTTGATGTCTGAAGTTGCTTATATGGCCCACCGACAACATATGTTGCACAGCCCTGTCTTAAAACAAGTAAACGTCAGCTGAGCCGTAAAAATATTTTGCAATAGATCGAAGTATGTCAAGCTATGAATACAATTGTGATTTTTCATGTTTTCTACAGGTGTATATGCTAATCAACATTTTACGTTATAACTGCCAATATGGAATCAAAAGTCGTTTCATTATTTGTAATTTTTGGGTTCGTCACTTTTTCGACAGCTTCTGTAACAAACAAAAAAGATTGCAAAATGGATAAGGACAAATGTACAGCGTAAGAATTTTTTGCATTTTTGAAAAGTTAAAAATTACGGTTCAGTAATTCGAGCGTACTATATTTCGTTGACGTCTTTCAGTTACGAAACGTTTCACGTATATCACAACATATGAAATATTCTTTTAATCCTTTTTATTACAGAAAAGATCAACGATTAATTTATCCAAGATGCATGTTATATCGAGAGGATGATTCTCTCTGGTGCGATCAATCTAACTATACGAAAATCCCCGACCCAGATACGATTCTTCATTACACGACTTGCAGAAATGTGTCAGCTCTTTACATCAACGACAGTTGTTTGCAAACGTTGGTTAAAAGTAAGTAAATGATGGAAATTTTCATATTATTATCCGATATATAGGTATCGGTAATATGGGTCATTTTGTAAATATCGGTAATTGTATCGGTAACGATCGTTCCATCTCTCTCCATTGTACTTCATTGAATTTGGTAGTGGGACCAATCATTTCTGCATGCACTATAGGTTTTAAGTGCGTTAATATTTAAATTATATTATTGAATTAACTATTCAAAATTAATACCGTATTTGATTGAAATACTTGTGGTTACAATGAGGAACAAAACCAACATAAAAGCACAGAATCGGCTCCGGGAACTTCCCCTCTTCGTGTACTTGAGAGTTTAGTTTCGCTTACTTGGTGACGCAAGGCAACTAGTCAGTTACACAAAGTCTTTACGACCCAACATTTTATTCGATACTGTGCTGTTAAGACTAGAAACACCTTGAAAATTTATTATAGCATCACATTAATGATACTATGACGCCCTATGTTCATACATTTTATATTTGAATTGATTAACACCCAGATTTAAAAAATAAAATAAATTCGAAAATCTGTCTTTATATGGGTATATTTTTTTTAATAAACAAATTTCTCGGTTAAAAATAGTAAGAGGCTGAGATTTTCTTTTGTTGGAAAAAAAATTGTGTGGGGAAAATATTTCTACGTAAATTTGGATATAATATAAGATAATACATGAACGCAGAGTGCCCCCTGTTTAATGTAAGTCAAATTTTGGTTCTGTAAAATACGGAAACCCCATTGTTTGATATGGAACAAAAGTTTCATTTCCATCCGAAACATTACTTGCCGCAGCGAAACATCGTTTCCTGAATTGGGAAATACCCATTTGCATATCAATGTAAAGTTACTTTACGACTACAGTTTGCGGAACGCTTGGGAAAAGCTAATCTCTCTTTTTCGAGCGCATACACCATGACGTTTACCATAAGAGAACCTAACAAAAGTTTATTAATATCGGAAAATCATATTTGTCATATGTTGCCAACGTCGAGCTAAATTTATAAGCGTTTGGAAAATAATAGCGTTGTCTAAACAAACTAAATCAAGCATGCAACAAAAAAGAATATATTGAATATTGCTGATACGCCTCGCATCAATGCATAAAATATTCGTTAGCTAGTCGTGGTTGAATCTGGTTTTCATTAAATCAACCCACTTGACAAGCACAAGACTAAATCAACTCTGCGGAACTTATCGACAGCGTCCTGATACCCATTCCAGTCGCAATTCTTCACCATTTCCCAGAGCGTAATAAATCGCATGTACTGTATATATTTATATATATATATTTTATGAATTGTATGTATTTTGTTTATTTCAGGTGATCTGCAAAAATATCATAACATTCGTGTCTTCAAATGTGGTAGAAACTATATTTCTGAGCTACAGGCAAATCTATTTTCTGGAAACCCAAATTTGAACACAATTGATTTCTGCAAAAACAACATCAAGTATATCAAAGATGGAGCTTTCGAAGGTAAAATAATCTGAAAGTTCATGTTCAGGACTTTAAAAGCCCTATCAAACATTAAATCAAGAGAACAGCGCATAGAAATATGATTACTGGTACTTTTCTATGTAGTTTACCGTTACTTTAACATGTGGTTTATTGTTCGCTATCTCACCAAATTATATCAGCGCAAAATCCACGTGGATATGCGAATTTTGAAACCAGCAACTTTTTTGCGTATCAACGGGTCCCGTGGGAGCCCTCCAGACGATACTATTCGCAGTAGGTAATGTGAAGGGCATTGTTGTAGCTCACCACAATAACGGCATGAACAACAGTTCACTAATACGATTTTAATGTAACTTTTTTGTTAATGAGTACTGGATATTATTACAAAAACCAAACATGACCAAATTATAATAATTTTTATTTGAAGGATTGTCTCAACTTAGAATTCTCAATCTTGCAAACAATCAACTGAATGAGATTTCTTCAACAATGTTCTTTGGACTCGATTCTCTGGAAGAGCTGTCTCTTCACAATAACAAGATTGCTGTTCTACAAAAAGAATCTTTCCTGGGATTGAAAAATCTGAAAATATTGACTCTGACCGGTAACTCTTTTGTGTGTTTATTGGAGATTGTGGAGTTTTGAAACTATAACATATGTTTCAGGAAATAGGCCATATAGCCCATTTGTAAGATAGAATAGCGATGCGATATTAGTATGGAAAATGCCGCAAATTACGAGTTTTATTCCACTTCACACCATGTAGTATCACCAGATTTTGCTGCATTTTGAATTGAGCATGTGAAACTCTTTTATACAGTTATATGTGGAATTTTGTGTTCCGAGTCATACAACAGCAAATGGTACGTACTATTTATGTCTGATTTCTTTTATTTCAGCAAATGGTATCATGCACATCGACGAGGACGCTTTTGACGGTCTTGAGAATTTGAAACAACTTCATCTCGACGAAAACAAATTGCAGGAAATAAAATTGGGAACATTTTCCAAATTGAAAAATCTTGAAGTTTTAACGATATCATACAACAAAATCAACCAATGGCCAGATTTTTCTGAGGTGAGGAACAATATTGACAGCAAGTTTGTTACCGTTCAAGTCAATTTCTAAATCATATTTCGCTCGCCGCTACAAAGAATTGCTGTACTCGTAGCTGCTACAAAGTCGTTTCGTGATCGCTATACTTGTGGTTGTGTTTTTTCTTGCCTTTAAAACAATAGGTGTGTCGTCTGAACCAACTGAATGACTAGTGCGCACGAAAATTAAATAGTAACATTTTGAGCCACTGCAAAACATCCTATTTGTGCTGGGTGATAATAAAAAACAAAAAGCTTTTCAGATTTCATTTTTTATTCTCTCTCTTCATTATTTAGATAATTATCATTTTATCATTTCTGAAAACTGATTGCTGTTTTTTGCTATTGTGGAAAAAAAAACTCATTTTTAAGTACGCAAAAATTTAGAATGAATATTTTGTTTTAGGTTCCAACTATCCATACGTTAAATCTTGCCCATAATCTTCTTCAAGAATTTAAATCAACACACATTGGAAATTTATCTCAATTACAGTAAGTATTTAGCAAGAATATGCGCTATCATTTAAGAATAGCATCAGTAATTTTTGCAACATTTGTGCTGTTAACAATGTTCATAAAATGTAACTGCAACGTCATATTTACATGGCCCGCCAGTCTAGGTGTGCAAACTTTTTGGCCCCTGATCCAAAAATCGTGCCCACCTCTGTTTTAGAATCTAGATGAAGACAAAAAAATAGAAATGTCAAAACTCAATGGCCTATAAAATTAAGCAACGTCCTTTTTTCAGAAATCTCTCACTTGAGAATAATTCTCTCACATCGCTACCTGAAGATTTGTTTCGCCACAATTCACACTTGAGATATTTGAATTTAGAGAAAAATTATTTGGAATCTATTGACCGACTAACTTTCTCTCGTTTATGGTGAGTGGAAGTAAAAATATAAGGCTTAATTTTTGAAAGATACTTTGCTTTTTCATTGGGAATTATAAAATTATAGTATATGTTATATTATATCCTAGAGCAGGGGTTCTCAAACTTTTGATGTTGCGGAGCCCTTAAAAGGTTGAATATTATTCGCGGAGCCCCAAAATAAATGTTAAAATTGTTACTTTCAGATTAATATTCCTGGGCAAATTAAATGTACTTTATAATTATTTTAAATGCTGAACCTTTTTTAATAGGGTTAACACAATTCATAAATAAATCTAAATTTCATACTAAAGCTGTAAATTTGACACTTGACGAACATATTAATAAATTAGGGGTCGAATCTTTTCTCTTTTGACATTTTTGGAAGACATAAAAGGCCGTTAATAACGTTCGCGATTTCATTTCGTTACAATCGCCGATTTTTTTCGTCAGCATGTAAACATCTTTACGCCGGTGTTTATTCTCCCTAAATCAAATATTTCCCTCGGCATATACATGTATTGTTACACAATGACGACGTAAAATTGCTTTTTTGTTCCTATGGGGAATTATGAGTTCAATGTTAAAAACATGTTACCATATTATAGTCATCGGCGACAAAATGCTAAAAATAATAATCAATAAAGTGGTAAATCCACAACTCAAATTTCTTGATTGAAAAACCGCATTCTAAAATATTAAAACTTAAAATGGAAGATCACAGCAGACACAGCAGATTTCAGCAGACTCACTTCAGATTGAAAACGCTTTTATACACATTGTAAATCACACAAGTTGGTGTTATGTTAGCTTTTTATCGTAGTAACTGCGAAATCGAAACACAGTCAATTGTGCGCGCGATGTACCTGTTTTTTTCCTATTCTGAAACTACCGACGCAGCCGCACGCAATCAATTGTGCGCGCGATCCGCGATGTACCTTTTTTCATTCTGAAACTACCGACGGAGCTGAATGCAATAAAATAATTTTCAATTGTTCGTATTTTGCCCAGACATTGTGATTTTTTAAACGGCGATATCTTGCTTAAAAATAATCTCAAGTGCGAAAGAACAAATCAAGTTTGACAAATCCCAAGATCGCAAAAATACGACCCCAATTTATTTATAGTTGGCAGTTTATGACATATTTTATGTTATTTTAGAATAGTATTCTTTCATTTTAGTAATCATAATAGTAATCTCGAATCAATCGTGAGTAACGACATTATAACGACGAGTCACGTTAAATGCTCCATTGGTCATGGATTGAATATTTTACGTAACAGAAATCTCGTTATCCCTTTTTTTAATCGCGAAGAATGTCGCGCGGAAATTTCCGATTCCAATTTTAAACCACCTCCCTCTTAAGAATCCTGGCTGCGACACTGCTTATAAATAATGTCATTATTTGATTCCGCCTCTTTACCATATTTCGAGGCTATATTGTTGTCAGATTTTATCAAAGCTGTCATTGCTTCTTTGAACAGTTACAAAATTTTGAGTCAGTATTTTGAAGAGTAATCGAATAGCTCGCGGGCCCCTGGGTTTCTCTCGCGGAGCCCTGGGGCTCCGTACGGAGCACTTTGAGAACCTATGTCCTAGAGATCTATCGTTCAAACCACGAGTATTATAAACCTCATATCAAATATTTTTCAAATGATTTTTCAATCATAATAACATTGGGAGTATTTTGTTTATTCAGCCGTAAATTAAAAAAAGGATGATGTAACTTGTATTTCAAAGTTAAATGATTGAAAAAATATTTGCGTTTTGTATAGTATATTTCACAATATTACTTGAAATTTATCAATTCCAAACTTCTATTCATTAAATCACAGTCATTTGGAAACTCTCAAACTTGGACAAAATCGACTGAAAACCCCACATGCTGAATGGTTTCAACAAGTCGTGCAAAACGGAATAGTTTACGGGAATGATATCAGTGGGAACAAATGGAGATGCGGATGCAACATTCTCAAATTTTCTGTAAGTGCATTTCGTTTCATATATGCTTAGTAGGCAAGAGCATAGCGACCCCCAACAAATGGGACCTGTTGAGGTTACGCGAGGATAACTACTTCAGACAAGCATATTTTAAATATCAACTGCTTGTCTGATAAAATCTGACGTCGGTCAGACGAAACGTCATAGAAATGCATTTGGGTAATCGTGCAGTAAGACATTTAATATAATTTGATATTAAGATCGTATATCTTATGTACAACAATATACTAGAATGATGTTTCTATATTCTAGATGTTTCTTCAAACCTTGGCATCGCCTTGGAAGAATTCTCTTCAAATAAATTGCGACTCGCCAAAGGAATTGAAAAACAAGGTATTGGACGTCTCCAGAACCGAATACATTAAAAGAAACAAAAAATGTCACTTACCAAAACCAATTATCACTGATCCTTGTAACGTAACTGTTTCTACAACCCCATTTGTGCGTATTACAACTGTGTTTACGTATATTCCAACCACCACAGAAGACGGAGTCACAACTTCTGCAGAAATGACAGAAACAACTCGAACTTTATCAACCCCAGACACTCGAGACACCGTAGTTCATGTAAAATCGCAAACGGCACCACTTGATTCGGGAATTGTAATAACTGTTTTGCCATTTGTCCTGTCATTTTTAATTATTGTACTTCTAATTGTCATTGTAAGATATTTTCGCATGAAAAATCACAAAAGAGACGTTAAACTAAGTGTACAATACGAAAAGTCTTCCCTAAATCAAAGCAGCATCGACGATAACCGCTCCGATAGCATGGGGCACGAATATGACTTATTAAATAGAGACGAACCTTTCAAAAGAAATGAAAAATTTTTCAATAATGATGTGAATTCAGTTACAAATACAAGTAACTCTGAGCTACCAATTAATGACACCAACGTGCTTTCTTTAAATGAAACCACCAGACAGTCCGGTAATGCATATATGCTGTCAAACACAAACAGCCGTGTTACAGAAGAAGCATCCGTTGGCAGAACTTGTCAAACAGCAAATGGTGGTTTATCCATCCGCGATCAATCTGGTGGCCAAGCTCCTTCAGATCATACGTCGCAATCTCAATCTTCTGAAGACAATGTATACATGTCAATGAACCCCGTGACGATAAATGATACCGTTCCAAAAAGCGTGATGTTTACTCCACAACATTGCGGTAACGATTACTGCGAAGTAAATTCTCATTTATTGGCAGACTTTCCTGGAATTAGACAAGCAGGGGATGGCGAAAGCTTGCAAGTAGTCTGAGTTAATCCTATTGACAATCGCGATAAAGACAGCCAAACAAAGGTGTACCTTTTAGATACAACATCAGTCCGTTACTACAAAGCCAATGTTTGAGAGATAGCATGTACCTCATTAACTGAATGACTATTAATGCATTACTGTTCTTATCATTTCCTTTGCAAACTTTTTCTATTATTCGAATTTATTAATATAATATATTTTGAGCACCAACGCAATCTAAATAATCTCTCGAAAAAGAAACGCTCTTGCATCACTATGATTCTAACCAGTTACAAAGTCCATTTTTTACAAGTATGTAAGTTTTGTTTTGTAATAAGGTGTTTCGAATTTGGATATGTCATGAACTTTTAACAAGTAAGCTAAACTACTGTACCCTGACAGAATTATTAAAATAAACTGCACGTCATTATTATATAGTATGAGTTGTAAGTTACACCCGCCGTGATTATTTTGTATTCCTAATGTCGCTAATCCACATTTTTTATCTGAATCCTATTAATGCCAAAGCGATGAAATAAATTTATAAGCGGAATTATAAATATTTTAGTCTTTATTTTTACCTAACTTGTTACTATTTATAACAAATAGTTCTTTTTATTTGACGCAACTTTGCTTTCATTGCTTTTCTTCATATTTACTTGCGAACAACTTTTTTGTATTTCGATAAGTTCACAGGCCATAGGTAGGCCACACTCTTTATGTTTTTATTGATTTATATTTCCCAATAAATATCTTTTGAATTATTAAGTGGTAACGGAGTGGCGAGGTAAAAAGTTCCGATATCATCTATTATAAAATGAGTAGGGCAGATAGATAGATGTATTTATAACACGAACTCAAGCAAATTCTTTGGACAAATACACGAATTACCGAGAATTAAATGTCAGTTTATAGAATATGATACCACATTCCGCAAATGAGGGAATACTGCTCATCTGTACAAAACAACAAGTGATCTATGAACTACGCGTCGCAAGCCTTCATTTCTTCTGATTAAGATCACCTGACCGAAGCCAGATATACTACTTGCCGTAGACACAAGGTATACAATTTGAACAGTTCATTCAGTTGAATATTTTTACTGCGGAAGCCAATTACCGCAAAGCAGACAAACGAAGGTGTACCCTAAGTTGAGAAAAACTCAGCTGATAATATTTTTACACATTATTTTCCCCTATCATCTCACTATTTATGACAAATAATTCTTTTTCTTTGGCAAAACTTTACTTTTATTACTGTTCTATATATGCACTTGCAAACAACTTTTTTGTATTTCAATAAGTTCACGGGCCATAGGCCACATTCTTTATATTTTTATTGATTTATATTTCCCAATAAATTTATTCTGAATTTATGAGCGGTAACGAGGTGGCATGGTGAAAAGTTCCAATTTCGTCTATTATAAAATAAGAAGGGCAGATAGATAGATGTATTTATAACACGAACTCAAGCAAATCCCCTGAGCAAATACACGAATTATCGAGAATTAAATTTCAGTTTATAGAATATGATACCACACTCCGCAAATGGGGGAATACTGCTCATCTGTACAAAGCAACAAGTGATCTATGAACTACGCCTCGCTATGCTGCATTTCTTCAAATTCAAGATCAGCTGGCCGTAGCCAGATACACTACTTGCCGTCGGCCCAAGATATACAATTTGAACAGTTCATTCAGTTAAATATTTCAATATTTCTTGCTGTGGAAGCCCATTGCCGGGGAAATTGAACCACTATCATTTGATTATTCGTTTTAACGTCTGTTATACATCCAACGAAAATATTCGGTTTTGGACACGTAGTTCCCATATGGATCGTTTTTCTAAATCATTGTCGATTTTAGCACTGTTTTAATCTTGTTGAGGCAACTTTTTGTTGGGGGGAAACACTTCTCAGAGCAACTAATAGACCACTTTGATTCTAATTTTTATTATATAAAAATGCAAGAAGTCCTAAAAAAAGGGGATTAATTTTATGTTTTCAATTCAACTCTAAATGCTATGGACCCCGAATTTTTCCCCAAAATTTTTGACTAAGGTTTGGCTTATTTTACCTATTTCAATTTTTGCAGGCATACTATAATGAGCACAAAAAGGTAATTACACGATGAATGTCTAACTGAATAAATTTCAAGTCGTTCATTTACATTCATGAATCACAGCAATATTAATACAGCACCAAACATTTCTCCGATTCCAAGAGTGTCCCGAATCGCGATATTTAAAAATGTGAACCACACACAATAGGGCTTTTAGGAGAACAGCGTTGACAATTAAGTATATTCATCCAGACTTAGTCTGTTTGTGGTATTTATATGACCTTCATGCTATGTTTTCGAGCGTGGCTGTAACGTTTTGTTTATAATAGTGTTTATCACTTTAAGAGTCGCGTTAGCTTTTGGATGAAAATAAAATTATCTTTGCAACTTAGAAAACACGTATAGAAAAAAATGTAAAAATGGCATTTCAGTGTGATAGAAGGTGCCATAAACCAATACTGGTTATCCAGCAACGATACCCATGATTAAGTCCAACAGTAATTAATTTAAACAGGAGTAAAAAAAATCGGACAAAAAATCATCAATGATATGGAATGAAGCAATAAAAACGTACACATATGACAATAAGGAAAAAATCCTTATTATACTATTTCAAATAGGCAAATATATACATATTTATTTTTGTCATCTTCAACCAAAAATCGATATAATTTATAAAATGTTCTGACATTCCCAACGTAAATTAACGAATGAAAAACGCTAAGTGCAACTGCTCATACCGCGTGATGGCAGCAGCGACTACAGTTAGACAACCTCTTCTCCGATTACAGGCTGAACAAAACCTGATTGGGCTTTCAAAAGATGTTTTTATTATTCGGGATTAATTCTAAGGCCGACAACCAGGGGAAGAGGAAAGTCTTTTATCTCGATAAAGCACACGATTATTATAATAAAGAAACATAGGTGGCCAAAAGTGCTTGAAAATCGGGACGTAATAGTGGTACAAGTGTCGAACCTATTGTATGGCGCAACTCGTCGTGTCCAAAACAGCACTTGTATTCCAGTTAAAAGGTTTTGTTGAAATTTCAAAAGCAGAGCATGATCCATATATTTTTCATGCGTTAAATGGTAAATCTATCCTTGATCCATGGTTGGTATTGTCATTAAGTAGCTTTCTAAGGCAACAAGAGTTCAACTTTCGGATCAGTTGCTGAAAATTAAGTTAAACATGCTCGCCGACTCAGTTTAGTTTGTTAATATTTGTGTCATATAGCTATAAGCGAAAGAATAGTTGGAAAGGTATTAATAGAATAAGTTTTATCACGCGGATGCAGGGTATTGTCGAGAAAGTCAAATTAAAAAGAAATAAATGATGAGGCATATCCAACGGCGCTCGCGAAGTGTGTATACAAATATGGAGGTAACTAATTTTTTCGCCTACTTTACATCAAGTTGTGTAAAAAAACTGAAATCCATGGGCAGGGGTTATATTCACTTAACTAACACTGACAGTCCCCGAACTCGTAATAGAACTAAAATAAGGAAAATCGGACTAAAATTATGCCCTAATCATGTACACACACTACGAGAGTACCTAACCAACAACCAGTACCTCACTGAATTTGTAGCTTCATATTTATTCCATTAAAATGGCCTTGGTGAATAGAAGCCATTGCCTAGTTTTATATACTGGATTTTAACAAACTTTTGAGTTTTTAACTGTGTCTTGAATACCTTGTTGTCAGGATTATAACTAGAATGCGTTTTACATCTTATTACTCTTTTATGTCAGATAGCAGAGATGGTTATGATTTATGGCAGGGCGCGATTTTCAACGTCGGGTTGCCTGACTGTAGTTACTTGGTGTTGTCTATGCGCGCAAGTCGAGTCCGTGCTAACGACTTTTAAATTACAATCAGGATGAAATGTTTGTCTATTAACAGAGACGAACGTGTAAACATCTTCACTCTTTATAACGTCGATTGAATGTATATGTCTTGTCCGCTTGATTATCATTCTGATTTTGATATTGAGAATATACGCCACATGTTTGAAATGTAAAGGTTAAGAAAGATTGCTTGCACTGTTCTTTTTGTTAGGTTACTTGTAAAGCGAAACAGGTCGCGTGATATATGTGTTGTAAATGACTTTGCCATGCTGAAATATAATCGGTTGTTTTTTAAAGATTTTATTTATATTGAATGGTTTTTTGGCAATTTGAGGCTACATACGCATACGATATTTAATGCTGTTTATGAGCACAATCAAGTGAAAGTTTATTACTTATAGAGGCAATGAACTCAAAAATGCATTCGAGAATGGGTCGAGTCCTAGACGGAAGTTTCAAATTGTATTTCTTTCTATATAGACGTCATAAAATGGTTCAAAACTTTGTGATTATAAACAATAAAGTAAGTTAAACAATCCTCGCGTTCCCACGATGTCAAAACGTGAAGGATTTGGTAACGATCTCTGGTACACTGTGCAACCTAAGAACAAATCTACAGTAAGCTGGGATCTACTTACAGAGACAAACAACAAAGCAAAACAAATGAAAAGTATACCAGGTGAGGCATTGAATGTATAGGGTGTCCATAAAATCTCTTTACAATTTCGTTCTGAAGTCAGTTCTCAATATACCTTAACCAGGTTTGTTGGTTTTTAATCAGTAATTGCTCAAGTATTTTTAATTCATTTAAAACATCGATAGGCGCAAAAATAATATATGATAACGATAAATTCTTTTGGCAATTTCAAATTTTTTAGGATTTTATGGACATCCTATACTATCAAAAATAAGGTAAACCAACTTAAAAGCAACTTAATTAAAAGTAGATTTTACTTATTTTTCAACAGTGGTACTCACCACGGTTTTTGTTATTATAGTGAAAAAGACAACCATACCAAGCTTAAATTACGTATAACACTATTCCCAGAATTATACCTTTATTATCGCAGTATGAACAAGAAAGCTTGGGTTCACGTTACGCTTTGTTTACTTAATTGTTTACATTAGGAATGAGAATCATATTGGGTGTCTTTGCGGTATGGGCTACTGTCAGTTGGACAATGAGTAGTCTTCATGTATTTGCGTAAAAAATATTAAGTGTCCTTTGTCCATATAAGTACTGACCGCAAAAGCTTTAAATTCTGTGCAAAGCTATTCTTTTGATATCGAGAAATAGACTACATCAACGCTGCACAACCTGCGGCAGTCGTGAAAAAATAATGCGGCCGGCCACATACAAAATCCTATAAACAAAAAAAGTTCAAAATATAGGATTTGGCGGCTATGCTGGCCCATATTGAAGCAAAACCGAAGTACAATATTATACTTTCGGGGACAAGAAAATGGGGGCAACCGCCCCTCCCCCCTCCCCGACTTTCGATTTTTTTCAAAATTGTGCAGCCATTATGCAACTTGCTGCAATAAATCTGCTCAAGAATAGGTACACCGAATAGAAAAATCCGTTTAAAATGCGAATATTATACTTCCAGGTAGTCCTACATACTTCATAATTGGGCAGACTGCACCTCGCATGGGTCAAATACGCGGTTATGACGTCATAAACGCCAATAAAAAATTTGTGCGCCTTCGCGCGCTCATCAACCCCCTGGAGGCCGTGTTGAATACAAATAAATGCAATGTGGCCGCCAATAGCAAAAAGATTGTGCACCCCTGGACTACATGATTGTTTTATATTTCAACAATGATAAATTGATATGTATTCCATTATTTCGCAAATCTAAATTATAAGTCAATGTCAAAATGTCAGCATTGTACCTTCACAAACACCGAACATAGCAAACTACTTACCTTTGGCATTGCTTAACTCAATTATTAATTTAATCGGGCGTCGACGAATAGCGTACATTCTGAAGTCTTGCCGAAAGAACTATATATCTAATTATTGTCTAATTCAGTTTGGAAAACCAAAAATAGCAAAAAATAACTCTCCGTCGGCATTGCTAAACTCGATTAAATCAGAGGCAGATGCGCAGCCTCCCTGATGAGGTTTTACGTTGAAATACTTGATGATATTTTTGATCATTGGTGCAATCGCATTAAATTTGTGTTGTGTTCTAATGACACGCCTAATAGGAACGAAATATAACACAGCGGCCTAACATTTAATAAAGTCAAAGCATTATATATCTAGTCTAGATAATTTTTCGTTCCCCGATGTCTCTAGCCTTACACAGTCCATGGTAAACAGAAAGAAGAGTGGGTCATTATAGAGGTTACGACTTTTTGCGTATAATTTCATAAAACAAAAAATGATGAGAATATTTTGTAATGTTCAGTAATGTTGTATTTCCATTTCACTGTTTAGATTCGAGAAACTGGTGAAATTTCATAAGATTTTTCTATAACTTGGCAAAGCAAAAGCAACGACGCTGACAGGTTGAATAGGTGTAATCCCGTTTAAGATTGTTTGAGCGAATATTAACTTTTTATTCATCAGGATTAATTATTACAACACACGATGAAATACCAAATAATTTCATAACATGTACTGTCAGATTGTAATTTCATGACTATATTCGATGCACATTCCGATTAAACCACATATCTAACTGACAGTCATAAAAACATGTATATTTTCATAATTTGTGTACTTCGTCCTCACAACAGGTGGCCCTCATTACCAGCAAATTACCCGCAGACGCGGGATTTGGCAACGTTTTCACTCGACAAGAGCCTACTTGTATTCACAAGTGAGCAACGGCACAATAATAGGTTGAAACTTTGTCTAATATCGATCCAAATATTTGAACTAGTTCATTTTGGCGGGCCAGTCGTTTATAAATTTAGGCCCTCATATTAGAAAGGTATGTAAAGTGTGACATTTAAATCGGCCAATAGCTTTGATAAAAATGGTATAACCGGTATTAAGAGCGACATTCCTTTATTTATGTTAACTAACACAATCACAAATATCTATTTATGTTTTCTTATTTTTCATTCCTTTCATCGTATTTGCGTATTGCGTACTACGGTGTCAACTTTAAGGTTTGATCATAACTGAAAGAGTTAAGGTGGCCGAAAACTTGTTTCATTTGATAGACGGAGGAAATTCATTGCTCGATAGACGAGAATATGATAATGATTCAAATCATTACTTTTCCCCGAGCCATACTGATTTATCTGCCCCCTCAGAGTTGAACATGATACAAACATTAAAGTATGCGATTGAAAATAGGGACACGTTTATTTCAAAATGAGCATTTTCGGCGATGGCTGTAAGTAAACATCCGCCAGTAAAAGGGAGGAAGATTTGCAACGCCCTCATCGATCTTTTGCCACGTATCTTGATGACATGATGAGTGTTTTTCTGTTAGGTTTCGTTTGCAAAAATCATATACTAACTACTACTACATACTTAAAACGACAACTCCGATCTTCGGCATGCTATATGAATCACAATCTCTTTCCAAACAAACCCCATTCAGATGATCCATATTCATAATTTTTGAAGCACTTTCTATTTCCTGAGCATTTATAAACTACTTTGGGACTAACTTTAGACACTTCGATTGTCATACAGCACCTATTACAAGTATAAAATCCACGCGCACTTTAAATGTCGTTGTGTGAATATGAAATAAATGAGGCCACCAAGTCCTAGTTTATACAACATTTTCATGTTTTGTGATGGCAGTTACAAATTTGTACATGGGAGACCTAACAAGTTTGGGAAACACTGGGTTAATCAACGTTAGATATTTTTGGCTTTTGTTAATATTTATTTCAGAATACCAGTCTTAATGATCCAACCGCATTTTCTGTCCTATTAGAAACATCATTACTAAAAAGTGGTAATAATTTAAATAGTTGTTTGTTGTTTTGCCCACATACTTAGTAATATTTCTAGATTTATAGTCGAACTAAATCGTCTCGATCGTTAAGCCGTAAACACAGGTATGAGACAGAGATAAAGTACTAAAACTGAAATTAACTCAAATAATAAAACGGTTTCATTTCATAGTTACCGGACCGAACGGAAAATTTACGAATATCCATTCCAAGAACCAGGAAGCGATTATTCGGAGTAGAAATGCGCGGCCAGTAATATGTAGATGTCTCTACATCCTTGTGTGTACACAATTTTGATGGACACTCAGTCACTATCATTTAAAGCGTTAAACAGTTTTCATGAAAAGAACAAAGAAAGATACAATTTTAATTTGTTGCGTAGGCTTGTACACAGGAATCGAGTGTCCTTTCAATGGGTGGTGTACGTTGAGCCTTTTGTGTCGTAATAAACATACGCATTCGCGTATTTAATTTACGTCGGGTATGGGACATTGAAAAGCGGAGACTACGAGAAGTCTTTTTAGTTCGTCCCGTCTTTGATCAAAAAGTAATTATATGAAATATGTGGACAGCTAGGGCGTGGGTTGCCACTGGGAAATGGAATGTATTAAAACACTCGTACTACTCGGGGATCGATTGGTATGACTACATGCTTCTATTATATGACAGTTGTTGAGCAGGAGGAATTTTGTTTATGTATTTATCAATCAATATTTCATATTTTGACAGTCAGGATATTTACGTAAGTCATATGTGAAAGTTACAACACATGAAATAACGAGACATATATATAACGCTTAGTATAGAACAGCAATTGTAACCTGGACTACCGTGTTTCCTCGAAAATGAGACCTAATCGGTTTTTTTAAATAAAAACGTGTTATTATAAGTAAATTGACATTTTGTATATTTAAAAATCTCGTAATTCTCTACTTTGTCATTTTGTTTCTGATAAATGAAAAAACAGACATTCCTCCAAAAAAGCCGCAGTATTATTTTTTGAAAAAGAAAATTAAATAAAACCGTCTTTTTTCGAAAACAAAAACGCAGAAAGTTCACCACCATGGTAAAATGTCTTCATTTTAACATGTTGATATCTGATTCGTCGGCGTAGATGCCCAAGTGTTCGAATACCAGTAATATAGTTTTAGGTAATTTGCATACACTTTTTGGAGGAAGTAGAATCTTAAATGTACATTTTCCTCAAAACTAGTATAAGAAAATAACAAAAATTTGACAATAATTGAGAAGGACTGACTACCACAAATATGCATGAGCCTTACATATCGAAATATAAACGACATGGTACTCCCGTAGTATGTGAACCAAGATGGCGGACACTGGAACGTAGTATGTGTACCAGATTAGGGTTAGGCCATAATTTCAGGTACAAATACTACGGGAGTCACTTGGATAGTCCCCGAACTCGTAATAGAACTAAAATGAGAAAAAATGGAATAAAATTATGTCTCACAATTATGATTCACATACTACGGGAGCGCCAACGACATTACAACTTATGTTTATCAGAAATCACGATATATGCCCGCATAAAAACATCAGACTATGCATTCAATTACGTTCTCTATTTTTCGGTGAAATTTAATTTGTTAATATAAACATTTTGTTTAGATAAAATGCTGGCAAGAGATATTGAAAACATTCTGAGGAAGAAAATAGCCTACGTGTCTGGTGAGAACTCTTGTTACCACTTTTTTAAGCAACTTCAACCATACCAATAGATTGATGTACAGTATTCTATATGTCGATGTTCAGTTTTAAAGTTGAAATGATGAATGAATTATACCAACTTAACTCTTGTATCCACAGTTGGTGGGGAAATTGTTGAAAATTACAATCTTTATTTGCTTTTCTTTTCTCTGTGACCAACTAAATTGTTCTCAATAGAACATAGTCTCACAGTGAAACAAATATCTTTATTTTTACATTATGCAGTTATGCACAAATGCTATATATTGCCATAATTGGCAGTGAATGTTTCTATGATTCAGTACCAGTTAATTATCTCATGCATGCTTATATATGTTTTAGGAAGCAAAGATCGCAGAAATTGTTACATATTGACTGTCCCTCCAATCAAAGAACCATGCACACACACGGATAAAGATTATGGAATTACGTTTAAATACTTGTCTGGAATTTTAAAGTATGTTCGACGTTCGTGCAATATTAGTAGTACAAAGTTATTTTTTTTTATTCTTTTTTTTTAGTTCTCTATCTAATATCTGTATTGAAACATTCCAGAGTGGCGTGTAGATATTAGTTAGTTTGTTTTTTCGATTCCAAGTTTTGATTTAGAATGGGTATAAATAATATAGACATGCATACACCAATGCAAGCGATATCATGAATTTCAATAGCCATCATCACTAATTTAAATCAATGCAACATACTCGTTCAATGGAAGAAGTTACTTGTAATGCAATTGAAGCGAATCAAATATGTCACCTCAATAAAATGCATCGTTATTATTAACGCAATGAACTATGAACATTATTTTATATTACAGTTTTCTTGAAAGTAAAAACGGATTTACGGTAATACTAGACGCTCGTACTTCGACCTGGTCGTCCATCAAACCAGTCATCAGAAAATTACAGGTAAAGACTTTGTATTAAAAACTGATATCTCATAGTGAACATATATATGAATACATATAATCCAGCTTTCGAATTTCTGAAGAGATTTCTAATTTCTTGGTGTAACTAAACATATCTGAAGATTTTACAGCTATCCGTATCTATCTACAATAAAATTACCAATATGTTGTTCGACTTTCAGTTTTATCTTCCTGATGAAATATCGTTGATGTGCATTATAAAACCACAAGATTTCTGGGAGAAGAGGAAAGCAAGTCACAGCTTCAAGAAATACAGAGATCAGCTACGATTTCGGGTATATCCTATTCGTTTATTATTGATTAGTATTAAATGAATCATCTGCAAATTTTGAGTTTGCACAATGGTAGGTAGCTCAAAAAATATTTTGATAAATTCAGTCCACACGTTATTTAGTTGACCCATATTCTTACAACGTAAAAAGGAGAAAGCTTCTTAAAAAAAAGTAATTTGTAACCATCCTTAGCGTATATGCGAAGCTAGCATTCCGTATTCCACAATAGTCGAAGTCTTGCTATCATTTATAATCGAGTTACAATATTCTGGGTGTAAGCAATCCACCAACAACAGGTCCTATAACTATTACTATACAAATTATTAGAACTTGTCAGTATACAGGTGGAGAGTTTTTCCAAAAGGGCGATTTGGAAAACCTGTGTACGTCACCAGGTGCATGATGTACTAAAAAGTTAAAATCGTTATTCAGGCCTTACTTATATCGGCTGACAAACTACCACAATATGTTGAAAAGACGCAGTTGACAGCGGAATTTGGAGGGTGGATGCGATATAATCATGATCATTGGCTTCAAAAAAGAATTTCATACGAGAAATTTAATAAAGAGGCCCATGATGTCATTGACCTCACTGACACATTGAAAAGTGCAATCAATCAAAATGAGGTAAGTGGTACAGTATTACTCAACGATTAACAAGTGGTCGATTAATATGTAAAAATTACAAATTAACAGCCTTAGCCTAATTCTGGCAATGACCGTAGAGTAGGTACAAATGCCACCCTATTGTTTAGCCCGGGCATGAGCAAAGTACGGCCCGCGGGCCAAATCCGACCCACTAGGTAATTATATCTGGCCCGGCTGATGCTACAATAACCAAACTGAAACCAAATTGTGATGTTTTAGTTAAAAAATAGCTCAAGGAATTCGTTGAGATTGCTGTTAAATTTAGTTTTGGCACGAGGTTTATTGTTTTCTACTGTTCTGGTGGGCAAAATTTTTGGCCGCTAATCCAAAACCCGTCAAATTTCAAAAGTTATTGATAAGCATTTGTGTCACTATAGTTAAATTTTGATTGCAGTAGCAATAAATGATGCTGATGTTGTTTGCTGCAGAGTGGTAATTTTCGTTATACTTAAAGTGAAAGTGTTTAAATTGCGGGAAGAATTATTTGTTGTTTTGTAGTTCGAGACCTGGTACGGGAAAGTTAATGGGCCACGGAATTTTTAAACGGGCCACGACATAAAAAAGATCAAGAACCACTGCTCTAGCCCTACCCTCGATGGCGTACAAAAGCTTGTTTGCCTTCCCATTTATTTACAATTGAAATTGATTCTATTTAAATGAAAACTGCTATCTTGGCCTTAATTTGAAATTTTCTACTACTTTGTTAATTAACCTTAATTAATCATCCCAAACGCAGTATTCCGGGAACGATTCAACAACTTCTGAATATTTGAGCGACAGTGGTCATGTATCAGCTGGATCTCCAACTACCAGCACATCTACAACTGTTTCCCAGCAGCAAGCTTACCCGATTCGTCCAGGAAATGACGCATCAGTCCAGAATGGTACAAAACATGTATATGAAAGACTAAGTGATGTTCAAAGGTAGGCATGTCATTGTGTAGTGGTTATAATGTCCAAATGGTCATCTTCAAATTAGGGAAGCCTGTAAGCGAGGTAGGTATTAGTTGCAGTAACAGATATAAAATCTAATTTACACTTCAATCCAATATGTTCTTTTGTTTTTTTTGTTCACATTTCTATAAGATTGAAGTTTTCCAAAATAATTCCTAAAATTTGTAGAAGCTAGCTGGAATCTCCAAAATATAAAATGGAGATGAATTTCTTGTATATATATTACGATGTGTTATGTCGAATAAGGAAAATCAGCAACGTTCCAATATAATGTAGTCACATTGACAGGCCTTGCCAGAACCAACAGCCAACTGCTAGTAGTCGATCGAGAAGTACAACAAGGACGACAAGAACGACGACGAATTCATATCAATCTAAAGAGTCTCATCCGCCTTCGCCTCCACCACGCAAAGCTAGAAGCAGGTAATATCCGATGATTTTAAACTATTTTTTCAGTTAAATTGACTTTACTTGCAGTCTATTACGTTTTTAGCCATTTTGAAGAAATTATCATACTGGTTCGAGAATTTCATCCATGTATTGTAATAAGTTAAGATTACAAGCATAATTCATTCTGTCCACAGGAGCCTTTCTCCGGCGAAATACAAGGCACTGCGATCCCAGGGCTCAAGACAGCGACCACGATATGAAACCCCGACTCAGAGAATCCAGCCTTCAACGCTTCCACGAAGTCCACCGCCATCTGACTATGTGTATGCAATACCAAGCTACGGAAAATCCTCCAGACAAGTGGCGACACTGTCGGATGCTCACGTTTCCAACAAAGATGTTAGAGTTGTACAAAGCCAGCAATCCAATTCCAAATCGATGAGGCGGGATGGAAGGCAATCCTCTGGCCCCAGAGTACTAAGACATCGCCACCGTTCACAAGATGACGTATTGTCATCTCCGAAAATAGATATTGAACCATTGGATTTTAGTGAACTGAGGTAAACTAATGAATTTTACAATCTCAAAAACACACCAAATATCTTTTGGGAATTACAAACATGGCAAATAGTGTGAATTTGTTAAATGGGACATACTTGTTTTACCAACGTTGCATATAATGTCCAAATAACGCAATCACGACTGAAATATTCTTATTTTACTCTAATTTTCTTTCAAAATGTTGATTAGGTTGAAGCCAGCAAAGTCCGAACCCAACCTTACACCCCGTGGAAACGATTCCTCGAAATCCAAAGCCAGATATAATCACGTGAGGGGGAAAAGCGATATAGTTGACGGATACGAGGTTGCGATATCCAAGATCAAAGAAGGGTTGATGGAATTACCAGATTCGACGAGAAAAAGAGGTGAGATGATCAGTTACTGTATTTTCTATCCTATCCTGTTATATTTCAGTTTGATTACGTATCAAAGAAATTAGGTTGCGTGGTATTTATTTTTTATATTTATACGCTTGACGGACTAAAAACAAAGCTTAAACAACAGCCAACATATTTCTGGCATACATAATCTATTTTTGTTTCTATTCACGACTGATAGAACTTTCTATTCATAGGTCAAAAACTTATGAAAGAATTGCGATCAAGCTCCGACGAATTCGGGTTCAAAGGTGATTCAGCAATGTCACAGACAGACGAAGAAAGAAAAATGATGAGACAAGTTGACAATTTGCAAGTGAGTTTTAAATCAATTTTAACGAATCGATACGACTTTAGTCCATATGTTGGGGCTTTATAACCTAATGTACGTGTTATAGATCGCGGGTCGTAGACTCGTAGGGCCGTAGCGCAGGTCTATATCACTTATTGAAACTCAACCGATAATGTCTCTGTGACTCATAGTGACGCTTTTTTATTAAAAGAAAGAATATCAGAATATCTGCAACCTCTAATTGTACATCATCAGATATTATGAGTTATTCTAGTGCAAATTCTCATAAAATCCAGTTTTTGTGGACATTTCAGAACAAACTCAACCACATAAGGCAAGAAGGCCCCAGTTCGCTTGCCAAAGTTAGACAACGCAATCGACGTGATGATGACTTAAAACGTGTCAGGAGGAAAACAGTTTCAGGAGTTCCCGAACACAAAGGAGCCAACTTGCCTTCAGGTGCCCTGTGGATTATATTGTTAGACTTCAATCATAAATTCATATCACATTATTCAATCTATTACATAAATAAATACTTGTGGTTATATCTGTGTGGGCGTATAACCGGTTGGGATATAACATTCAGTTTGGTTCCCCATCAGGATACCAATAAAAGCTCTTGACCGAATTTTTAATTGGGAATCTATCAAAATAATTATAACACAACATGGAATAGAACCTCATTAAAACTATCTGTTTTGTATAGAATTGAGTCGATCCACCATTGCTATCAGTGCAAATAAATCCGCAACAAACAATCAACAAAGACTGAGAGGCAGAAGTGGATCTCATGGAAATTTGAAACAACTTGACAAACCGATGTCAGCAAATGAAATTGAAAATTCACTGAGAGATGTGAGTTGAAGTTTAAACAAAACTTTTATGAAATTATCATATCTAAATATACCAAATTCGCTAATTGAATGATCGTAACGATATAAGATACTGTACACACATGATTTGTCGAAATGACCATGATCAACAATATCAGGAATGTAATGATCTAGAATCTAGATAAAAGCTTTAGCCAATAACCGATAACTTGGTCTACTAAGACTATCAAATGTGGGTACAATTGCCCTACGGTTAGTGCCAAGACTTTATTGTAAAAGCAGGTTTGATGGCTTGAGTTTTTATGCTAAAGAATACGACTAAAGTATATTAAAAAGTTTCTAAGTCGTTTGAAACCCCAGTATATTCAATATGTAAATCATCTGTTTAAGGCAGATTTTAATGCCATTGCATGACTAGTCCAATAATCACTGACGTTTCATGTAATTTTAGACAGTTACTTTGATATAACAACCTAGGCCTACAGTTCAAACCCAACCAGAAATTATACTATTTAATTTACACGCCGACAATATATATTAATTTGCAGATATATAACTGGATAGTTGGAGCAGGAGAAAACATTTTACAAAATCAATTAGATGTCGGAGATTCAACCGAAGCCGTTGAAAAATTACTTAGATCGCATTCACAACTAGAGAAAAGAGCAAATGTAAGTAATTGTTTAATATTTTAAGGCTCAAGAATGAAAAAAAACAATTTGGTGTATCTATGAAATAACCTGGAATAACCTATATTTCTTATTATAGAGTATCTTCACTACGATGTCAACCTTAAAACTGCAATTCGACAAACTTCGTCGAACAATGGAGAGACACCAATCGAATTACGAACAGGAACGTAAAGAATCGATTCGAATTGTGAGTGAATTTTGATAAAACAGTTTTCTAATTTCACAAACTAATATGAGCTTGCCCGGGAAAGTGGAAACTAATAAAATATGTATTTTAATTTTGTAATAATGTTACTGAATATTTCTATAACAATACGAAATAACAGTCTGAACAACTGAAAGCATAAAAGAAACATACCTATGCAGAGGATTTGTCATATTGTTAAAAGTAATGATTTAATATCTGATTCATTTTTTAGATGATGAGTGAACTAAAGTACAACCTGGCAACTGTTGATGAAACATGCAAAATATTTAACGGAAAAATAATCAGAAGAAAAAATTTATTGGAGAGATCTTTAACGTTCTATAGAACACGAGATGAGGTACAATGTGTATACCTTACTTTGTATTACCTTTCTGAGTGATATGATGAATATGCGACAATGTACCACAAGAGCTGATAATATTGAACTGACAAGACCCAACCACTACAGTTACCGCTACTCCGTAGTAAATGAATGTAAATTACACTAATCGGTCTTACTTTTGTTTAATTGAATTTTGAATAGGTCTCCAAATGCCTCTGCAATCTTGCAACAGTTTGCACTAACGAAGCTAGTTTACTGGACACCACAGATGGAATACATTCGCTACTAGATCAACTGCAACAACAAATGCAGGTATAAGATTTATATAAGTTCAATTGATTACATGGAATAATGCGATTGCATATAGTAACCTTGACTCATTTTCAATAAAGGGATATAATTGTTTATGCTAGTAGGTGATTTTCAATAATTTTATACTTTGAAAATATTCTAATTGTTTTTTAATTCAGGAAACTAAACGACAACAGCAAAAACTTTTCATATCAGCCCGAATGTTTTCCGACCTAATGAAAAGGGAACAAGACAATCCATACATATCTAGAAGGTAAAACACATACGTGACATTCCTATATTCCGTATATTTCCTAGAATTAATCGTTCCTTTATTGCCTCATCTCTCATCATAACAATTGATATAGGTCAGCAATCAATGTCGATTATTCGAGAGAAATCAGATATGTTCATTGGAGCGTGAACAAATTGAGAGAAAGTATTCAACAGAGCGAAGATACTTGTGAGTTTCATAAGAATCAATTCCAGCATGTTCTTGAATTGAAAGACTCACAACACGATGCTTCACAGGTATATAAATTTTTCAAATTGAATTCAGAATAAACCCGAACAATTCACCAAAATTCTATTTAAGTTTGAAAAAAAGGGAGTGAGAGCTATTCAGAAACATATATATATTATAACACAACATAATATACGAATTTTTGCAGTATTTTAATTTTGAGTGTTCATTTTTTAACTTTATGTTCATCACAGGTTCTCATAATCGTGTACCTGTTTATGGTAATAAAAGAACTCTGTCTTTTCTAAATACAAATACTTTCACTAAACCATGCTGCCATTTTTCTTGGTGTTGTTCGGAAGATGTTGCGTTCGATATAAGTTCTCTCATGAATTCTGTTTAACTTTCAATTCTGACTCAAAACGTTATAAGTTAAGAGTCAATTGTCCCAGATTGCGAAATGACTGTGCGTGTCACATATATGAAACTATGGATCACAAACCTAATCACGATGTACTTTATATAGCGAAGCAGCTAAACCAAACAGCTCTGAGGTGTAAAAACAACCTCAATTTATATATACAAAAGGACAATTATAATTTTGGTATAAATAGACATTTTTTCAATGCTTATTATTCTTATTTAGACAATTGAATGGATGTGTGAAATGTCCGAAAATATTCGGCACAAACATTTCGCACTCGGAGTAAACGCAAAAGAAACTGAGATTCTTCGCTTGCAACACGAAGAGATAAAGGTGAAAGAATAATGGGTTTAAATATTCGAACTTATTTTGAATCTCAGCCCCATATTTTAAAGCTTAAATTGGTTTAATCCCCAACTAATTGTTAGTGAGAGATTATGGCTGTATAATCCTGGTAAAAGTTCTGAAAAAAACCTATGGATTGATTTCTTGTGTACTTTTAATGCGAGATTACGAGTGAGCAACTAAATCACAACTAAAAATTAGCTACAGTGGTTGCACTTCGTATATAAAAACGTTAACTGCTTATGAAAAATACTGTTTTAGAACACTGCAAAGCGAGCGTATGACAATGGGAAGAAAAAATTATCCTGTATATCAGTTCTTAGAAGAACATTGGATTTGTCACCTGGCGCACCTAAGAGTCCTTCGAATTCATTGAAACGAACGAATAGTTGGTGGGCTTGATATTTTTATACGCGACATATACAAGATCAGGCCATGTCATTAAAAAAGTTCATATCAATCAAATCTGGTGAAGTGTGTTTGTTGTTGGACAAAATTGTCTGCCTATCTTACTGGTTCAAACATATTCTAAATAAATGTGGTAATTAAATGATGGAAGTACTTTCATATGAATTTCTGCCATTTTTTTCTGGGCTCTTGTGACGTTCATCCACTTTGCAAAATTGCGTCATTATGTGACGCTTTTAATGTTGTTTCCATATATTTGAGCATTCCCTCGTGTATTATGAATTAACCCAGAACACAGCTAACTACTTGTTTGTTTGCATATACAGTAGTCAACTTGTGGGGGCTAATGGTGCAGTTCTGCCTACTTTGGAAAAAGCGTGGAATCAATTTATGCAAGTTTGGGAAGAAAGGAATAGTCGACTTGCGGTGGCCCATTTGTTTCATAACAACAGTGAGAAAGTAAGCAGTACCTTTGTTATTATGAAATGGTAGGATTTTTATATTAATATTGGGAAGAGCCGCTAGCAGTCCATGTCGGGTATGGGATGAGTTAAGCAGTTATTTGTATCAGATGCAAAAACTTGATGGTTGGACCAGTGATTACATGAACCATCCTACGATGGCAAGAGTCCAGCAATCCTTTTGAACATAATTTCCCCTTTTCAATTAAATTTGATTTAAAAAAAAATTTTGGTTAATTTCGCTGATGTTGCATCTGATTTTTATCAAGTTAATCGCAAGTGAATGAACTAAGAAACCTATAATTCTAACATTATTAGCAATCTGTTATGTTCTCTGCAGATTATCAAACGAGCATCACGACTTGGCTCTGATTTAGATCTAGCATTTCAATCTGCTAGAACAGATCCATCATCCAAGACATCGAATGGTCAACTTGGGTCTCCGACCATGTCGCGGATAACGCCACTTCGTGAAGCACACATGTCACTCAACGACGAAATGAGTCACGTGATGAAAATGGGGAATTCAATATTGAAAGACGTTGGAGGCGGCAAGAGGTTAGTAAACCCAGAAATAATATCATAGTACTAAAAGTACTAGAATATTGTATAATGAACAGCTTATTCTTGCTGCTCGTCTTCTGCGGGTCCGTATCACAGTCTGACTTTTTCAGACAAACCAAAATATGACTGCAAAGATAGAGATCACAATAATTATTGGGTCAAGTTACTGCAATAAGAATAAAAAAATATAGAAATAAAATAATTTAATCGGTCTCATCATGACTGTCTGAGATTATTTATATGGGTATATAATATACATATATCATATTTTATTCGTATTTCTTATAAAATCTGAGTACTGTCAATATAGTCATAATTTCATTTATTAACCTACTTTTGTTTTATAGAAGTGATCCAATTGCCTCTGCGATTCAATCAAAGATGAAACATCTTGATTTTCTCCGTTCGTCATTGCACAACAAATGGAGTAAAGTAGAAAGAAGAAGAAACGTTTTATCGCCCGGATCAACATTCATGGAAGGGATGAAAGAGGTAAATGTTGCTCTATGCCCTTTAAATGAAGCTACAACAGGAATGCAACTATTAACTAAGCAGTAGCAACCTTTGCAATTCGACTTTGAAAGTTGAAACTCTTGGTGGCGCAGTAAGTCAATCAAAATTTCACGTGTCAATCAAAGTTTCGCGTGATTGATTTAAACGGCATCATGCAGTACTATTGTTGCTTTTTACGACTTTTAGCAACACCCGCGGTATTTAAAGCTATATAATTATTCGCGATGTTCATTATATAGTCTCTATCTAGTCACTAAAAGTATTTGAAAAATAGTACTTATGAGCCATGTTTTTATGCAATAAAATTACATACCAAAATGGCTATAAGAAAGAATATTGATGTAAACAACGCATATTACCTGATTAAGTACATTTAAATGGTAGATGGATTGTAACTCTTCGCCATGGGATCATTTTTCACGTACCTTGGGTCGAGTATGACCACCGAATTCCCTCAAGAGTATAACAATAAATAACTTGCGGAAAACAAGTATCTTATTATTTTTGTTATTTTTAATACAAATAGCTTTCATTTGTTCTGACGGTAAACATGCCTATATGACGCTATTAGAACGCTATTTTGTGAATGCAAAATATGAATTTTTTTGACAAACATGTGAAGTCAACCGAATCGTCTCATAATAACAACTATATGAAAGTGGTTTTCACAAAATTTTTTATCTATCTACTGTATTTGGAAACATTCGAAGCCTGATAAGGATACTTCTCCGCTGCGGATCAACAAATCGCAATCGTCACGCACATCAAAAATAAAGCACTGAAGTTACCCGCAAAAAGCAAGTCATTTAAACAGCCACAGGAAACATACATACATTGTATTGAACACTTCAGTATGCTACCTACATGCGCTGAAACCGTTATTTACCGCTTTAAATTTTCCTAATCTATGACGCATTATTGCATACAACGCCAAATCACAACAGAGTGAATGATTTAAATATTTTCTGAACAATAGAGAATTGTGCTCTGTTTACTAAATGTTATTCCATGGACTGTGTCGTTAGATCATGCTATTACTGACAAATAAAAATAAACACTAAATATCTAAACACCTTTCATGTTTTCAATTCTACATTTGAGCTGAAGTTTATGAGAATATGTTTATAATAAAACAAATTTCGAATAAAAGGTTAGAGTTTAAAGTATGCGGTCAATTAATGAGAAAAATTAGCTTCATAAAAAGAAGCTATGCATTACTACCATGTCTTAACTCAAGTTTGAAAATAGTCACTTTGCTAGAGCGGCTTCGAATAGTCAGGCAACTTGCAATACATAAACCATAGACGGATAAATATGCCCAAAAATAGGGTTTTAAAGTAAAAGTAACATTGCCCACAATAACTGGTGTTTTAAATCACGAATCAAATCCAAACCAGAAGCAAGACTGAGATTTGTAATTTGAAGCTTGGAGAAGCCCACACTCCAAATGAATAAATTAGCATCACTCATTTCAACGACATGTGAATATCTATTACAAAGTTATGACTTGAAATGAATCAAAAATGTTCTTACTGAATTCATATTCAAATCCTAATTTATCACAAGCTCGTCTCAAAATGCTTTTATATGTATCACTGGGCTTTCAATCATTTATAAGATATTTTTAATTCAGATATATGAAAGAAAACCTTGCATTATCTCAATTGTTCTGTCTGCTTAGGCTCTTATGAAATATATTTTTCACTAGGCAACCGATTGGATTAGAATCAAGCTAGTTGAGTGTGGACCGAATACATTTGACATCGGAAAAAATCTGAAAGAAGCAATTGAACTCCGCGAGAAACATGTCTTAACATTAAATGCAATGCAGGTTTGTAGAAAATAACACCTTCTTACATTTTAGGGAAACGTCTTCTTTTTAATTTATATAGGTTTGCGTTGGCAAATAGAATATTATTTTACTATAACTAATATATAACTAACTAGCGTATGATTATTAATAAGCAAGTGTCTAGATTTCGAATGAATTTGTTTTTAATTTTTATTTCCAATAAAAAATGAATAAATTTCGTTGTGCTGTGGTTATATAAAGGTATCTCTTAAATAAATGAAAAAAAAAACATCAGGTTCTTCCTATATTTATATTACAATTGACTAACGAGGTTACGAGTCTCAATACTTGCCTAATCATTAACGATTGCCTAATTTCAATCACAGTTGATTAACTTCTTAAGTACATTCGCGTCGTGCACCGTTGAATTAGACTAATCCTCTACTCGTCGCATTTTTTGGGGATTTATTAATGTCGTACATCCTGTAAACATTGTGCAGCCCAGCACGCAATTAACGCCGAATAATACGAAATATTTTTCAATTTTTGTAGCCGACATTAACATAGCATTGTAAGTTAAAAGTAACCTCAACCACAAAATCCATGTGAATGTTTTAACATAGTGTTGATAGAAAATATTTTACACCTCAAATATATTTTATTATAAGCAATAAACGGTTATTGATAAAGGTATATATATATGAATTACAGACAAAAGAAAACCAGGTTTCAGCTTTACTAGAACAAGCCAAATCATATTGCGACGAGAATGCGTTTGATCGACCAATTTCGAGTCGAAATTTGTACGAAGCTATGGCACAGTCTCTGGCAGATCTATGGCAGGAATTGAAGTCACATTTAAATAGGAGGCAACATTTACTCGGGAAGTCCATTGGATTTTACGGAGCCGCTGAAGAGGTAAAGTTAGAATATCGAATATGTCCCATCATATCAGAAATATCTAGCTCTATGTTAATTGAAACGATTTCCTTTATTTTCCAGTTTGACAAGCAGCTGACATATTTAGAGCAATATCTTAAGTGGAAAGATTTACCAGGAGACAAATCATCTGCGCTGAGTTTGTTGGAAACGCATAAAGATATGAGAAAAAACATGCTTGAAGCATCAATGCAATGTTTAACACATGGACAGAACTTGCTGGAAATTTTGAAGAACTGGCGAAAATCTCAACCCGATGGGCAGAAGGTCTACTATTCAATTATACATGAACTATTATTAAACAAATGTACACAATTTCCAGCTCGTGTTAAAATGTATAATAAAAGTTTAGGAATCATTGCATAAACGAACCTCTTTGAAAACACCCACCAATATTTTTTGCCAGTACAACACTGTAAAATAAGTTTTTCCAAGTGAGATCAAAAACTTATTGATTTAAAAATGGTCTAATTTCTTGTATTGGAATACCAGTTCTAAAAAAGGTGCGTATTTTTAAACCTGTTTGCCTCCTTCTTCTCCAATAATAGTTTTAGTTTTCACCAAATATTATTAGACAGGATAAAGACGTTTCTAATTGTTTCCTTTCGGAAGAGAGACATACTTATAGTTTGAACAATTTTAAAATGGCGTCGTTATAACCATAAATCTTGAAAACCTCTCAGAAAATGAGATTGTAGTTATTTTATTTTCACAAGTATTACTTTATTTCTAGGCCAGCTACGGGAGTGCTTGTACTGCGATCGAGTGCGCACTTGAATCGTTGATTGACAGGCGAAGACAAGTTGAACACGGTTATGAAAGAAGAAAGGAACAACTTGAAAAATCACTCAAAACCTGCCACTGGGAATCGGAAGTGAAAGAGGTCAGTAAACAAATAGATTAACCCAACGGTTTAAAGTTGAATTTAAATGATTTCTTATGATTGTAATTCATCGACATTTCTTACTTTAAAAACTATCTTATCTTGACGAATTGATATGATGTAAAAATGCAATTTACGTGATTATGCACTTAGAGAATACATTTTATATATACATTTTGGATTGGACGACCTCATAAATCACATGGTTGTTATATCATAATCACTATTCAGTGATTTGGAAATTACGCGGTAGATAATTCAAATAATTTTTGACCCGATTTGCTATCTAACATGTGCATAATTATACAATCTCTAAATTCATCAAACAATTGCTATAAGAACTACTTTCCTCCTTTATGATAAATTGAAGGTGATTGAATGGTTCGAAGAAGCAAAGAAGAGAGATTTTAACACAAACGATCTCGGAGAAAATCTTGAACGGGCTGAAGCAATGCAGTGTCACGTTGAAGAAATAAAAGTACAGGCTCAGGTAACTCTTTCGGTTTAGGTCGAATGCCATTGGTACGAAACATTGGTAATGAACACTATTTTCACGTTAACAGAATCGTCTTGAGAGAGTCAAAGGACTTCTTCTACGAGCCATCGAAAGCTTAGGAGCAATCGGTACAGAACCAGTGGCCCAGAAAGCTCACGAACTGGATAATGCTGGAGAAAGTTTTATGAGACTCATTGACGAAAGAAGAGACAATCTTGCACAATCTGAAAGTTTTTTCCGAGTTGCTTCCGAGGTACGACAAACGATAATTTGTGATTTCCGATCAATAGAACGAAATGTTTAAATGGGCATTATAGAATTCAGCTTTTCAATAATTGCATCATTCAAACGCAGCCAGTATTTCAAATTATAGCTCAAATTTTCATATTCTTTGTGTGGTTTAGCTTTTCCGGAAAGTTCTGAATATTTGTGGCTTAAATGAATGATTCTTGTTTATGAGTGTTCAATAAGATCATATAGCATGATTTTTCAATTAACTGCAAATAAGTTCAAAAGCTTGCAGCAGTGTTGGATGATATATATACATTCAAATATTATATAAAACGGTTTCCTATATTACAGGCAAAGAAATCACTGGATGAAATACAAAAGAATTTAGATAATATGGTATTTTCAACAGACCTGGATGAACTTGAAACCCAGTGCTCAAAATTTATGGAAGCTATTTCATTGTCATACAAACCTGCTGAAGATCTGGCGAGGGATATTTTGGAGAGAGCGTAAATATTTCATTACATTGTCGAACCTACTCTGTAAAATTTAGCATAACCCAAAAGTAGAATTTCACTGCATGTTAAAACTGGGAGATTCAATTATATATTGGAACTCTATCATTGAAATTAGCTATGAAAAAGGCAAACCAAAATTGAATTCAGCTAAATTATACACGAGAATACGTTGTATCATTGACAACTTCATTTATCAAATTCATGCCTTGTCATGAAATCAGAATAACAAAGTCAAATGGTCAAATGTTTATTGTAACACTATCATTCTGACTATATGAAGGCACTTAAAACAAGCAAGTGACAAAATCTTAATCCGGCTACACACAAAGATACACTATCATACGATACATTATTATTGGCAACTTGATCAATCAACTCATATCTCAAAATTAGAACTTGAATGACAAAGTGTCAAACGTAAATTTGAACTCTATCATTCACTTTATAATAAAATAAAATTGAAAACAAGCTAAAGGCAAAATCTGGTTCAGCTACAATGTACATTATTGAGTCTTACATATTGTTAGTTACGAAGAGGAGGAAGATCGAATTGAACCTGGAGCTGTCGGAGTCGAAAATTCAATAAGGCAATTGGATGAACAGAGATCAAATCTGGAGAAAACAGTCATTAAATATAGACAGGAAGCGATGAGAATTAATGAGATGGCTGCTCTATTCTTCGCAAGTTGCCAAGAGGTAATATCACTTTTTAATTTCAATGATCCGAACATGGCATGATATCGATAACATTTCAGATTCTATCATACATAATGATAGAATAAGTACAGCATAGTGTGGTTTTTGGAAGCGGGGAATGATGTATTCTGGTCTAGGGAATGTACTTGAAACCACGTCAAAGACTCTAAGATTCATTTTTAAGTAAGGCATCAATAGCTGATGTATTCTGGGGGGTTCCCCCTGTAGGGGGGTTAAGGAAATCACTGCAGAGACTACTGACCCCAACTTCAGCAATCATTATCCAACATTAAATAAGCATGTACATGCTCACACCTAAAACGAACCAGCGGTTACGTTAAATTAACATTTCCGGTATTCTATTTGCACAAACTTATCCAGTATAGGATTTCATACAGGCGATCACGCGTGGAGTAATCAACAATAATGGCGAACCAGCTCCTATAACTTTATAAACTCAGCAGTCAGCAGTAGAATGTTATGAACAACCTTTGCCTAATCAATTCTGATTGCACCTTTATTTGTTTTTATGTAGTTAACAGATTGGATGACACGACAAGCATGTGGCATGCTCGGTACTAACACGACATTGGGTGATACGCAAGACGAAGCTACTCAATTTCTGGATTGGCACAAGAGTCTTGCTAATGATATAAAGGTAAGTGAGAAAGTTCCACATTTGGGTACATTTTATGTCAAACAGTGTTTACGTTCGTCATTAAGCTGTCGGAATTCACGAGTTATTCTCGACGTACAATATATAAATAAATCTGTTCAAAAGGAGGTATTTCAAATTCATCTCACATGACCGTAAGTTTGCTTTAAAATGTAGCACGTAAAACCACCAGACATATATCCAAACGTTTGGATATTGTTGCAAAGTTCTCGAATCCCAAAAACTTGACATTTCATGTTCATCGTAGCAGTGTATTCGGTCAAAAGGTCGTTTTCCTATTTACCTTGCGCAAATATTCTGCATTCGCGCAGACATCAATCTATGTTACAAACTTCCGGTACCAGATACGCAATTTCACTTGTGATATAGTCAAGGACTAGTATAGTACAGTTAAATTATATTTCGAACGAACTTTTCTTATCTGAAAACGTTAAAATAATGAGGCTATAAATGAAACGCGTGGGTCATACAAATCATATTACTGTTAAAATAGATCCCACTTTGAAGGTATATTATGTATGTAGTTTATTGTTGATGCTTTAACAAGGCCAATAAAATTGGTCAATTGAATATCAAATTAATTATTTCGTTCGCCGCTGATGGATTGCTTATTTACCGAGAAAATAAAAAATAAAAAATATTAGAAGGCTAACCAATGTTATTACAATTTCACGAATTCCTTTTAAAGCGGAAGACGTATAAGACTTACAACTAAATTCTGTATGCCAACAGACAATTAGTGTGTTGAAATAACACACCTTTCCGCGCGATCAACTCCTAATTTGTACGTTCAAACTAGTAATTGTCATATTTTGCGTTTTGAAGTCGTAATAACACAAGCGCATAACCTCAAGGGCTTTGTCAGCCTGAACCACTTTGATACTTGCGAGAGTAAGACAGCAGATAGAATTGAATTGACATATTTTTGTATATGCAAGGAAAGGTGCATCTTTAATAAAGAAGCTTGGTGCTGCGGTACCTAGTAAAATCGAATGACTTCACAAGCACAATCGAAACAGAAAGTTTTATCGTCCATTATGAAGTATTTTAAACTCTCGTAATGCTGTATACAATGAGTGATTTCGATAGAACCGCAATAAGTTTAGTCAAGCTTGGACCGCGTGTCGAAAAGCTGCGTTAACATTTACATGAGTAACCGATAATGACGACCTAAAATGCTCGTTAATAATACAAGAAAGATCTTGTGTTGCAAATCGGATTAATTATGATTTGCGAAATGATGGAAGACGGTACACGTGTAGAAGTCTGCGAATGCTAAACTAAACATTAATCAATATGTCACGCCGAGACGTAACATGTTAAAATTGCTTAAATTTATCGGAAATACATAGAAACAAGGTCGCAAGGTAAGCAATGCATTTACAAGGTCTTTTATAAAACACAGAAGTTCGCGTATTGCCATTTGAACAGCAGATATTTCAATTCGTATTTTAGCGAAGATTAGTTCCAGTCCGCAATCCAATTCTTTTTTGTAAATTACCTGGGTCACCCCGCAAATATGATTGAGCTGGTATTAGCGATAACGTTGACGCAGAGAATGAAGTGTGTTTAGATTTCTGCGTTTTGCTCCAATACTCCTCCGTCATTCGTCACCCACTAAACTTTGTTGTTTTTCAATTCCTTCATTTTAACTTTTGCAGAAGAAAAACTGCGACCTAGAATCGTTAGTCGAAACAGCAAACGTGCTATTAGAAGCTGGAGTAGCGAGACCAACCTTAGTTAGAGATAGAGCAGAAGAACTCAAAGTCGATATGACAAGAATAAACAAAATAGTAAACTCAAGAGCAAATCTTGCGGAGAGTTTTGTGGATTGTCTATCGAATGCCGATCAGGTAAGCCATACAATATTTGCTATAAATTGCTTGACACATGAATTTTCTATTTGTTCACGTTTGTGATAAATTGTGGAAGTTATGTGACGTAATTCCATCAGAAATAGTGCGCATGAAATGTTAGACAAATTTGTGTAATGCGCATTAGGCATACATGAACAAATATAAAGATATGTTGCAAAATATGAATCAAATGCATTGTTAAGTTTTGCTTTTACGCCGCATCGCTCGCCGTTAAAGCATGTGAACTATTCACCCATATAATCACCCCTTTATGAAATAATCTTGGGCCATAAGCCCTGTAATAATGTGTAAGCAGCATAATGTGTAACAAGCATTTAGCGGTCAACTTTTGGTATTTATATTTCTATGTGCAACAAAATACTTAATGCATTATGGCATCCGTCACTTACAAGGTATATATATAACTCACATAACGAATGTAGAAATTGCAGACTAATCGGATAAGCGCGCGTGTCGGCTGAGATTCGAATGCAACATTCAAACATGGTCTGTTGATGCCCTTTTTACCCTCAAAATTTGTTAATACCAGACAGTCAATTTCGGTGTGTCATGCATGATTAAGGGTTATGGATAGCAACATAGCGATCGTTTGCGATTTGAAAACTAGTCATGAATAGCGAGCAATTCATTCAGAATTAGCGCCGATTACTGCACTAATATAACATTCAATATATGCTAAACCACTGACAGACCTCAGAAACAATGTCACGGCTTCGGACAGTTCTTGCACCGAGTCAGCACGAAAAGTTGAATCAGATGTCTGACCAGGAACGAATCTCTTTACAAGAAGAACTACAGGCAGTCCAAGAAAAATGCCTCAATGCTATTGACACGTCGCAGAGTTTGATTGGAAAGCTGAAGGAAGGAATCGAAGGTGATGGTTAAATTCCCAACCATATTTAATCAATGCTCTCATTCCTATCGTGTCGCAAATATCGTACAAATTAATTTTGCACAATTTATGCTACAAAACATTGCGTTTATAACTTCAACTGCAATGCTGAAGCTGAGTCAAAGAGTTTCATATACCGCTATAACTTGCAAGTATCAAGTATCGCCAAATATAAAAATAATTTCATAATAAGTGTAGATAGAACTCATGTCTAGACATGGGACTTGTGGTGCAAAGCTGTTTCAATAACATAGTACGTTGATTGTAAAATCCCCGAAATATTTAAAAAATAATAAGTGACTACTTCTAACATTTTCTGGGTGGCCTGCTGAGAAAAATCACGGGTATCTTCAATTTTCTAATCAGATAAAAGTTTTGACATCATTATTATTTTCTGTCACTAGATGATAACCTCGAAACTGAGGAATCGGTGAGCCGCGTACAAGATATTACAAAACAACTCAAACAGGAAAAGGACGACCTACTAGATCTGTGGCTGACTTGGCAATATAGAAATAATGTAGGGAAGGATGTGGATGTACAATGGAAAAATGTGGAAAATACTGCAGATAGGGTATGTATAATAACATCGACTGTTCTCGTTACTCTATTGAACTACCACTAAGATTACGAAACTTCAACGTCACTTCGACTAAGTGATGTTATTGAAACCCAGTTACTAACTATTTGATAAAAGCTTTATTACAATTACACAATTAACTCAGTTTCTAACAAGCGGCAGAGTTACCAACAACTTTCGTAGTCAACTCTGAATACTGATGTACATGTGATATATGCTCTCTTGTGTATGTCATCGACATAACTTATCACAACCGTACCACGATTAATTCCCTATTTGAAAGTATTTTATCGTGTTTTTTCACATATATTTCGGTAATATTACTAAGTTGAAGTACGTCAGAAATATCTTATCGTCATTTTTTCACTCACTTATATTCTATGCCACAAGGTGAGATTGGGCCGCTCTTGTGTCTCATTTGAAGTTTTGACAACTGAACCGGATTTCCGTCCAGCGTGTTTGTCTGGTGTATTGTAATTACCTCATACTATGGAAAGGTTATATGATCTAAATACTTTTCTAAATCGATTTGTGATTTGCTAATTTAATCTACGACAGCTGAGATTGAATATTGTTTAAGTACCAATACACTTTCTAAACATTAAATTATTTTTCAGCTAATGAAAGCAATGGATAACCTAGAGCAGGCGGTGTTCATAAATGATGAAGTGAGGCTCGGGGATGATGTTGATTCAACACAAAAACTAATCGTGGATCTTGGGGATAGACTCAATTTACTGCAGTCTATTAATGGGGAAATAGAAAAAGTGGTCAAGGTAAACGTCGTTAAGTATAATGAGTTATAATGTGTAATAAGTCATTTGCAAAAAAGAGACATCATAAACTTTTGTTATTGAATCACCTGCATCACGTTTTAGTAACCTTTCCATGTAAAGAGCGGGTTTAAAAGCTGAATGGTAGTGTGAGTGTTGCGTTTTTTTTTATATAAAAGGATTGTTTACTTTTCGACACAAGATGGCGTTCAAATGAATAAATTAAATGGCTAACATCCTGTAAAAAATTGATTGAAAATAGTTATTCAGTCCAACCACATTTATATATTCAAGAACTTTATTTCCAATTCGTTTCAATTCCGTTATGCTCATTTTAAATCTAAACGGTAGTACGAGTGTTGCGTTTTTCTTTTGAAAGGGTTGTTTATTTTTCGCCACAACATGGCGTTCAAATAATTAAATTAAATGGCTAACCTCCTGTAAAATTGATTGAAAATTATTATTCGATCCAACCACATTTATACATCTGTGAACTGTATTTTCAATTCGTATCAATTTCGTTATGTTTATTTAAAATCTAAACGGTAGTACGAGTGTTGCATTTTTTTCGTTAGGGGTTGTTCATTTTTCGCCACAAGATGGCGTTCAAATATTTAAATGACCAACATCCTGTGAAATATTGATCGAAAATTATTATTCGGTCCAACCACAATTATACATTTAAGAACTCAAGAATTCAATTACGTCCAATACAATACATATTTTCTGCCAGCTTTCTGAAATATTGGGACTCCGTACACCACCCTCACGAACTCCTCTAGCAAGCGTTAATAATACTCCACGGAGCATTGACAGACAAGACTCTACAGAAGACAAAGACCTACTCATTAGAAGCCTCCTAACCCGTCACCAGAACCTACAGATGCGGTTGAAGAATTACAACATGGCTTTGGCGACCGCCAAACACGTTCATCGTGACACAGGACAGGTAGCTTAAATAATGTTTTGTTTTACGGTACACAATTTAAAAGTGGGCACTCCAGAAGTATGTGTACCAAGATGGAAGTAACTAATTTTGTTCGCCTACTTTACATCAAGTTGTGTAAAGAGATTGAAACCTATGGGCATGGGGTATATTCACTTGGCTAACACAAAAGTCCCCGAACTTTTAATTGAACTAAAATAGGGAAAATTGGAATAAAATTATGGCTTAACCCTAACATGGTACACATACCACGGGAGTACCTGAAATTCCTATTTCTTCGACTATGTACAAAAAGAGCAAAGAAACGTTTTCTAATGAAAACCTTCGAAAGTTTTTCTATACAAATTCATGGTTGAATTTCATTTAATCAGCTTTGGAAATTACTCCACGACACTGAGAATGATATGCGGGAAAAGGAGCTTATTGCTGAATCCGAAGGGGCACTTGCACATCCGAAGAAAGAATCCTACGTGACGTTATTGCTCCGCAATCATGACCGACTCAAATTAAGTGTGGACGAACTCATGAAATCTATCACGTCCGGCACGTTTGGTGTTCACCAGATTATCAATCAACTGTCTTTAGGAAGGGTAAGATACATTTTGTTAAATATGGGCGATAAAATACGCATAATCCTGGATTGCAATAAGAGTGGCACTGCCATTTATATGTAAATAAATTCGTAATGTTTGGCTTTCACAAATGAGAATAATGGACGGCAAATGTCGAAATGCTATTTTGCAGTTACACAAGAGCGAAGATAGGCCTAGCATTGACAAGGCAACCATGGAAATTTCTGCAGCGAACACAAGCTGGCAAAAACTCTGGCAACAACACAGAGAGACCCTATTGAATCAACTTAATACCGCATGGTATTCACAAGAACTCCGCAAGGTATGTATATACCTGTATCTATATTTCATTGCTTTGATCTCAATTCACGCGCTGTCATTTACTTTAATAACATCTAATATGTCCAAATGTACTAATACGTACGCTAAAAGCAAAAAAAATCCGAAAATTCATAATCGGTTGATGGAAAATTCAAAGGTTTACTTTTTCACGAACCATGTTTGTGCGAAGGGTAAGACAACAATCGTAAATAAAATATGATTGAGGTATTTATTTGTTTTAAAATTATATTTTAGCAAAAACAAGTACTTGACGAAGTGAGCAGGGTAATTCAAACTCTGGAAAATGGCCTTCTATCTTGTTCAAGCAAGAGCATTGCTGCATCCTTGTATGAGGAGTATGAAAAGATATCCTTAAAGATTCAGGTAAACTGCAACAATTTTCTTTTCTGGACCTCCAGAAGCACATACATCAGGAATACAATTTGCTCAGTAATATATCCTAAAATTTATACTGCTAATAGCTTCATGGAAATAAACAAAAAAATTCTTAATTTGAATACAAATAAGAAAGCAAACAAAAGTGTCCGATTTTAAACAGGAGTTTATAAGTTATTACAAATGATACACTTTGTAGCTAGGGTGTCAGATTGAAAAAATGATTTAAACAAAATGAACTTTGAAATATATGTTCAAATATTATCCCGAAAAAACTGCTTTAGGCTTTCAAAATAATATGATGAGATCACCCGCTAGCTGTAAACTATTTGTTGCGATATATTGTTTACTTCACCTGAATATGGTGATTCAAACATAATTCAAATACAATGCCATGGTGAGGCCTGATAATGCTTAAAATTTACCATTATCCAGACTCCATATGAGGACTGTCTAAGTTTCGTTGCGAATGCTGAAGCAAATATGGGAAAAAGTAATCCCCGACATATGGACGTGGATGATATAAAGAAAACCTGGTCCCTCACAAAACAGAGGTTGGAGCGAATCAAACAGACAATACTGGCATACGAACAGTATTACGAGTTAGCTTTACAGGTACCCAATGCTCTTTTTCTTCCTTTCAGCTATAAATTAAAGTCTGTTGTTTATAACTTGTACATTTCATTTAAATTGGTACATAGTCGCACGTTTTAATGACTTCTTTTACTCTAGAATATCAAAATAATTATTAGAATACAGTGCTAACGGAGTGGATAGCACTAACAAATATAACTATTTCGTTATTAACAAACTAGAGTGGCATTCATCAGGTCTTTATGATATTGTCGATTGTCGAAGAATATTCCATCATGAGTTCGATTTGACAAATATATGATTACGCAATGGGTATCTAAGTTGAAGAGTATTTTTTTATTCAATTGCGATCTTTCATGTGCTTATTGTAAAACTTCTAACTGTTTTCAGTGCGATGACTGGCAATATGAAATGGGCAGAATATTCAGTGCTTTGAAACAATACTCCAGTACAAATAGGTTTGTATTTGATTTCATATTCAGGAATGAGGTATCGCATACCAAATAATAACCTTTTTACGGGTCCAGGAGAGTCCGGTTCGAAGCTTATGGAGTGCTCCCGAAATATGTGAACCAAGGTGGCGGACACCAGAACGTAGTATGTGTACCAGGTCAGGGTTAGGCCACAAGCTCAAGTACAAATACTACGGGAGTCACTTGGCTAGTCCCCGATCTCGTAATAGAACTAAAATAAGAAAAATTGGAATAAAATTATGGCCTAACCGTAACTTGGTACACATGATACGTTTCGGTATCCGCCATCTTGGTTCGGAAGTAACCCTTATGGCCACATCTCTCGTTGGTTATTAAATTGGATAGGCAATGTCGAAGAGAAATGATTAAGGTTCTTATAAAAAAAAAAACTAGCTTCTTGCATATCAGAGTCTTCTTGTACAGAGATTTTTCGGGAGTGAATAGCGTCGTATTAAAACCTTTAAGATAGAACCGATTTTCAGTAAATTTCTGCCCAGGCCTTTTCCAGATTCCATATGTTATTCAACTTCTAAAAATTATACTTACCTAACAGCACACAATCAGCGACTCCGACATTGCAACGATTGGATAAAGATATTCTCAGTCGAATTTCTGACCAAGAAGATCGAATAAGCGAGATGAAACGGGTTTTCAACGATCAAATCGCTCATTCCTCTTCTCTCATTAACACCCAACGTAACAAAACAAAACGACATGATTTTATTAGAGAGTCTCTCAACTCATTAAGGTAAGTTCATGTTTTTTTTGCATATATTAACATTTCTTTATTGAATGCTTACAACATTTTTTTAAATCATCTAATCAAAACGTTGGCAAGTATAATTGGAATAAAAGTTTTGATGTATTGTGAAACTAATGCGATTTTATGATGACTAGGGTGTTAAAGAATCAAATCTATGCTCATTATTAAAAGATCCCTGAATTAATTTCAATAACTTTTCAATATTTACTAATGTCACAAAATATATATCTTATATCTAACTTTAATTTATATGGAATGGAATATGGATTATATTTTGAGTTTTTAATAACTGTAAATTATATTGAAATTAAGTAGCTGCCTAGGACTACGTTAAATTAGCTGTAGACATTTATGATGAAAACTATAGAATAATTATTATCAAGTTAAAATTATTTCAATGTTACGTATTATGTCTTATTTTAGAGAGGAAGCTTTGGCTTTGAAGTCAAAACTTGAACACCAAGATGAGATTCGCCTACAGCAAGAAATGTATCAACAAAAACAAAGATTGCAATGGGAACAACAGGAGCTCCAGTCTCAAAAATCTCTCGCTGAAAATGTTTCGAAGCGGGTACAAGATTCGATGAAAACCCAACAAAGTTCGCGAGCAACCACAGAACATGAGGTGAAGGCTTTGGAAGATAGGAATGAGAAATATTCAAATGAAGATGCCGATATTCCGCCGCCGCCACCGCCACCTGTCCCCAAACACGGCCCGACATCACCAGTGTTGCTGAAGCCGACCCCAATCAAGTTCACACCGAAGCCGTATGTAGCAAGTCCTTCAGCCGGAATTTTAAAAAAATCTCCAAGTCAGCACAAACTATTCGATGAGGGTACGGGTGGTTCCTCAACGTCCGGATATTCAACGCTCACAGACGGAACAAAATTACATGAGCAAACAAAACCGACCACACAACCACCAAGGAGCATATATTCACCCCCGTTGTATATTAATACCAACTTTCCACGAAAGGCACCAAATGTACTTTCTCCCACAAAAGCTGAACCACAAACGCATGAAGGCCAATTAGCCCCAAGTGTTTCAACAAGCCCGCCAGTTCCGACCTGGTCAAATTTGAAATCTGCGAAAGCTAACGTGAGCAGTTATCAAACTACGAACACGCAAATGAAGCCCAAACAATCCCTTATCACTAAAAACGCAAGTTTTGAAAAGGCGGTACACAACCAACTGCGGAAATACGCAGGAAAGCCCCAAGAGTCCTGGGAATCGCAAATTGACAAAGAGTTCGCGGCTAAAGAAGGAAAACTATTTGAGCGACCTCTGGCATACACAGACAGTGCGGAGTCAGAACGCAGCGGTTAGTAGAAATGAACTATTAAAAAATACATATATATCAATTATACACTACTGTGCTAATTGTCAATATGTGCAAATACAATTGGTACAACTATATGAACGAGAACATAAGTTTTAAAATGGCTGATCTCAATGCTTACTCGCATTGTTAACTGTTTTCGACGTTGGTGTTCTCGTTTTCTCCATCTATGTAAAAATATTAAAACTCTGATACCATAATATTCTCAGATGATGTTGATGTGTAGTTGTTAAATAATGTAGATGTTGCATTTCCTTACAAATCGTGTCACTATTTTATACAAATACCGAAATACTTTGTATTCCATACTGTTGGGTAAAACAGCGTTTGGAAGTGAGCAGCTATTTCTATATTACTCACAGGTGCCACGTCACAGTTCACACCAGTTCCAGAAAGTTTCACTTCAGTAACAGCCGAGGATACTGTGTCGGAATCTAACGTCAGTACTTTGACTTCAATGTCTGATGAATACACATTAGGAGACGAAACTACTCCAAGCGATGTATCAACCGTGGAATCGGTACAATTGAGCGACCAGGGTTAGTAGAACTATTAGTTCCTAACTTATTAATTAGAATTCTATAACCTGGTAAACTCATCGGTCACATGTCTTTCGTTTGTCTTCACACACACTAAAATTTGAAACTATGCTAGCTTTTTTCCCTTTCGACCAAAGTATGTATGCGCAGTAAATTCTCTAGGTATCGTGAAAAACGAAACGATCTCATAGCCTATTTTGCTACAATTCTCATTTTCTAAGATAGGCCTCTTTACTTAAAAACAATAAAAATATAAAACATACCTTCCTGCGCAGATATTTTCCACCAAAAGCCAAAGTCCAGACACCATAACATATTGCCAACGAAGAAGCCTGACACCCACGCAGGCGATGTTACAAACGGTTTTCTTCCACACGGCGCAAAATCCAATCACGAACCGCCGTCTCCGCCTCCACGTCGTCACGGAATCATTTCAAAACGATCGCCCTACCAAGGAATCTTCAGTAACGGCATCCACCAGTCACCAGCTCAGCGTATCAAAAACAAGGTACATTATCATCAGACGTGATGACGTCACAATGCTTGTGCCTTGGTGTCAAATACGCACGTGAAATCAGCAATGGTAATCACGTGATAGGCCTCATCGGTGCATCTCAAGTAACAAGGCATATACTAAAACGCTGAATAGAGGCACTTAACAGCACGAACCATCAAACTAAAATGTTAATAACCACATGAACTAACTTTCACGTGCATGAATTTCTGCATAACACATTTTCAATTGGGTCCAATAAGTTAAAAAGCACATTAATTTTCCATGATATAAGCATGGGAAATTAAAGATGAAACCAGTACAGTCATTGAATATTCAATGTGGTAATTTTCCATCAGTTTCAACGACTGAACTGAGTAAAATGGAGACAAAATTAACGCTATAATAATTAATATCTATTTGCATTTTATACATACCAGTTTATGTACACATTTTTCTGCACCTTATTTTTTCTAATAGGAAGACAGAAATTCATCCACAGCCTTCATTCAGGTGTAGTTATTAACAATTCGTAAAGCTCATAGATAGTAAGTTATTGGCAGTATATTAGACATAGAAGTAAAATGTAATTAGATCTATTCATTCAAACTCAACTTCATTGGTGATTTGTAAAATTTCCTTTTTGGTTTCCATTTCTCAAATCAATTCTTCGAAAACTTCTCAGATATTTCTTAAGTTATATTTGTGGATGAAATTTTGTCTTCTTTTTCATTTGATGAATTTCTTTTTCTTCGAATTTATTCCCTAATGTTCACTTATTATTTCTTGTATTTTTTCTTCTTTTTTTCTTTATTAAACAATCTGGATATTTCGTTCTGACGACTTTTCATTTTTTATGACCATAATATATTAAATAAATCAATGAAGTTATTGCATGATACCTGTCTTTTCATAGTATTCTAATTTCTGCTTTAGTGTATATAGTACATTACATGAGTATAGGTACATATCGTTGCATGTAATATATACCGTATGTATCCAAACTAATTTAAACAACAGGCAGAAAAACAATTAACAATTGGTGTAAAAACGTTTGGAATTACACTTTTGTCACCCAAACGGAGAACATAATTCGACGGCAACGGACTTTGCCATTCATTCGCATAACTCTCGTATATAAGGTATGCGGAAGTGGCTTTGACCTCATGACCCAAATAACCCGTGTAGTTCAAGACTGTTCAGTACGAAATCACTTACGCATAAATTTACGTTGTTGGCGAATCATACAAACTTAATTTCGAAATAGGCGACAAAAATCACATCGATATTTAGACAGAGAATATGCGCATGAATTCTCGGAGACAACATGGTCAATGAAGACAGCCGGGTGACTTTAAGTGTAGACCTATGTAGTAAAATCGGAAACTGTAAAGTTACAGGATCACACCCTGGGGTCGTGTCTTTGGAGGCGACCCGCTTTGAAGTCAAATAATATGGTAACCCTAACTTTAGTACCCAAACCAATGAAAGAAGTACCTTTTCAATCGAAGACAGAACGCGGTTTCTACCTATTTTAGCTATTACTCTTCGTTTCATACGGAAATTAGAATATTTCTACCCGAGATTATCTCCATAAAACGCATGCTGCAGATTCACAATTTTCAGTATTTGGGGGGTTTTAGCAGCACGTTACGATCCACTCGACTCGACTAATTTTCGGCTGTTCAAATATTGATCAAGGACTATTTTTTATTAGTAGCAACAAAATATAACGGTATTACTATCAAAAAGCGTCAGTCGATAAACGTTTTAAGTATCATTTCACCGTAACTTCAATAAAGTAACGGTGAAATGCTATTTAAAGGTTGAACGACTGGCGTTTTTTTCAGTATTACTATAAAAAAGCGTCTGTCATCAAATGTTTTAAGTAACATTTTTCGTAACTTCAATACAGTTAAAAAGCGTCTATCGTCATTAAATTCGATATATATTTGTTTTTTCATACACAACAGTATTTAGAACTGTAGTAGTGCACCGTTGATGTTCAATATCGTTAATGGCTAAACACCGATAGCAGTACGGTAGCTGTAGCCTACCCTACTCAGCCATTCTGAGCAGAACAGTGTTAATTAGAATTTATACTAACACACCGACTGTACTTAGTTCTCTTCTATCTTCTCACTTTAATGTTATGAACTTACCATTAGCCATACTTGTATGGTGGACGCTACGGTAATGAAGGTTCCTATAATTCAAACAAAAATCAGTATATCCTGACCAGGGCCGGATTATGCTTTTTACACTTTTAAAAGACCTAAGCACTTGAGACCTTGGTGCCTTATGTATAAGGAGTAATAATAATGAAACTAGTGTTCTATCTTATCTGAAATTGAATATACAGTTTCATGATTCATTGCTGATTGAACGCCAAATTATGATTACTGTGTATGACATTTTTTGAAAATGTTTTTTTTGCCCACAAACATTCATAGAGGTTTAAGTTGATAATGAGGTAAAAAAATTTTTAACGGGGATAATATTGAGTTTTGAGTCCTTAACCAACTCTAATTATTTCATTAGACACTGAGGCGCAATTGAAAACTTGATTTTCAAAATTTATGTGGTGCTTCTTTTTGCTTGGTGGCCTGAGCACGTGCTTTTTTTGCTTAATTGTTAACCCAGCAGTGCCCACAGAACACAGACGAAAAAACATGATCCTAGAGACCACAATCATTTTTACGTACGGAAAATCTGAAAACGACTGATCTATTAGTTTCGAAAGAAAAGCGAACAAAAGCAATAATTTTTCCAAAAAAATTAGCAAAGCGTTCCATTTGTACATCTCGTGTCCAGCTATTGAGAAGCACACAGTTACACGGAATACATGAAATACTACTACAGGCAACTCTGTATATCCATTGTGACTTCGTTCTGTAGAACCTTAAAATTCCTCGGCTTAGGTTAGGTTAGTTTGATGCTATGCGCACCGACTTTTCCCTCGCGGTCCAGCTCAGATTAGTTGTTACCGAAGTCCAGACCAGAGACGCGCAAATTAGACTGTTTATTTCGTCATAATTTCCGCATCAGTTCACGCGAAACGTCGTTCGTCGTTTGCTGTGTAGTCTGTTTGTCGTCTCAGCTCGGAAAGGGAAGGAGTGGGCGATTTGAGGACAGGTTGGTCGCGATAACCTCAAGTTGTTCGGTGATGAAGTAACGTTTTATTTTGGTGAGTTGCTGTTACTAAGAATTATAGTTGATAAGTAAGTCATAGGTAAATAAAACAGCTTAATGACGCAGTAGAATCGTCGTTTAGTGTTCAAATTGGAGCATAATAAAGAGGAAGAACAGTTGCAGCATTTGGTAAAATGATTCAGTTAAAAAAATTGTTTAATCAAAAGTTGGAGTCGTGGGTGGCTCGGTCATATTTGTTCATGGAAATTGCAGGACCCCGAATTTGTACGCAGCGCATCTCTCAAAAACTACAGGCTAGTCGGAAAAACTTTCATTAATATAAATGTACCCGTTTGAAGATCTTTCGAAAATTGCAGAAAAGATGCAACGGACATGCGGATTTTAGATACATGAAAATCTAAATATTACGATTCGCATAGTATGATTACTCCGTTTCTAATTTATTAGTCGAGGTTGAATTTCCAAACACAAGTACACCTTTTGGATCTTTCGTACAAAACCCCCGCAAAAAAACACCCTCATCAACGCTCTAAATAAGAAAATTAATAATTATCCAGTTATGGTTAGAGATGCGCTGAAAATTCAAATATTTAATTCTTTCCTAACCCCAACTGAGTGAGTGCTAAAAGTCACTAGCATATGGCCACACTAATCTAAATTCTCCATACTCTGGTTTCCCGCAATGCATTTTGCAAACTTCTCATGTTTTGTGGTAGTATTGTGGGCACTAACTGCTGTTTTCCACATGGCCTCCAGGTTGATATTGCCGTAACAATAGAAGCAGTGAGCATATAGATCTTACCCTTTTGACTTCGTTTGACATCATCAAATTTCTTTTCATATTCGAAACGAAACTCGTGCTTATGCTGACTCATTGTCTAAATCAGGGTGGTCCAAACCCAGGCCCGCGGGCCACTTATGGCCCGCCGCTCCATTATCCGTGACCCGCATCGAATTCGCGGGAGAGTAAACAAAAAATCCCATTTGGCGTAGTTTCCCCATAAAAATAACCAGAAAATGCTAAAACGGCATTTTCTCCCTGTGACACTTTCTCCGTTATGAAGAGTTTGAAATCTTACACTAAATGTAGATATAGCAAGATTTTTGCAGGTTTTAGTGAGTTTTTTAGTGGATTTTGCATGTTTGGGCTTGATAAATGACAAATAATGATCAAGTGTTTGGACAATGAAAATGTTTGTTTTGTATTGCACTGTCTACCTATTATTGGCACTATTGTGGCCCGCGAACAAAACAAAAATAATATTGTGGCCCGCGAGTCCGACAACCTTGGACCACCCTGGTCTAAATTATGGTTATCCTTAAAATCAGGATCCCTAAAAACTAACAGCAACTATTGTAAATGTGTCACAGTTTGCCTGGAAATACCGCAAACCCTTTTTTAACAGAACAGTTCGCGAGGAGAGTGAACGAGTCCGAGATATGAGGTTACGGTGGAATTGATACCAATAATAACACAGCAAAGCGCGAGTACGCGTATAATTATAAACATCTTCCCTTGTTTCCACGGAAGCTTTATACGCAAAACACGAACGAGTCACCCGTGTTTTTCAGACAAAATAAGCACAAATCTTAGAAATAAGCACGATATGTTAACCCTGTAATATAGCGGATGCAAGTCATTTAAATAAAATTGAGAGTTCGATTATATATATATTCCTCGGATATTTTATAGAAAGTCCCCGCCGCTAAGGCGAAAAATGTGAGATTCGACAAAACACCCCTTCCATGTTTTAAGTACTACAAATTGCGCTCGCCACGTTTTAGGTAGTCAGAATAATATTTATTAAATATTTAGTTAAGCTTAGGAATGATTTGGAAATGTGAATTTCTAACCCTAACCTTAACTGAATAATTAATTAACTAGTTAATTTTGAAAAGTGGCAGGGGTGTTTTTTGGGCGAAAACCTATTTCAAAATTGTGTTCAATATACCATGGACTAATAAAGTAAGTTTTAAAAGTCGAAAACGGTCGGACTTCATTCAATTCTTCATTTGCAAGTATTTTCGAACGATTCCACAAGAACGTTCATTTGTATTCTTATTTATACTCGTAATAAATGGGGTCGCAAACGGCCATTTGTGTTTTCATCCATATAATATATATTAAAATGAATAGGGCATTCAATTATTATTCAAGACAGTTCATTAGTTCTCGTTGCTCTTATCAGGCGCCTGTGGTTTTAAATCCCTCGGGTAGCCATTCCGGCATCGCACGCGTGCATATTGCTACTGTTTTATAATATTTTGAATGCGATACGAAACGCTTCAAAGCCGCTTGTTACTCAACGTTACCAAGAATGACAATTTGCTTGGCCTGGCGAGCATCTAGTAGTAACCTGCTCTATACGTTCGAAATCCCACTCGATCTGTTTTTCTATATTATGTTTCAATGAATGGTATCGTTGCTTCTATGAGTTGTTTATATTAACCAACAGCCCGGTGGAATGTGTTTATTCTCCAATATGACGTTATCGCCCTCACGGAGTAAGCTTTATAGTACTGTTGCGTAACGCAAATGCTGTTAAATATGCATTTTCCCGCCAATGGCTATCCATTGAAATTAGTTGAGTTGTGACCATCTAATGGAGAAAAGAAATGTTCACATGATAGAAATCTGCTCTATGCGCTGTGATTTTTATGGCGTTGTTTTTCCATAATATAGAACTCGATTTTTGTTCTAATATCTATGGTTGACCCCATTTGATAAATGCAAATAATATTTGGTGTATTGATGAGGTATATATATACATAGGCTTACCAAGACATACACATAGCCCGGCGAATTTAATAATTTTTGTCGATGACCCAAATAATACGTCTTTCTTCGAATACTCGAGTGGTGTGACTTTTTCTGCAAAAGTTCTAGACCTGGAGACACTTTGAACTTAATTAAATAGTGTCTGTATTCTTTCCTGACTCTAAACCATGTACCGCGTAGAATGAGGTCTATCAATGTGACCATTGCAAATTGAGTCGAAAATGTAAATTTTACCATTACATGATAATATTCAAACGAGAATATCGGTCGGATACCGAAGACTTATCGATCTTAGATCGGTAATTAGTTAATAACTCGCTAATTATACGACATAATTAACCCAAAATCGATAGGCGTCTGGTCCGAGGTAAGGTGCATGCACATGCAAAATTTGGAGCAGATTCAACCACGCGTTCGTGAGATATCGCGTTCATCTAACAGACACACACACACACACACACACACACACACACACACACACACACACACAGACATACAAATACCTATCAATATACTTACCGATCTTAAGATCGATAAGTAATAAAATAGGCATTTCGATTTCCATAACAATTTTAATCTCTTTACCACAAGAAAAAATAAACGCATAATATCCGCTCATCCTCCTCTTTTGCGTATACATTAGAAAACCTGGACATGTTAGTCGAATCTACCTCTTCTCCACGTCAGATCCTTTGGCGCTATGAAATATAAATAATATTTTATCGTGTATAAACAACGTTATTCCTTTTTGCGAAGATGTGTTTTTAAATTACAAGATGGTGAAAATCTACATGGTATACAATTCCATTTGAAGTTGCGGCTAAGTTAGGCCTTTGAGAACAATATTATTAGCGGTAGCAATGTATGAATATTTATTATACTTTCTGCTATTCCCAGGAGATCAACTTTTACGAAAAGGAACACACTAACAATACACCAGTGTCCACAGAAATAAAGTTCAAGAAGGTGTTACCACCAGAACCAAAAGCTGAGACCAAACCAAGGTTGCTAAGGTATTGTGATTTGAATTGCAGCTCCCTTTTTCTTGTTACTTATCGATTTTAATCGGTAAGTATGTTGATAGGTATTTGTCTGTCTGTATGTCTGTATGTCTGTTTGTCTGTTAGATGCACGCGATATCTCACGAAAGCGAGATTGAATCTGCTCCAGATTTTGCATGTGCATTCATCTTATCTCGGACCAGAAGCCTATTGATTTTGGGCGAATTATGTCGTATAATTAGCGAGTTATCAATCAATTATTGATATAGTGATCTAGATTTTTGTAAAGCGAGAGAATTTTGAGACCCGCCGAGTGTGTGTGTGCGATGCGCAGTTTGCAAGTTACAATAGCGGATGAATCGAAACTGCAGTTTCTGTTTTGGGGGATCCCCTAACTATCAATCGATAAGTTCTCGGTTTCTAACCGATATTCTCGTTTACTACTTAGGATTCGCATTTTGGTACTACCGTAGTGTGTGTACCAGGGTAGGGTTAGGCCATAATTTTATTCCCATTTTCCTTATTTTAGTTCTATTACGAGTTCGGAGACTGTCCGAGATAGTATTGAATACGAGGTGGGATAAGGGATAAATAAGATTAAACTTGATATTATTTCCACGAATTGCTAAGGATTTTTAAAACCAACCACTTTAAGAAGATCAGAAAGGAAAAGCTATTCGATATAATTAATCAAATCAATAATACAAAACAAGCCAATTTGATGTGCTGTACATTTATATGACTATTTACGTATGTGATATTAGAAAACATAACAGTGAAAAAAATAATAACTCATAGTTCGATACTAATTTTTAGGTTCTCCCGAAGTATTCGTACCAAGATGGCGCATAACCTGAACGTATTATGTGTACCAGGTTGGGGTTGTTCAGGTTGTGCGTCATCTTGGTACGAATAATTCCGGAGCGCTGATTTTTACTCATGTGATAATATTTTCAACATATGTCAAGTAGGACATTCTATTTTCACAGGGAGCATAACATTGAAAGCAGAAATAACTCGTATTTCGACACTAATAAGCCAGAAACAAAACCCACCGACAAAGTTCATGCTCATGATCAGTCGATCATCTCACGGAGCCCAAAGGACATACAGACGGCATCGGATCTGAAATCCGCCTTACTACAAAGAGCCCAGATTAAGCGTGAAAGCAGCGAGATGAATCAACCAAAGAACGCCGATGAAAGAAAGGGAGAGGGACAGGATAAACCTCTCGGTAAATATTTCTTTAACAACCTGTCCGAAAAAGAAAAACTGAATAAAATTGCTCATAAAACTGCCTTGGATGCGATGGGTTGAATACCAGGCACTCGTTATTAAATTTTCAACTAGATTACTCAGAAGATTACTGTGTGTGTTATGGTTTATATCACCAATATATGAGAGTATTTCATACAGAGTTTAAATTATTTGAGCGGTTTTTTATGATAGTTGTATTATATTTCTTATATTTTTTAAGCCATGTACTTGTGACTCTTATGCCTAGTGGATTATAGATAACTTTTAACCCCTCTTCAGGTTGCAATGATTAAATAGGCCATGGAGAAATCGTGTTTGTAGAATGAGAGTATCCTCGTATGCTGTTTAAATTATTGCTTTCTTGGGTATTCATTTGACATCTAAATGGCATTGCAGAACGTTAACATTCTTACTCAATACAGAAATTCCAATTCCTGTTCAACAACGACCAGACAGTGTAATTGGGGACGAATATTACAATGACATGAGAGTGAAACAAGTAGAAACAATAATATTCGATAAAGTAAAACGAGTTCGAACAAGTAAAAAGAAGGAACTTCCATTGCGGCTGAATGTGGACATCAGACCACCCGGTAAATTTTTAGTTTAAACTTGTGAGGCTAATCATGCGTTATAGAGCTAAACTTCACCAGCCAATTGGGTGATATAAAAAGTCACACCACCTGTGTTTTATTTTTCAAAAACTAACTTCATATGCCCTTCCCCCTTTTTTGTATAATTTATTCCAGATTTCCCCACTATCATGATGAAATTTTTCAATAAAAACAGCGAGTTTCTACTCTCGACCACGCAGAGTATCTATATTGCGGCGTAACAGTACTTTGAAACACTTCTTTTAAAAGATATACATTCTAAGTCAGTGGTTTTGAAACGGTGAGCGAACCCCACAAGGGGGCGCAGAAAATTGTTTGAGGGAGCGTTAAACTTATTAAAAATCTTTGTTAGATTTGATCTTGCCCGCCTTATTTTGGATATTTGCATTCCATTATTGTTTAGAGATAGCAATTCCATTCACGTATTTCCAACGGGTTTTCCGAATAAAACATCCTTTCGCCTTACTATTTGTTATTTGTAAATTGTAACCCATTGTTAGCTAGGTATTTCTAAAAAGCGGGCGCGGCCCAAAAAGTTTGAGAACCACTGTTCTAAATACTCGTTTAGTTTTATGCGATGTTAGAACTTTCTTTAGTTTTATGGACTTGCCCCCGGCCCCCGCAAATATATTTATACTATATTAGCCACGATGCGAGCATTGCCAAAAAATGAATAATGTTCTATTCGTAATATATACATTGTGAAAAAAAAAATTTCGAACAGATATGGGATATGAAGTGTTTTAGGTATGTTCAACAGGCGGTTTAAATACACAATACCATAAATCAATGTATGCTCACGGAAAAGTTGAAATAAACATTAGTTTGATTGGTTTACTGTTTTGCAATTTCAATTAATAAATATGCTATATTATTTCCAACGCCAATACCTACTATATATATCAATTATGAGTTATTTTATATACATTTCCATATTTTGTTTTGTTTTGTACATTGCCCTCTTCGTTTATTAAAATATGAAAATTAGTTTGAAACAAATATTACTTAGGAATAGCGTTAGGAATAGCGTTCTTCAGCAACAATCTATCACATTTTTCTTCAGTTGAGGCATTTCAATCCCAAACCAAATTGACGGTTCAAAAGAAACCGAAATCGCCACCGATCGAAGGAGTTGTTTATCGCAATGAACATCGCCCAACAGAAATCTTCAGCTCAAGAAGGCCTTTGCAGAGACGAGCTTCTGATTCAATCATGGTAACGAGGCCCACGCAAAGAAGCGTCAATACTCAAACATTATCACGAAACTTTCGAAGCTCTCTGAGAATACGATCGCTCACTCCACAACCGGGAGATGTCGCTAGAAGTTCAGACTTTCATGCTCCATCACCGCGGCCTACTTTTGCTTCAATTAAAGTAGCAAAAAGAAGCGAGAGACAAGTGAAATCAGTATCGCCGATCCCAATGCAAACTGTTGTTATAAAACGGGGACAGCAATCTGTATCACCCACGCCATATTCAACGTCATTAACAGTTCCAACAAGTCCACAATATGTGGCAATTAATCGCCAGATGAAAAGTCCTACTCGTGCAGCCGCTACGAAAACTTCTGGTGTTTTACTTTTGCCCACAAGATCAAATTCAACTAATAGATCATTATCTCCTTCATCGTCAGATAATAGCTCAATCAATTATGCCAGCAGAGGAGTAGCGAAAGCACCAGAAAGACTGAGAAAATCTCAGTCACCTTCACCGATGTATATTGCTACAAGAAGCATTCGCTCTCCATCACCTTCTTCATTGAGGAGCACACCCACTAATGAAAATATTAATTTTTTTCTGAGTGACCGATATCCCCCAACAAAGTGGGAGAAAAGACCCGTTTTCCACTATTCTGCACCTGATCATCTCAGAGTACCCTCAGCAGAAATAAGATCGCCTTCCCCTGCCTCTTCAATAACCTCAGGCGGAACTTCAGAACTTATGGGTTACGCAGGATTTAGGAGTCCGCCCGACTCCGGCACCGAATCGTGGTCATCTTTGCCATGCCCTTCCCTTCACTCTATCACTTCTCCTTCCCAATGTGATACTGACTGCCTGATAGTTGCCGATCCTACTACTGGTCAGATACCGGATGAGTTGAGCGATGCAGCTACCGATGAATTAGTAAGAGCTGATCCATATGCCAGAGGGTTTCAAGCAGCGTCTGAATATTCAAGAGATGGAAAAAGACAAATGATGTTTCCACCTGACGTCAGAGTAAGTTGTATTGTTGTTGTCGCTAAATGTGTAAAGTGAAGAAAGCTTGACTTTGACCGTCCCACTTCATAACAAAAAATTCAATCAATAGAATCTTCTTGCGTTTGATTATTATGATTATTATTTACTGCGGTGTCTATAATTGGCCATTTTCATTGCGCCTGAATATGAGGTAATACCATGAACAGAAAATGGTAAAAAATAGTGAAGTAATTTTCTAATCCACGGTCAGTGAGGGGTAGAGTGAGTAAATATTCTATCTCGCCCAGGCTGTAATGAGTTAGTTGGGCAAAAATTCCGGTACCTTCAATAAATAGCATCTCCGTACATATCGATAGATATCGGCAAATGCTTGTACAAGACCGTGTTCGGAGCGAGCGGCGTGCATATACGTCGTATAAGAATAAAAAATAAAAAGAAATATTACATACACTAGAAATGAATTTCACAAAGACTGCAATATTTTCCAAGATCAACCTATTTCACATAAATTTCAACCCAATTTAAATCGTTTCTTCACCTTACAATACAAATGGGTACTGAATTCTCGGCCTATTTTTTTATAAATAACTTTGACATTTGAATACACAGCGCAACATTAGAGTCGTCCACACCGCAGAAACGTCTGTCACACAACCGATGCATGAAGCCTTTTTCTTTCAGTCTAGTTCTACTGATACCGATGAGACGATCGACCAAGACTACTTTAACACGTCAAAGGAGACAGTAGTTTTAACGAAGGTTATTGTATGACGATTTTATCAGATAGTTTGATTAGCTGTTCTTGCTACTTGGAAAAAAAATTAGAGGTCGGGCTAACAGCCAATGACTGTCATTTTCCATATTACGGCATTGAGGAAATAACTAAAATATATGAAAGAACGTCAAGTACCACTCCAATCTTAATTTTGTTTTTAGTTTCAGTCATAAAAATAGTTTATCCATTAATATCAACTCTGACCAAATTTTTGTAAAACTTCGCTGTTTTTTGAAAAATTGATAGCTCGAAAATTTGAAAGTTCAACACTCTTTATGCGACAACAATTAAAATACGAAATAGCGTTTTTGCAAATAAAAACCGTATATTTGGTAAATCCTATATTCAAAAATGGGCGCTCCGGAAGAGAGTGTATCAATATGGAGGTAACTAATTTTGTTCGCCTACTTTACATCATAATGTATGTATAAAGGGACTGAAACCTATTTGCAGGGGGTATATTCACCTGGCTAACACAGACAGTCCCCGAACTCGTAATAGAACTAAAATAGGGAAAATCGGAATAAAATCATGGCCTAACCCCAACCTGATACATATACTACGCAAGTACCCAAAAATGTATCATTTTACTTCTATTTAAAAGTGTAGATATAATTTTACTCTGATTTATTAACGCTTTCATCTTGTTTTATATTTTTCTGCTTTATCAGCCGGTTGGACCCAGTACAAGTTACAAGCAGTCATTACATCAGACAACCAAGACAACTACAGTGGATAAGCATAATATAGTGGTTACAAATGAAACTATACATACCGGGTAAACAGACTGTTTTTCTTAAAACTATTTTTATATTTTTGACGGTACTCCCGAAGTATGTGAACCAAGATGGCGGACACCGGAACATAGCATGTGTACCAGGTTAGGGTTAGACCATAATTTCAGGTACAAATACCACAGGAGTCACTTAGCTAGTCCCCGGACTCATAATAGAACTAAAATAAGGAAAATTAAAATAAAATTAGGGCCCAACCCTAACCTGGTACAAATACATTCCGGTGTCCACCATCGTGGTTTACATACTTTGGGAATACCTTTTTTACTGCGTCGATATGGATTGTATTCGACCGAACAGTGGGCCGTCTAGTTTCAATAATAGACTAATATCATTCGTCTTTACTAATCATATATGATACTAACTATTATTCATATCTAAGTCGTAATACAAAACCCCGGTTAACTGGGTGTCCGTAAAGTCTCTTTACACTTTCAATAAATTTCAATCAATGAAGTCATTTCTCGATATATCTTAACCAGGTTTGTTGTTTTTTAATCAGTATTTGTTCGAGAATTTCTACTTCATTACATCTGTGAGGGCCAAAACAATATATGGTATCGATAAATTCCCTTTACAATTTATAATATTTTAAGACTTCATGGACACCCTATACATCAATATATAATATAGTTTACTTCTATTTTAACGGCCTCCATGGTGCTTCTAGTAGGAATATTGTATGTATTGTCATGTATATTCATTGTATATAATCATTAATTTAGCTGTGGCCTAACCCTATCATCTTGACGATAGCTGTGACGTTTCACGAGATTCTAATATTTTATTTTTTGATCATGTGTAATTCAGCTAACCATTTGAAAACTGCTGAGCGATCTTCTTAATCACTACCTAAAAGAACGTTAAATAGCCTATACCAGAAGTGAGAAAGGTTTTTGGATCAGGGGCCAAACACTTTGCCCACCTAGACTGGCTGGCCATTCAGATGTGACGTAAAAAGTTACATGTTATGAACAATATTTACAGTGTTACAAAAGCAAAAGTGGAAAGCAAGCCTCGTGCAAAAACTAAATTTAATCGCAATCTCAACAAATTCCTTGATCTACTTTTTTTTAGCTAAAACATAAAAATTCGGTTTTAGTTTGGTTGTGGCCCCTCCAGGCGGACCAGATTGAATTACCCAACGGGTCGGATTTGGCCCGCGGTCGTATTTTGCCCATGTTAGGGCTCTATTCCCTTTTAGAAGTCGTCGTTGCACTTACTTATCAGAATTTTATTTTACATTTATCGCGTTCATTTTTTTACTTTGGGTGTGCTTTGCGGTGCTGTGTATACTTTCTAATTTCTCATAACACCACTCAGTTTACATGAAATCTAATTCTCTTCACAAAATAATCAAATTTGTTTTTTAAACTTTCTGGAACATAAAGTGAACACTGGAATCCAGTGTCTTTCAAAAACTTTCAACTCCATCTCTTCATTTCCCAATAACATTTGATCAATAACACAAAATAAATGTTTATTCGTTGAATTTATCGTTTTATACGGGAGAAATGAGATTCAGGCGGAACAAAGGTGGACTGTCATATGCCCTTTATATATTCCTGTCGTAAAGCTGAGTGCACGATAATATCAAGTGGGCCATTCGTGGCGAAAAACCCGGCGCTCATTAAGTGTGTGTACCAATATGAAGGTAACTAATTATGTTTGCCTGTTTTACATCAAGTTAAGGGACTGAAACCTATATGCAGGGGGTATATTCACTTGGATAACACAAACAGTCCCCGAACTCGCAATAGAACTAAAATGAGGAAAATCGAAATAAAAGTATGGCCTAACCCTAACCTGGTACACACACTACAGAAGTACCTTAAATCCTCCACATTATTGTTCAAAACAAACCATTGTAAACAAAATTAATTAAAATCGAGAATTTGTGGCGCGATTTCACTTATCTATATGTGAGTATCCCAATTCAGACATTCTTTGCACAATGTCGACTCCAGCTCAAGAACAGTTTTTTTACACAGTTGTTTCCCATCTTTCTGCTTTTATCCACCCTTCTGCTTTTTGTGGTAAGGTGTCACAAAATAAAGTTGAGTATTAAACGTGCAAAAACAGTGAAAAATTGTCAAAAACCACCAGTCAAAATGAAATCAACTTTAGTCATCAAATTGTATACAATGCAACTTATTTATACGACCACAAACCATAAATTTCATAGAATACACATACAATAGCATACATTATGGTCGGTAATTTATGCCAAGGTCAAAGGGTAAAAATTTGTGAACCGACAATAATAACCAAAGTAAAAGTGTAGTTTTCTTGATAACCACCCATACCCATGTAGGTTCTGTGGTTATATCTGTGTCATACTTCCTCATTAACTAAACAGATGACAGTTTCTAGTTATCATTTAACAATTTAGTCGTATTAAAACTGTATATCCGTAGATACATCGTCGCCCATACCAATGTGACCTTTACTGCGACCTTTGCGGACCGCGTTTATTCTGGTTGGGGGTCGTTTTATTCGTTGTTGTTGGGAATTTTTTTAGTGGATTGTTGTTTTCGCTATATGGCTTATTTATTTCAAAAATTTCTGTGGGCATTGTGGAATTCGTTTTTCACTGTGGAGTTTTGTTTAACGGCCTCATCAAAATAAAATTAAAAATTGCTCACCATGTGGCGGTTTCGCAATTGCATTTTGCCATCTAGTGTTCAGCATAGTCGGCAGTTTGTGAATAAGGAAGACTATCGGTATTCTAAAAGATTGATACATAGAGCCCCACAATAGTTCAGGCCGGTCCTACATATATTCTTGGGAATCAAAACTAAATATTGAAACCGTCGTTGTATGCTCATCTTCAAATATAGATTAGTTTAGTCAAGTCGGACCGACCCGGACCTTCATTCAAATTTAAGCTAAAAAATGGAATAACAGTATTTGTGTTTAGTATGTATCTGAACGAAATTAATTCAATTAGATTTTGGTAAGCGAATCATAATTGCGTACTCATTGACGTACCCTAATGATTGTGTTAAGTGCGTGACCATTGGACTAAAAATAATAACAAAAATATACCACAAACATGTGGCATTTATACGTATTCGAGAAGCCTTGGGAACTTTGTTACCTAAGCCAGTGCCAATGTCTATAATTGTCCTGACTACCCACAAATTCATATCTATATATTAGAAAAAGTGGTGACAAAAAATCATTTCAGTCGCATTGCGGCGATAGAGAGCAGCCAAATTGTACATTTTCAATTTTAAATATTCATTATAATAACTATTTCCCGAATCAGTCAAAATGAGGTGGACTCAAAATATCTCTTCGTAACTAAATTTTTGATTTTTTTTGATACAATATATAGCAAATATAATAATGGCGACAAACAGCTGCCATCTAAATTTAATTGGATGCATCCTTCAATTGTGTAGTATTTAGGCATCAAAGACATTCAAAGTGAATCGAATATTTATTCATTCGAAATTATATCCAAAAAAAAAAAAAATTGTGTTTGGCAATTAGGAAACTAAACAAATTGTTGTAAGAAAGTTCGGACTCGATGAAAAAGGTTACTGGGGCGATACTTGAGCGACGATATACCATGTCGCGATACTAATGTCGATTTTTGTTTGTAGATCATTTAGTCTAGCATTTGGCCTTCTGGTAGGTACATTATTGACTATTTTTCATAAGTTATTTTGTCTCTAAGATTTTTCCTTCATTTTCTCGGTCAAAAATGGATTATATCAAATATATAGCTTACGTTTGAACCCCTTAAGGGTATTTTTCGACTAGAATTTCTACTTGCAATTTGAACAATATTGTCTATTTTTTAAAAGTTATTTCGTCGCTAATATTTTTTTCTTCATTTCCTCGGCCATAATTGGTTATATCAAATATATAGCTTAAGTATAAACCCCGTAAATGTTTTTCAATATAATTTTGACTTATAATTAAAACTTTGATGTCTATTCTCCCTTGGTTCTTTTTTGCTTGAATTATTTTTCATTTTCTCCGCAAAAATTGGCTATATCAAATATATGACGTAACTTTGAACCCCGTAAAAAAGTTTTTTGACTGTGTAGTGACAATATAGATTGCGCTCATCGTCAATAGCGAGTTCGCTTGAAATTTTGATTGATTCGCCATTTACCCTTATCATCACTTTCAGTCACCTTCAAATATGTAATATCTTTATATAGAACAAAATTTGACAACTTTTATCAGGCTAGACTGAAACATTCGCTGATGTATTCAGAGCCAATAATATTTAAATTTTCAAGCATGTTCCATGGTACTTCTGTAGCAAAGCTATTCATATTACTAATATGACCAATGTGTGCTAAAATCCAAATTATTATCGTGTCTGAAGAGCCGTTAAGTGCGAAAATGCTTATCACTTTGGTCATAAACAGTTGTGTTCGCTGTCGCGGCCTATCTCACGTTTCACTATATGTCAAACCAAGCGAGGGTCGCCCCTTGTTCGCTCCTCAAAGGCGCGATGTATGTGCAACCCTTGCATAACGTGAGATTTATCATTTTTTCCTCTAACATCGTCGTGATGACGAATGTAAAAGACAGATGCAGGCATACTTCGCGGTCATAAGCATTCGAACTTTTTTCCCAAGGGAGATTAAGAGAGGTCTGCTTAAGCTATCTAATCATTTCTATTACTTTAGTTTTCCAAGCCGGTTGTAGCGAGACAAGCTCGCTGACTTTTTTATTTTAATTTACAAAGTATTGAAAGACTAACCGACTGTTAGAGGAATACTTTACAGATATATAAATTTTTTTGACTGCGCTGATTCTATAAGGTAAGGCTATATTATTGACAAAAATTACTTTCAAATTTATTAATATATGAGTATTTCCTCCCGCAGTTGTAGTGATTGTCCGCAATATGGTTACCATTATTTTATAAAACGAATAGTGGTTTAGTTTGCAGTAGAAATACTAAATAAATAACTGACTCCATAATCATAAGGCATTGAAAATAGCTAAAGTATATTCAATAAATGTGAAAATTACTGTTTTGTATATAATTAACGAGAATGTTTTGCTCTCACACGCGATGATGCTTTGAATATTTGTATTTTTTTTCTTCGTATAAGTCTAAAGGACCAGTCAAATTTTGGCATGTCGCACAACCGTACGCTTATCTTAGTTGAGATGAAGATAAAACGAATTATTCTTGATCACAAGCTGAGATGTGATCTAAAGTCACATATAATATTATATTGAATACACTTCTTGAACTTTATCAAACTTTTTTATTTTTATTTGAATCGATATTGGATCGTTGTAATTTAGCGTTCAAACGACAGGGCATAACATCCGAATGATAGTGGAAAGATTAACTTACGTAATATATTGTATCGACGTAAAAATCGTTATTAATTTCTACTAATCCGTTTTGAATAATTTGTTGTTCACCTTTTGGGATTTATATTAATGCACTGTAAGATAAGTAAGGTTTCGATACAATGCAGAACCCTAATATGTGATTAATACTTCACGTTTACTTTTTGGAGACTGAAGTAGTAATAATTTCAATAAGTTTGCTAATGGTGTGTCTTGTGTATGTGTTTGTGTAGTATGAAAATATAGGACGTTTTGAAATTGAGTCTTCTGCGCCAGACAATTTAAAACCATCTTTCTCTTTGTATTTTATGTTTCCTTATATTCTGAAGTGTATGAAATACCGAATGTAATAAGTAATTTACCTATTTTTGAATCATCTATTTTGAACATATATCGTATTCAATTAATGTCACCCTCTTAGCTGTTACTATCAACGTCCCAATTAGAGCGAAGTTTAGTTTAGTTTTGTTCCTTCAGTGATTGTTGTAGCGCTCCATGCTGTAACCTATGATTTAGGATGGGGTTTGCTTTTTTGAGAAGTTATTATAAATCTAATATAACTGCGGTACTCCATTAACCTATCCAACATAAAATCAAACTTCAAGATTTTATCTCTACGCTAAATTCTCGATCGATCAATCTTTTAACTACTTAATATCAAGGAATCTTATAATCCAATACGAATTTGAGAAAGATTCAAACAAATTTTATGCGGTTTTCATTTATATTTTTGTTCCGTCCTCCATTTATGTGAACTTTTATTTGATATACTACAAAAAAATACAAGCTATTGAGAAGGCTATTAGACCCAATATGTAATCCTAACTAAATTCGAAATTTTTAGAATTACGAGAATAGTGTAAAACTCGCAATTCGTCAGATTCTTTCGAAACCCTGTCAACCAAGAGAACCCATTTTGCAAAATATAAATTTATGTTTTTTCACAGACCAAAAGAATCACACAGTCCATCAGAGATAATGGCAGGGATTGAGTTTCATCCACCACGCTTTACTCTCCCTTTGAAAAGCAATCAATGTGACGAAGGAGGAACTGTTAGGTTTGAAGCTGTAGTGACAGGTACGCTCTAATATTCGTTCTATGTATATAAACCAAATCCTTTTTTATGTCCACTTAAAATGTTTAAGATAATTTAACCTGAAAATATATCTCAGAAATGCAATACGATTTGTCATTGGAGTATGTATCTGCTTCGCGTTCTAATATCTTGATTATGGAAATTTGTTGGCAAACTTTCTGTTCTGTTAAGCTCTATATTTTGTCATTTTTCAATTCCATGCGCAACTATTTTTTGCAAGCTACTGCACCTAAACACTTTTTAAAATATGTTTTATATATAAAACGAAAATATACATTTGAATATTTTTATTTGAAGTATGTTTTTATATCTGCCTCGTCTTCTAATATCTTTTTTATTGAAGTTTTGTGGTAAATTTGCTGTTGTGTTAAACTGGATATTTTGTCATTTTTCAATTCCATGTGCCTGTATCTTGTGCAATCTACTGCACTTAGAAACCTATCAAAAATATGTTTATATATGAAACGGATTTATACCATTCCCGTAGTGTGTAGATACTAACCGCTTTCTGTAGAACCGTCGGCAATACGGATTCTATGGGATTGAATATTTATTCACTTAATCACGTAGCACCATTTACATCATTGGGCTACTCATTTAATCAAAGTTTCCATTATTCATTTGAAATTGTAAGCTGCTATTCAGGTTTTATGAATCTATATCCTATGTTTTAGGATTTCCTATACCCGCTGTCACTTGGCTTCATAATGGAAATGACGTCACAAACTCGATAAACTACGAGATATCAGCCGACGCCAGCGGAAGATGTGTGCTAAATATTCCGGAAGTATTTGATGAGGATGCTGGCATATTCACATGCCATGCTATCAACGGAGCTGGAGAAGCGGATACATCGGCTGAATTTGTTGTAAAAAGTATGCTTAATTAGTACCATTATTCAGTCAAGTTTGTATAGATAAATTAAACTATACAGTATAGATAAAGGTTGAAGGTGCCTTTTTTAAACTGTCCGTCTTATTTTCGTCTTGTGTAATAATTTGTATAATAATGAAATGTTTCCGTGTTTCACAATTCCCAAATAACTTATATTGGGGGTGCAGAATGAAATCAAAAATAGCTCACATATAATAGGATGTATCACAATCGAGAAGCCTACGTTTTACAATCCTTACAAACTGTAAAATATTTCAATTCTAAACACTATACTTAGTTTTACTCGGGTTTTCGCAGCCTTTATTGAGTAGTTAACTGAGTGAAACTTAACGTAGGACCGTACAACCATCATGGTGTACTTACTAGTCCAATCATACAGCTTAGGAACTGTACAATAACCACACAATATTTCTTCAAAATAATTTACACTAATTTATTTACAGCTAAGACAGTGGCTCCGTTGTTCAAGCAACATCTAGCTAGTATATCAGCTAGACAAGGACAGTCTGTTCGGTTTGAAGTGAAAACAACAGGATTACCCGCACCTCGTGTCAAATGGTATCGCGAGGTAAGATTTTAACCTATCAAATTATGTCTGACCTTGCATTTAAATAGTTAATTGCGGAATCATTAACTTAATTATCTGAAATGAGCTTGCTAGGCTAGAGTATTCAATCAAATTAATTTAGCATTTCTATATTGGCAAAAACTATTGATGTTATTGAAGTTTCATCAAACTTGGTCCGATTAATATTGTTCACTTGAGTTCCAATACTAACAAATTGGATTTAATTTTATTCCTGCAACAGCTTTACATTACACTACCACAACAGCATAGATAAAGCAAAGATTGTTAGTCTCGCGTAAACCAAATCGATAGTTAAAGAATTGGAGCCGGCAATTGCACGAAAATCTTCAGTGCGACTCACATTTTATTGGCATACTGGTTTTAGGTATATAATGAGTCTTGGTCATTTGTACCAGGTTCTTCTGATGTGTATAAAATTGAAGAAATGAACTGGGAGAATTCGTATGAAATAAAATTTATAGTAAAATTGTGACAATTATTCGGTCCCACAAGAAGTTCCAGAAGTTCTTTTCGCGAACCATATTAACCCATAATTAATTACTGTGTTTATATCATATTTACCTTTCAATTTCCCAGGGAGCTGAGATCCGACATTCAGACGACTTTCGTATCGTGAGTGCTGGTGACACACACAGTCTTACTATAACAGAAGCTTATGAAGAGGACACCGGAAGATTTACGGTTACTGCTGCCAATAATGCTGGAAAGGCTACTTCGACCGCTATGCTGACAATTTCAGGTTTGTTGTGGGGAACGTTTGTTTATCACTAGTTCGGAATACATCCCCTTCACACAGCCAAAGGCAGTGTGCATTTTCACCGGTAGCCATTGCCGAGAATATTTTAACCAAGTTTAAAGACATTAATACGGTGTGAACATATATACAGGGTGTTCATAAAGTTCCTTTACAATTTCAATTTTGTTATGAAGTCAGTTCCTAATATATATTGACCAGATTTTTTTTTATTCAGTAATTGTTTAAGGATTTTTACTTCATTTAATACATCTGTGAGGGACAAAACAATATATGTTATCGATAAATTGCTTTTGCAATTTTTAAAAAATTTCAGAATTTATGGACACCCTTAATATTTATTTAAAACATTTTTCGATTATGTTTACTTCTAAAAGTTGTTGATGTTGAAAGATATTTTACAACATATTGGTAACTTTTAAAGAATCAAACCTAACTCATCTAACATTTAATCGCAGCAAATTAATCCACTCAAGTCGTTTTATTGATATGACTGACATATCATAGGATTTGTGTGAAAGTATGAATATGTTAGTCAATCGATAACATTCTAAAACGTAATATTTCTAGGTGAGGGATCTGTCGCAAGCAGTGTCGAAGCTTCGCCAACAGTAACACAAGTTATTGAACAAAAGAAACTCGCTTATCAGGCCGAGCGTGGAGTAAGTGGTCTTTTATTGATTTGCGATTCTGCCTGAGCTTGTCCATCAGCATGGACTAATAAACTCTCGCAAGTTTTCATTTAGTTTGTTATTTCCCTTTATCACAAAAATTCAAAAATGTTTGTCATTTTTTTTAAAGCTCACTACATAATCACTGTTTTTAACATAGAAATAAAATGTGAACATACTTCACTGATAAAATACTTTAAATTACGTATACATGTTCTAGTTCATATATATTGATTTCCGAATGTGGTTTATGCATTTCTAGTATTTGTAAACCAGATCCAAAGAAGTCATACGACTTGATACTTGTTGTTTCTTGGGTATACTTCATCTGGTGTATTTAGAACCATTCTAACACCACTCACTATTATTTTGCATTACTATTTATACACTATAAATTATAATCTCATCAAATCATTTTCTGGATGTAATATAATTATAAAACTCAAATATTCAGCGCTCTGAAACGACCACAGACGGCCCATCGGACAGTGACTTCGTGCAAACGCCGGCTGCTGCGTCAAGCTCAATGCGAACGCCGCCAAATGTTTCACCCAAACCTACACGGAAACAAAGCCCATCTCCTATACGGAAAGTCAGAATGAGTCCACCAAGGGTAAGTTTATACGCGGAATTATACTAATTCTAAAATTAACTTATGATAATTTGACTCAACTCCAAATCGGCAAAAAGAAAAAAAACAATAATTCAAATGTGCGATGTCGATAAAATTGCATTGTCGAATGTTTTATTTCGTTGCAGGATGTTAAAAATCAGGCAATTAAGTATCTTTTTCATATATATATATAGTCTAGCTAGCATATATATAAAATTATAAAAATATTGAAAATGTATAGAGTCTGACCTGTTGATAAACCTTTCATTGATCGGCACGGGGTCGCGGCTCTGTGTTGCCAACCAATGATATATGTGTTTCCGATTTCAGTGGAAATACCAACAATTAACTGGCAATAGAATGATTTTGTTCCGCGAATAATTTATGTACTGTCACATTTCCCAAGATAATTCAATCAAAGATTTGAAATGAAACTATTGAAAACTAAATCTTAAGAAGTGTTTATTGTTCACTATAGAAAACTGATAATCTTGTTTTAATTATTGTAAAATATATATTCTAAATATATATATATAGATGCATCCTGCCTTGGGTTCTCAGCAATCACCTTTACCGCGTCGTCAAATAAGAAGCGTGAAAGCACCGACTCCTTCACCCCCTCGTGGGGCTGGCGTACGGGTACGATATTGACGTTGTTTAATATTTTAGGGTATATTATAGAACTGGAATGGGTGCACTAGGGCCCGCAGCCTAAATCCGGTCCTTGGGTAATTCAATCTGGCCCGCATGATGCGACCACAACAAATTTTGATACTTTTCATAAAATGCAATATTTTAGGTAACACTTACATGGCCCGCATGATCCACATTTTCAGCCCCTGGTCCAAAAAACCTTGCCCCCCCCCCCCCCAATTTATAGATAACTAGATCTGTGAGACTCCATATTCTAGAGATTGTTCGCAACCTGGCACACGGAAGAACCCAATCAAGGGCTGCAAAACCTATGTTTACCTTTGTTTCTGCTGTTATATTGGATATTACTTTTCACTTTTGCATATGAATTTGTATTTGTTAGCAAATACAAAAATATGAAAAAATAAAAACTTTGGTTATTATTAGACCTATTAATATTTAGTCGATTTTTACCTCTGAATTATAATTTCACAGCTTGCTGCAACCGGTACTGACGGAAAACTGCAAGAACAACAGGTAATAAATTCTTCAGTACATTCTGCTTCTAAAAGCGCTGCAGTAGCGCAAAACAGCAGTGTAGCAGTAGTTCAGCAGAAGGCTAGCCAGGCTCATTCTCAGTTCAAAGCAGCACAGAGTTATGAAAAAATGGAAGTATCTCAGTCTTGTGCTAGTGTATCGCATGGCGAACAACACGAAATTCAGCACATGGAAGTAGATCGGAGTGAACATATGACGTCACAACAAACATCGATGATGTCACATCAGGCTTCAATGACGTCACATATTACATCTCACTCATCGTCATCAATTCAATCATGCGGATATACTGAACAAGCTGCACAGTTGACGTCACACCAATCAGTGATGTCTTCTCAGGATTGTGTTGATTCTTCGCAGCTACAAGACCACTCATTTAATGTCACGCAACAACAAACGTCATCCAAAATGGCGTCTCATGCGTCATCACACATTTCGGAATCGTCATCAAACGCTTCTGCGTCATCAAACATGGCCATTGCATCATCATCGTCTCAGTCATCTACGACAAAACCACCTTCCTATTCCTCCACTGCCAATGCTCCTGTCCCCGCTGCTCGCCCACCTAAAGTAGCCCCCCCACCTACCCTTCCATCCTTGCCACCAAGCATTGATTACTGCAACAATCCGAACCGAACTATACCTGGTGTAAGACGTGTAAGACCGTCGTCAGCTTCAAGGAAGCGCCCATTGCCAACGGTAAGTTCATTTTCTCACTCACCATTCATACAAAACACAAAGTACTAAGCACACCTAGGCGCAGAATTATACACTTACACCGCAATTTACGTATAGATGGAATATCGTTCACATATCTGAGTGTATTATTGGACACAAAACGGCAATATCGATAGTTTTTGCAAATCGTTATCGTTGTTGTTCTGGGGTAATTTTCTTTGTAACTCATGAGGTCCGGTATTTTAATCAAATTTCTGCTGTTTTAGTTTAATTCGTCGTAACACAGTTTAAATTCGTTCAAGCATGATTTTCACGGTTGTTCTCCGTTTTGATTTCGCGACACCGGCGCTCAGCCAGATCCCCGCGTGAGCCGCTTATGCTACCGTTACTGTGGCAAATACTGTGGTATTTATTGAACTTTAGTGCCCATATATTTGAGCTCTATTTTTCCTTTAAAAGGGAAGGAGGGTAATGCTAATAAACAATAATGACCAACTTCTAATGTACATGGTGTCCATAAAGTCCTTTTACAGTTTCAATTTTGTTCTGAAGTCAGTTCTCAATATATCCTAACCAGTTTTTTTTTTTATCAGTAAAGTATTTTTACCTTATTTAATGCATCTGTGAGAGCCAAAACAATATATGGTATCGATAAATTTTCTTTGCCATCTTTAAAACTTTTAAGATTTTGTGAGCACCCTGTATGATGTATATATGAACTTGGTGTATTTGTAATCAACACAGAAGAGGAAACACGTAGCATAATCACATGCATTCGACATTGCCCAGTCATTCCCGTGACTTATATCATTAAAACGTCATATTTCCTTTTCTCCGGGTAAAGTTATTTCTTGTTTGTTTTATTTCGGGTCTACTGTAACCGCGCGATTCCCAGCTGTCGATACGCAGACGATTAGATATGAACTCTCCGTGAAATGTTAATTATGGGAGTGACGTAAACTTGGCGCCCTGGCTCGTAACATTCCTAATTCGCGATAACAAAAAACATTAGTCTGTTAGTTCAAAAATCACTCCGGTATTTTTCTATATAGGATTATATATCTGTTTATAATTATTGGACACATTATTGGAGAGTCTTGTGGATCGTTTTGTCATTATGTTGTTGTTCTTGTTAGTATTTCGTTTCTCCTTGTTTGTATAAAAAAATCGCTTTTCTCTTTAATTGCTGGACCAATTTCTTTGAAATTTTGTCGCTGGAAAGCTATTGATTATTGTACCTAATATTATTTATTCAAAAATATGTGTGGGCGCTATGAGATTCGTTTTTTGTGTGCGACGACGTCATAAAAATTGAAAAGTGCGCACCTTGTGGCGGTTCCCTCCGTCAGACGAAGTCGTGAAGACTGCGGTACCGGTAGTCTACTGTGAAAGATTGCATACTCGTACTACTTTGTTTTGACCGTTTCCATAAATTTGGCAATTGCTCTTTTATTATTTCAATATACGAACATTTAATTTAGCGCGTCATTGGCATATTAAATATTATCATCGGGATATAGAGTTCAAAATTTGCTGTCTGTTTCATATTCATGAGATTTCCCTTGATAGTATTCCTTAATATCCGTTTATTGCCCCACCACTATTTTTTTTTTGACCCATTTTCTTTGATTCTCTTTATGTTAAATTAAAAATTAGGATAAGTTTGTATTTGTAAAAACCCACCTTTTTCGGGTTGTCTTATTGTTAGGTAATATTACTTATCTTAACCAAACCTAAGATAAACGGAATATCAGAAAATTGGTTACAGGCCAATAATAAAATAGTACATACATTCTTTCATTTACCATTCATTGCATGCTACATCAATCACTAAACGCGACATTTGATATAGCATGCGAATTTATCACTATTTCTTGCTCCAAATTTGCATAGAAAAACCTTCCTGCACCATCAAACACTACTTCTGAAACGGAGAAAACATCACTCATTGCATCTGCATCAGCCACATCTATGGCGTCTGTGAAATCACTATCCGCTACTTCTATCACCGAAGAAAAGACTGAGATCGTTACAGCTATTTCAGAACAATCTGAATCCGTTACAGCGATTTCAGAAAAGTCTGAATCCGTTGCAGCTATTTCAGAACAATCTGAATCCGTTGCAGCGAGAGCAGAAAAACTTGAAAAAAAGATTTCAGCTGAGTTTAAAAATAAGCTTGAAATTGAGAAAAGCTCGAAAAAACTAAAGACAACTATTGAGGTATTATTGAAGGGTTGCCAGAATTTAGACAGCTTGATGCATGGATTTATTGTGATGCCCATTGTACATACGAGAGTGCTATATTACAGAGATGTGTCATTTTGATAAAGTTAGTTTGTAATGTGCAATTTGCGTTGAAAAACAGGACAAATTATGGATGCTTTATCAGTTTTTTCCTTTTTTGTAATAAGTGATAAATACAAAACACAAAAATAGTAAACACAAAAATGCATGTGAAAGTATTATTACTCGATTAAATGATATCAAACTGACTTTTTTCTTATTTAAAATTGGCTGTTTAAAATGTTGATTTGTGTGTCACTTTTATTTTTTGTGGCTCTAATATTTTTGTGCTTGGAATTAATGATTTTTTTCTGAGTTGTGGTTTGTAAACAAATAACTTACTCATACAATCAGTGGCTTGAAGAAGACGCCGCAACAAAAATACAAGCGTCATTCAAAGGCTACAAGACGCGCAAAGATCTCGACAAACAACGCGAAAGTGCAACTAAAATACAAGCCGCATATAGAGGCTTTAGGACAAGACACAAAATGGAGGATGGCCCTAAAGCTAAACGACTGACTTCGCCTCAGATGTTACGTCGACGGCCATCACCTGTCACCGTGATTAGACCCACTAAGGTTATTTGCGTGACATCATTTCACCAGTGAAGTCATACCATCATTAAAATTTGGCTGTTTCAAAAGAATAAAGCAGCAACGATATAAATAAGCACAAAAATTATCGCTTTTGTCCTATTTTGCACGTTTGTTTTTTGCATGTAACACACATTATTTATTCAGTTATATTTATCTAAAATATGCTTTTAAATATGAAACTGATATTTGTTTGAGCATGTTGAGCAATTGGTACTGTATAACAATATTTAGAAATTATTTATAATTGCTTCTTTTCATCCTATTTCATTGCATGCAACCTTCAAATTCCCCACTCAACAATATCACCTTTTAAATTATAAATTTTTCACAGGAAACTGCCGTTTTTCCACCATTCTTCAAACTTCCTGCCAAGAACGTTGAAGTAGTGGAAGGAGAAATGTCGCAATTTGAATGTCACGTGATTGGAAACCCTACACCTACCATTAAATGGTATCGCGAAGGTATGTATAGACTATGGAACTGTTGTTATCAACACTTTTTCTTTCGTGGCCCATTTTCTTTGCATATAAATTCCGTGGCCCTCTAACTTTTTTATGGAAGCGAAAAAATACAAGAAAAAAATATACACGTTCGTTCCCTTTGATAATTAGAATGAAAATTAAACCCCAGTAGCAAAAACACTATACTCATACTGACTTATAATAAGATTTAATAATAGATTTATCTTTACACCAGAGGCCAGTAGATAGCAGTTGCTACGAGACATACCAGATTCAGTTAACACTGTTTGTTAAAATGTGCATTTATTAAAGCAGAACTTTCGTTTGAATTTTTTCTAATAATGACTGCGAGTTAACTTTTTGTCATGCTCAACTCCCAACTTTTTTCTTTATTAATGATAAATATATAAAATACCCGGCGCTTCAGAAGAGTGTGTACCAATACTAACTTTGTTCGCCTACTTTACATCAGTTGTGTAAAGAGACTATAACCTATGGGCAGGGGGCATACTCACTAACATTGCATGTAAACAAAATATTGACAATCGTCCCAATTTTTTTGTCATAGGTGCACTGATTCAAAGCTCACCGGATTTTCTTATAACGTTTGACGGACAAATGAGCACACTGCTTATTCGTGAAACCTACGTTGATGATGCTGGGATGTTCACTTGCACTGCTCAAAATAAAGCTGGAAGCAGCTCATGCAGTGCCCTCCTGACTGTAAGTAGTAATGGAAAAATAGGCCCTTTCGACTCGCGAGAAGCGACGGCAATGTATCCACATTAAAACAAATCATTTTCTGAAACTTGACAGAGTGAACATTTAGTTTTATTTTTCTAATAATGTATTGTCTTCTTAAGAATAGCAATGAAAAATTCTGAGTCAATATCGACGAATTATTTTTGACTCATAATTTAGTACCTGGGATATAATTTATTAAAATTTAATTCTTGAAAGGGTGCGGAGAAAGAATGTATAATTTATAATAAAGTTGTATGTGGGCGCAAGTATAGGCAAATAATTCTTGGTAAAAAATAACTATAACATTGCTGAAACGCATTCTAATTCAAAAATAATATATTCTCCAATATTCGAGGTCATTCAATTTTCCTAAACGTTTTCTTGAACCTTATTATGAAACTCAATAAAATTATTTTATAATGAATTCTATATTTAGGTCAATGTCCCTGAAACAGAGGACGAAGCCGGACCTTCCTATAAACCTGAAGTTGCTCGATCCATATCGGAAACTGAATTATCTATGACTGACTATGAAGGATTTGAAAGGTGAATACAATGCTTGATAATTTTTTAAGAAAATTTGCTCTAAGCAAGGTTACGCGCACTTACTCAGAAAAAAAAAAGAAAATTGATCTTTGAGCGAAGTTACGGGCCACTACTGAAGTACTAAGAGATGCTGAAACCGTAAAGAATCATAATTTAGAATTAAGCGTTGGTATTCACCGGTTGGTGCGGTATTTGAAGCAGTTCATGTATATACGATCAAACACACTATGAGGCGATGAATTCCACATAACTCAAGAGTTAAGAAACTTTGGTCGTAGAATGTTTGGTACTTCCGAAGTATGGGAACCAAGATGGCGAACACCAGAACATAGTATGTGTACCAGGTTAGGATTAAGCCATAATTTTATTCCAATTTTTCTTATTTTAGTTCTATTACGAGTTCGGGGACTAGCCAAGTGACTCCCGTAGTATTTGTACCTGAAATTATGGCCTAACCCTGACTTGGTACACATACTACGTTCCGGTGTCGGCCATCTTGATTCACATACTTCGGGAGTACCGAATGTTTTTATCTGGTATACTGATAATAAACTGATCACAGCCAATCAAAAATACAATGCTGAATCTGTAATAGAATTGCATTACTTTATCGAGTTATAACTGTATATGTATAAAGAATAAATTTGTAAATATTCGAATTTATATAACAACAAGTTGAATTTATTTTTCATTTTTCATTACAGCACTGAATTGGACTTCGTTTCTGGGGTATCTGACGTAGAACTTACCGACACGGAATTTGTGAAACCTTCTGCATCAGCTGTTGCCCATCACCACCATCTTGACGCGACTGATGGACAACTGGCAAAAAAATTATCACCTGTAGCTGAAGAATCTTCTGTCACGCCTTCAGGTATATTTTAAATGTTTTTCCGAGCATCGACTTACTGGTTTGTTTCCGTAACAATGGCTAATCAGAAAGAAGTCAACAACGTAGTAACTTTAGCTGTCGCTCAGACTCTTTTCGGTCAAACAAATTTTTGATCATTGGTTGGTCCTTCAGTCGATACATTGCATCTACAAACGCTAATTCGTGATATACTTTCAAAATGAAAATGAAAAAAAATCGTAATTTAAAGTATGATAAGATTTTAAGATCAAGGAAACATTCCTGAATTTCAATGTGCAATATATTTTTTCAAACTTCATTGTGTATAAAATCTATGATTTAACAATAAATTTTAACATTCATCCATGAAATGTCTGCTGACTTTCTAGCAATTGAAGTTTTTTTGCAAGTTTCTTTTTTTTTCATCTTATTTTATCTTATTTTTATATTCACGTTTTACAGGAAAGCAATCCTCCAGACAATCCTCAATTGCACCCGGCACTCAAACTATCAGTGGTGCCGCTCCCTTGCTCGTGAGTTCCCCTCCAAGTCAAGTGAGACTCGAAGAAGGTGGATCACTCAGACTGTCTTTCGTTATTTCTGGCTCTCCGCCTCCCAATGTAACTTGGGCAAAGAATGGAAAAGCCATTGAACACGGATTCAGATTTAAACTGGAAGAGGATATTTTAAAACGTATGTGATAATAATTTTTTACACACTATAGCGTAATATAAAGACTTTCATTTAACAGAATCTTATAAGTGTAGGATCAGGAAAAATTGCAGGTCCAAATGAAAAACAGAGCTGATGGGTTATAAAATCATTTCAAACATCCCGCAGAATATACCACCCATTTGAAATGTTATTTTACCATTAGCAATTGGAATTTTCTGTCTATTATGGGGAAAATAAAAAGTCTATCGTAAATAAGCTACACTATGCTCTTTGAAAATAGTGTGTTCGTAATATGTTAACATGCTCAATAAAAATGAGATAAACCACCGTCTCCCCACAAAATGAGGGAAAGATGAAAATAAGCATCTTTTCAATAAATAAATGAAAATATTCGAATCAGTTTTCTATATTTTAAAATAGAATGTTATATAACTTGAATATGAAAATGATATATAATAATTAGTTTTTTAAAAAAGTCGCTGTTATATCTCGGTGAAATATGAATACTAAAAAATGATATATTCCCAATATATTCTTCTTGTAGATACATTTACCATGTATGTTGGAATGCTATTTCCCGAAGATGCCGGTGAATACACTATCACAGCTACAAACAGATTTGGATTTATACGCGGGACTGTACAACTACTATCGGAAGGTAACACTGAATTTCTTTTTATTGTTGAGCACGAAAAAGATCCAGAGATCGCTTCAAAAAAAAAAAAAAAATAGTGTGTGGGGTGGGGGGTGGGGGGGGTGGGGTGGGTTGCTTCTCAGCTACTAGATCAATCACCTTTCAAATTTCTGTTCTAGAAGTGTGTGTTTTCTAAAATTCTATCCTTTTTTTTCATTTTTTTTTTCTTTCAAATTTCCCCATTCACCACAAAGTGGGTTGGCCGCGCGCTCAACGAAAGGTACACGGCAATGATCCCATCTTCGTTTCCATTTTGAAGCATTTCCCCTTATTGTTCTCTACAATCTTTTACTACAACTGAATTTTTATTTTCAATTTTCAGATGAATACAAAATGCATCAAGAAAACACTCACGCAATTCAGCAGCAGACTTCTGTTCCTGGCAGAACATACACTGCACAGCATACGTTAGCTCCGTCTCAACCAGTTGCAAGGTAAATTATACTGAATATTTGAAAGATATCTACATGCAGATTGTTCGAATCTTCGAATATCAAAATAATGAACGAGTTGAAGTCCTTATATAAAATTGTTTTGAGATCAGATTTATGGAATCTTATGTCATTCCGGATACAAGAGAACTGAGTTTTTGTTATACAAGAGCGAATTTATTTTTATTATGGATTGTCGGTCAGATATCGCGATGGGATGGGATTTACATATACAATCAGGGGAGAGGAAAACCGATAAGACTGCTTAATCATGTGGCGAATCCCTCGCTTGACCTTAATGTTAGTGTTAATGACAGCGTCAATACATTTTCACTTATAATATTAACGCTGTTATCAGGGGGTGTGAAAAAGTCTAAATATAGCACTAGGAAAAATCTTGTCGCTGAGATTACCGTTACTTTTGTCTGTTGGAGCTTGTAGTTTCAGGACATTATGTATGTGACAAAATCGTTATATATTCGGTAAACAATTATTTATGTTACTATTTTGACTGCATTTGCGACTTTTGAATTTGATATTCTACTGTAACATAGAATAGGCTGAGATTTTCTAATGAATTAATAATTCAACTTTGTTTTACTGTTATTCTCAAAAACATTACTTTATCGATAGGGGTCGTGGAGAAGCTCGTCATCTGACACCTACAAGTAAGAAGGCAGTTTCTCCTGGCAGTGCTCGGATGTCGAGCCTTAGTCCTGGAAGATATGACGTCAGTGACAGAAGATCGGTTTCGCCTTCTAAGAGACTTGACGAAGTTGATGAATTGGATATTGAAAAATATTTCAAGTGAGCAGTTGTTATAACTGAAATTAATTTTATATACAGAAGGCTCCTTTAGAAACTCGTTTCCAAAATACTGCCTTTATTGAGTGCTAATTGTAATCAGGTTTTATAGAAAACGAAATTTTATTCATAACTTAATTCATCTGATTTCTATGTTATAGTATAGGGTAGGCATAAAGTCCTAAATTTTTAAAATTGCAAAGGGAAATTATCGATACCATATATTGTTTTTACCCTCACAGATGTATTAATGAAGTAAAAATACTTGAACAATTACTGATTTAAAAACAACAAACCTTGTTGAGATATATTGAGAACTGACTTCATAACAAAATTGAAATTGTAAAGGAACACTCTATACCAACTCCAAAATAACCACCTTCTTCCTTACTTCTCATACTATTTTAATTATCAAATACCCAATGTTTTGCGTGATTTCAAATCATCCATTTCTTATTCAAATTATCCAATAATGTTATTTGGCCAGACACGATATTTTAAAATTCTTTACCACATTTCAAGGGCTCATGAGTAGGTGTTAAGTTCTCCCAGGTTGGGTTATGAGCACTCTTTGAGTGACCTTAGATGAATATTATACGCCACTTTGAGTAGGAGAAGAATATGGATGCTTTGAGGTGTAACACAGTCTTTTTACACTTCGTATATTACCTATTGTAAATCTACATAAAGAATTTTGTTAGTTTTTCGTGTTACAAATAAATAGTGAATATAGAGTGTTGTTTTGTGGAATTGCTAACAATCTTTCAGATTTCGGTTTAGATTGCAGGCTGTATTATTATTATGTTGTTATATTCTCGCGATGTCAAAATATATTTTTTGGAATTAGATTTTTTGGTTTTAGTTGTAAGTTGTTGCTAAGTATTGTTATTAGAATCTTGATAATCACTTGAAAAGTAGAGTTGTTCCTAACTTTATGAATAATATTCTGGTTACGATGCTATTCCTATTGTCGACTGAACAAGTATACGATTTATATTTGAGTTTTACCGTGTTGTTTTTTTATTAAAATAAAATTAATGCTAACCCATGATTTAGATGAGAAAAATCTTGTTGTTAGAATGCGGCAAAATTTTGAAAGGCTCTGAAAATCTAATTAACTTTTATTTGAATACATTTGTTTAGGCCTAGATTTCTTCGTAAAACGGAATCTACTGAATGTAATGAAGGAACAGCAACTAGATTGGATTGCAAAGTCACAGGAAGACCTTTACCTGATGTCATGTGGTATCATAACGGTAAGTTATTTAAGTTTTCATTATTATATGATAATGATATATAAAGTAAAATAATGAAAAAGCTAACAGTCTGATAAATAATGCAATTGTGGTTGCATACATTGAGCGTTTGTGGAATTTGCTCAGCCTACTTTTTAGTGTAATTAACTTATAATGGAAAGAGATGGGAAGATAAAACAAAGTGTGATCATTGAGACTTTTATTTTTTCGCCGATTGTCGTTAGCCTGTACTCACAGTCTTTGCCTTACTCATAAATAAGGTTTGAGCTAATTACCTCAAAACTGTACCAAGGTACTGTGAGTGCTACACGTCTTGTTTTTAACAATCTATTACCGATTTATTGGTATCTAGCCATGTTGACAAAATAAAAACGCATGTGTATACTGTATATCAGACAGATTACTTTTCAATTGCAAAAATATTGACGTATTCATTAAATTCGAAAGTATAGGGTATAAAAGCATATAAGAATTTTTATTCCTTGTATGTTTATATTTTGTTTGCGTGCTCGTCACCGGATTATATCTAGGTGTGAGCAAGGTTCGCCTTTTGTCTTGTTTTGTTTACTAAATTCCAGATGTTTCTCTGGGTGTCTGGATTGTATTTCGGTGTCATTTATAAGTAGAATATAGGAGTAAAAACTTTTGTTGGAGTGATATCTTGGACCTAATGAATCTAAATCCAAGTTCAAATTAAAGTAGCTTTATTATAACTCCTTTCATATCATTTTATAATTATTTTGTATCACAATTGAAGGTAGTAAACTCGGCAGTAATCACTATGGAGTTTCACTTAAGTTTTTCCAAATCCATTAGGGGGGTCGAAAACAATATTAGGGGACTATACGCCTATAAGCCTACGTACTGTAGTTATATAATTCAATACGTATTTTTTCTTAACTGCGCCAAATTTTGGCAACGATTGCACTAATTATAAATGCGGGCTGCATTCGTCGACCCTTTGTAGTTGGGAGTGCTTACACTTATATTTACAAAGAGAAACAAATTCTTCTATAACACGAATTGGATGTCAAATCAATCAATGTTCAACACTTTCAGTACTAATTCTATTTCAGCATCAAACATTGTCTATAAATTTGTAAACATATAGGCATGGGCCAATCTAAGCCAACGATACTTTTTAATCATACTATCATGCCTTGTTGTGGTAGTGTGTAGACAATACTACAACACTTCCTAAGTACCGGGATCGCGTTTCATAAAAATCAAACAGTTGGGAAAGGGCACCTTTATTAACCGTTCCGGGCATGAGCCTGTATGAATGCGGCGCACGTTTAATGATTGACCTTTGTCTTTATCATGACCCAGTTGTTTATGAGGTTGCCCCAGCTATTACAGATGGAGACACCACGCTAACAATCTCACCCAAAGTGTAATACAACAGGGGTGGGCAAGGTTTTTGGGAATAAGGGCCAAAATGTTGCCCACCTAGACTGACGGGCCATGTGAGTGCAAAGTAAAAAAGCTACATTTTATGAACAATATTTACAGTGTTACAAAAGCAAAAGTGGAAAACAATAAGCTTCGTGCTTGTTAGATACTTTAATGCCTTATTATTTGAGACGCGGTTAATCTTATACAGAATATGCAAATAAAATCTCATTGAAAATGTTCATTCTTGTAAATTTGGCGAAATAACTCTCCTACATTAGTGGCAAATTCTAGGTTAACAAACGTCTATCTTTGTAAACAAATCGTTCTCATGCAATACATTGGAGACAGATACATATATATTTAATCATAATTTATTGCGTTCAAACATTCGACAATTTGACAACATAGGGAACGTACGTACAAGGCATTCTCAAATACCAGGAAAACACTTAAAACTTTGTTAAGCCATTGTGATTTAATAGTCCTTTGTTACCTACGTAACAAAGATTGAGCGAAAGAATGGTACTGCTGAACAATAATAGCTTGAGCGTGTGTTCTATTATAAGCCTTTGGATGTGGTTTATTGTAAAAGTATTAGATAGGTGCCTTGTATTTAACTGGCGCATTGCCTTTGTAAATTTCTTTAACCTCTAGTAATTGGATGTCCCTTTCTTTGCTTAATTCAACGAAGCACGTGTTTACAGCAAAGTGGTATTGGTCGCAAATTTCCTTAAAAATGATTGCCTAGAATTTTGTAATAGTTTAATATATCCCAATACCCATCATATCATAAATTAGACGTTACCTATAAATAGGAACTTTCTATTAACAAAAATTTCGCTTTACGTATCTCGATTTATGCATTGTATCGTTTATTTACCATTCTAAATAAATACCCGTTTCACAGTTAAGCCTCCAGCAAATGGTATGTATATACAATATGATAGCGTAGTCATTAAAGTAAAGTTACGAATTTGGGTCCCGTTTTATTATTATTTACATTCAATCACTGAAAATATATGATAATTTTACCTATGTCTCTTTACCACAACAATGAGTAGCGTATTTACCTTACTTCGGTATCGGATTTCCAATACGGTTGTATGCGGCATAAATGCCTTGTTTGAGTAATATGGGGTCACGCGTAGGGTCAGAAATTTAGGTCGGATATCATATTGAGGTTTATATTAGATATTTATTGTATTGTTGTATGTTCTGGTACAGCAGGGTATCATAAGTGTGATTTTGTCATTGATTGAAGTCACAAAGTTAGGCATGTGCCATTTATAAAAAGAGCCTGTTATACCTTTGTAGTCTATGGAATATATATGGCAAACTATAACGGATAGTGTACAAGAAATAAAAGACGTTAAGTGGGCGGCGGAACACGTGTTTATTGAATGGCCGAACTCTGTATTTGTGCGACTTAATTATCTAATTACCTATAGGTTTTGGGGTGTACTTTACTATTCAACCCGTACAATATAGGATTACGCTTCGTATTATATCAGTAAAATTTGCCAAACACAACTTGGCGATTTTTGTATGGAGAACGAGGGCCTAGGCGTTATTCTGTGCATGGATAGACAACAGCCCTTGTTTTATATAGTAAACCATGCGCCTGACATTAATATCTCGGTAGCTCCGCTCATGATATCGAAGCGACAAAGGATTTTGGTAACAGAACGCGCTCTGCAAAAAGGTAGGATTTTTTTAGTATATTTTCGAATATTCCTGAAAAATAACAACGGTAGGGAAGATATTTGTGGCAAACCCCCTTTTTCGCAAAATTGGTGGTAGCTTTTTATTTCTTATTATACGACATATATCATTTTGATTTTATTCTTCAATTGTACGAAATGCTAGTATTTAATGGTTAAAACATCAATGCAAAAGTGTTGTTTGGAAAATGTAAGCCTTTAAGCTTTTGTAAATAGTATTGGCAATGCTGACGTATATATGCAATATTGAGTAGCATTTGCCAGTATGAAAGTATGGTATAATTACCATGCTCAAATAATCGAGCGCAAACTGCCCGATACTGGCGTCATATGATATTGAAATATATGTTTGTTTTCAATTTTAATGTACCTAATAACATACTTTGGCCTTGAATAGAATTTATGATAATTACCGCGCTTTATGCGGATGTTAATTAACCAAATTTTAATGATTTCAAATTCTTTCTGATGTAATAATATTTTACGAAAAAATATGTAGACTTTTCAAATTTAATATTGTTTATATATTTTGCGCGAATTTCTGAATAATTTAAATCTAAAGTATCTCGTTCGTGTCTGTATATTGTGACCTACACATTGTTGTATATATGTTCTATGGTCATGTCCATGGGTATTTACTAATTATACGTTTATACTGAGGTATCAGTATACAAAATACATAGACCAAAATAGTAGCCCTGTGACGCAATAGGGCCATTATAGGGTCACGCGCTATTATCTTTCACCCAATCGATTCGAGTTATAAGTTCAAGAAATCGAAATATTTGATACATTAATCATCAATTATTACTTTTTACTTAATCGACTTTGTGTATAAGTTCAAGAAATCTAAATATTTGAATATGTACCTTTATTCGATACATCCATCATCAACGACAATATGTAAACATCTAGCCAATCCTTTGTCAATTTATCATTCTTACGATCAACTTTGATATTGTTTGTTTTGGATTACAGTTTACAAGTGACCGAAGCGACATATTCCTGTTAATTTGCTGAACTGATTGAATTAGGATTCATATGTTGATACAATATGCTATGCTTTGTATATTTAAAAGAAGTGCCTGATGAATTTTAATTAATTGCCAACACATTGCGAAATATTGTTTTTTCTTAAAATATTTGAGACTGTTGTCCAATTGTTGAAATAAATTAGCAGCAATATCAGTATTACTCAATATTTGAAAAACACAAACCTAAGTCATGTATACAGGGGTTAGTTGGAATAGGTACGGGCATGCCGTCCCAATCGCGGTTTGAAATGTCATACTCCGTAAGGGCCTATATTGGGCATGCAGACAGCGGGTTTGAGTTTGACATAGAAATCCTTTACAATATTTTTTAACAACCCAATAGTAGGATTGGGAGACACAAAAGAAACCCTTTACTTTGTCATAAACTTCCAATAGTCTCACATCCTTTTATTGCTGCTTTTTACTCATTATTTTATATCCCATATTCCCCCGGTATATTACATCAAATCATACTTACGATGCGCAAGACTCGTTACATCGAAGAGGAATAAATGCGATAAATCGTTCTTTTGTATTTCAAACTATTTGTCATCATTGAAGTCAGTCAGTGTTTACCCACAATACGCCGATTTGTTGTATTTTCTATCCACATCAGAATTACTCTAGAATCGTTAAAATCGATTTTGCACGGCCTACCGATATTCAGAAACTGTTCTCCGTGCCTAACATAATACTATCCTTTATGAAAATCCTATCTTGCGCTTTTGTGGGCAGGATATAAGACTGGATTTATTGCTACTGTGGCATGTTCTGACCTGCTTGCTTATTTATGGCATACCTGCTGTGTTGTTCAATATATAAATAGCGTTTCTCAAGTAATTTGACCAAATAGTGGTTTAGAGTAGAATATTTCTGTCTCCGATATAATTGTATTGTGTAAGGGTAAACCAGAGATTTAGCTTCCAGTAAAAATTCATTTAAAAATCACAGAAAATGTCAGATATATTACCCGGTATTTCGCACAAAGCAATTTATAGTCTGTCTGTTATTTGTTCCATCAGTCGTTAAGGCTACTGAAACAATATTTTGTAATAAAAATATAAATAAAGTAATAAAAACGCCGCATGGCATATTCTGTAAGAGTTTAACTTAAATTTCAAGTGAATTTTACTCATTCCGTGACACAGTGTAGTTCAGCCAGTCGTGCCTAATTGAATTTACAAATTCCATATAGAAATTTGAAATAGGCGATAAAATTAACAGTCGCCCTTTTCTGCTATTGTGTTTATATATTGTTTTCGATGAAAAAAAAAGGCTATTTCTCAAAAAGTGCGGTAAATTTAGGGAAACCAAAGTCAAAAGTTTATTTACCGACTAAATAGAAAAAATATTTATACGCATGCGGTGTGTGTGAAAGGCATGTACGCTTGGTCAACTTTTGATCGCAATTACCAGAGTATTCAATATATATTACTCATGTTTTTTACAGTAAAGATTTTTAACAAACGAACAGTAAACAACATAAGTTTACAATACTCATGTTTACACGCCAAACATAATGTTCTCCAGTAAAGCGTGTGTTGGTCGAGATAACCCACAGATTTCATTTATAGTGTCAGGTGGTAGCTTCGCGGAGGGTAAATAAGATTCCCTATAAGAAAGATGCAATTGAACTTGTCTCATTACGTAAATCGTGGTTCATGTATTCTATTTTATTAAAATTAGGATGGAGGGATTAAATAGGATTAAAAGTACCGCTTAGGCTAATTTGCTTTTAAGTTTGTGGTAATTTGATTAGATCGAGGCAGTGAAAGATATACAGTCGTTCGTGACCCCCTTCTAGAGGGTTTTATAACTTAAGGCACTCCTGTTATCCTTCCAGTGATATGCAGAGTGTTATTATGATTGATAGATTCCAAATCCCATTATGTTTAAACAATTCATGATCAACAAAGTGAAAACAATCTGTGAAATAACCTTATCGAGCAATGAAACTAGACTGGTAGTTTTCTTGTAAAGTGAAAAGTAAAATCAGTTTTGCGTCAAGCATTGCGGCCCCATCGAACTGCCCTGTTGTCCTTTTAGGGGCCATGGGATACCAGTGGGGAAATACGGTTATACAGAGTGATTTGTGGAATTTGTACTTCTATACATAAAGATAATTTATTGTTTTTGACAATTGTCTTTCTACCCTTCCAATACGCATTTGTCACCCCGTTCGAATTGTGCCAGAATAAATGCGCCCTGTCGTTGGCGTTATTTGGTATAAATTAGATTGTATGACCAACGGTAACAACAAATATAGAAAACGCTGTTTTGTAGATAATTTTGACAATATTGAATATATCTTAACCCACTCTTATAAACTAATGTGGATTCGAGCAAAACCGTGAACATAAAAGGGTGCAAGGGTATTCAATCTTCTAATTTATTTATTTATTTTTGAGGTCGTTGATTAGTAATTAGTTGATTGCTTATATTCTGAGCGTAATTGTACAATTCCGGTCCTATAAAATCAAATACATTACGGAAATGCTGAAGCATTTGTTCGAAATGACAAATATTTGTGGAAGGCGATAAGGCAATGCTAAGTGGTTTTTGAGTGGTACGCCATGTCCTATTTTAGATGACGGATTATATATTCGATCGCGAAACATTCTTTCTGATTCTAATCCTTAAATACCGTTGCCACATATCTATAGTTCGTTTTGGCTTATTTCAAGCTTGGTTTTGTTATGAATTAGTGTTCTTTACCTCAAATTTGGTGAATGCAATAAGAGCTCGTACTCCAGCGATCATAAAATAGGGAACTCAATCATAAACCATCATAGAATGTCTGGATAAGATGTTTGAACTAAAGCCGTGCTATGCAACTCACGTCCTATTTTAGATAGATCATTATATTAGTACTGTGATTATATTTTCACAAACAATTCCAATATTCCGAGTCCCGAGCGTATGGCTACACCAATATAACTATGACCGCGCAATAAAACTTTGATCTTAGTTTAGCAAGTTTATTTATTGAGAATTGAATTTGTAAAACCAAGCAAACACTGGTTAAAGACTGGGCAGACATTTTTTTTCATGAGCACAACTGAATTAAACGAAAAAATGGCAATTTGTGATTCGTTCCATTCTTTGGTATTATTAACTAATGTTTTTGTGTTAGAGTTAAGTTTGTCTTAAGTATTACTATTAGTTAGTTAGTTCAGAATTGCCATCACTGTGATTCCTTTAGCAATTTATTAACGATGGGCTAGAAGTCTACATGTGTACTCACATCACTCACAATGGATATGTTTCGAATTATTCACAAATTCGATGGACAAAATGAATGAAAAGGATTGTTTAGTCAAAAATGTCGTTATTCACACAACAAAATTAGTGAAACGGCCAGTTGAAGTAACTGTGTGTACTTCTGGTTACCATACTGAACGCAATAGGCGGTTCAGGTCAAAATTCAAGCGATCCTTTGGATATCATCCCTATGTAAACACACACAATTATTTTCGGACTAAAAATGGCGGCAAACTTAGTACACATTTTAGTGAAATTCCGCCATCTTTCAACCAAACCAATCGCAAAGGCATTGATACTTTGTCTAAATGGAGAACGTTTGAAAAACATCTCAAAGCGCGCCGTGTTGACAAAATAACGGCTCAAGAAGACAAAAGAACGCTACTTGAGGGAGTTTGCTATCATATACGAGATATGAATGGGCTACAAACAGGACGCTACGCTCCATCAAAAACAAATAGTATAGACAAGAATAGCCAATGCTTGCAATGTACATACCAACCCCGCTATGAAACAGAACCAGTTAATGAAAACATTACCGATCAAATTAAAGAACAAATCAACAGTTCGGTACAAGATGGCCGAACTCAAAACGATAAAACTTCAGCTGACGATGATCAACCACAAATAGACTCATCATGGCTCAAATGTGAACTCCATGCTTATGTCTGTGTGTTTTCCGAAGGTAGAAAATGAACCTAAAAATTGTTATGAAATATATCCTGAGTTATTGTTCTATATACTCAGGGATGATACCTTGCATTGGTGTAATTACTGAGCCATTAACACTAAAACTTTCTGTCAACCTATTTGACAATGACAGCATTGCTTAGGTATTTTATGATGCACAGACTCACATATTGCACCACCATGACATTTGATGTGGATTCGAATCAGTCCATTTATTCCCGGCGGAATATTGTCACTATCTTAAACTTTTTAATATGCGCAAGCACGTGTTAGTAAATTAGATAATCTATTAGAATAGATAGATATTGCGAAATGAATACCCCTGATACACGTAAACATTTATAAGACTTATGCAAAAAACATTGTTGAAATGGCATTTGAAATTTATTTTGACAATACATTCTAAAAGGTTTGCTGTACGATGCGGCATATCGTTAACAAGATTTTTGTAAGAAGTATTGTCACGTATAGTCATTCATATTTGTAAACTATATTATATGGTATAAATTATAAGGGTATAATATTCTTTACTAAGTTTAATAAATAGCACATAACCACTGCAATAGAAATACGCACTACTCCGAAAGGTTCTCGGACTTATGCTTCAGTTCTTTCAAGAGGCATTGTATCTTTTAAACAGTATACATAGATAAAAGGTGTATTGTAAACTTTAATGTTTGTTTCAGGTGCCCTGATGCACGAAGATTACAGCCATCGTGTTGTAGTGAAAGAAGATGGAGTCAGATCTCTGATTATATCTCCTGCTACTCCACGAGATGGAGGGGAATACACTGTCGTTGCTCATAACAAAGCTGGAAAAGCTGTTAGCAGTGTCACCTTGACCGTTATACGTAAGTTAATACACTAGTGAAGTAGTAATTGGTTCACGAGAATTTGCTCGAAAGCAATTGCAAGGTTACCCACTTATTGGCCAAAATCAAGGGCGATAATACTATATATACAATATTGTGGTGGTGCATTACGCCCAGTATGTACCACCCCTGACGAGGACTCGAAACAATCCAATAGTATATGGTTGAAAAACACAAGTCATCTAACAGGCACAAGTCGTTTGTTACCACATTCTATGATTTTGGAAATGAAACTCAATTTTTATCTACCTATACTGGTAACTCGACGATAATTAATGCTTCGCTACAGACCGAACCGTCTTATTTCCTTTCCCGGAATAAATATGAAAATGCTACTATTTGTGTGTGTAATGCACGACAAGTAACACCCACCGTGTTATATTTACCTAGCAAACAGCGCAAGACATTTTGATGAAGTCGCATTTGGTAATTTTTCTAGTGCAATTCAAATTCCGACGTTTTTCTCCACTATTTAAATTCTAAACTTTTATACTGTATATAAATACTATTGAATTATACAGCTAAGGAAGGTACTGAGCGACCACGTATACTAGAGAAGCCGCAGAGCGTAAACGTGAACGAAGGTGACATGGTCAGATTAGAAGTATTTGCTGTTGGTCGACCAACTCCTGAGATTGTATGGCTGAAGGATAATGTGCTACTGATACCGGACAAGCACCCTGAACTGAGGTATTCTATGTATAGGTTATTTAAAGTTATACAGGTTTCGGTAGTTCTAAATTATTTTTTATTCTTGGCCTTTTTCACTCGATTTTCACTTTTATATTTACTTATATTTTCAGAATTGAAGGGGTCGATGGACATGGACTCCTGACCATCCCCGCTGCTAATCGCGCTCTCCATGATGCGTGGTACACTGCTACCGCTGTAAACAAAGTAGGTCGTGACCTGACGAGATGTAAGGTCAAAGTTCAAACACGTGATGTGGAACCGGAACCTGAAAGAAAACTTTACATCCCTAAATCGGCTAGAAGACTTCAACCTCCAGAACCGTCTCCAGACAGGATTGAAACGAGAAAGGTATAATGCAATTTTTTTGTCTTACATTTGTAACACGGCATTCAATTAACAACCTATTCAACATCATCTTAAATGGTAGGAAGGATATTCACTTAGATTTGAGACTGTTTGAATTGTACGAAGTATACGAATGATTCTCTTTTTTTTAGGATTGTAGTATGTATGTTTATTTGCCTTAAAATTTAGGTTGAATTAAAAAGTAATATAAAAGCAGAGACTGGGCACGCATGTAAAAGAACCAGTTGGCATAAAACACAGTTGTGCGACCTATATTTCTCATAATAATTCTTGTCCTAATTATTCTTTATATTTAACTCTTCCTTTGTGCATCTCAGATCGACGGATTCGACGAACATGACCTATATGATGAGAAACGAATGCAGAAACCGAGATTCAAGAAGAAGTTGGTTTCAGTCAAACAAAAATTACTCGGATCGGCTCATTTTGAATGCCATGTTGTACCAATTGGTGATCCTACTATGAAGGTAAGTAATGAAAAAAGCTCTTGACTAAACAACTTCAATATATTTCTCAGGAAAATTTACTTGGGCAATGTCAAGCACAGTTAGAGACAAGAAAAAATGGTCTCTAAGCTTAGTTACATGCGGCCAAAATAGTACCAACAGCTACGGGAGCTATAAGCAGTACGGGAGATATAAGATGACATACTAATGCGTTTAATACAGTTATATATATAATTCATGTGATTAGTTTAAACGTCAGTTTTCAAATGTTTTCACCTGTTGGTGGTCCAACCATGAAAGCAAGGAAGCAACGGGAGCTTTTGACTGAAAACTTCGGTCCCAGGTTAGGGTTAGGGCATAATTTTATTTCGATTTCCCTCATTTTAGTTCAATTACGAGTTTGGGGACTGTCTGTGTTAGCCAAGTGAATATACCCCCTGCTCATATGTTTCAGTCCATTTATACAACTTGATGTAAAGTAGGCGAACAAAATTAGTTACCGCCATATTGTTACACACACTTCTGCAGCGCCAAAACTTGTTATGTTATTCAACAATACTGATGAGTCTTTTTGGGTTTGTATCTGTTTTAAGCATAATAATTTGTTTGGTGCCGTTAGTCTTTTATGTCCTAGTTTTGAATTTTTTAACTGATATCTAACTTTCGATATTTTTCATTCTTTAGGTTGAATGGCTTCTTGATGGCAAACCAATCGAGTTTGCAAACCGGATTATGACAACTCACGAATTTGGATATTGCTCATTGGATATTAGCGCTGTATATCCGAGAGATTCAGGTAATGAAGGTTTTCTTGGATATTGAATCGGAATATGTATGTATGTATTTACACTGAAGTGTAAAAGCCACAATTAATCGTGATGCATCAATTGCTCTAATGAAGTCCGACGCCGGACATAAAGCTTGTGTTGATAATGGATATAAATATTAATTTCATTTTAAATTTTTCATCCATGATGATATACTATTGATGCTCATCTCTACTTTTGCTGCTTTGGGGCTCCTTTTACAATGTAATTTCCCTTTTGCTATACGCACACACTCTACATTAGCAGTCGCTGCTATTACGTGGAGATCTATCTTATATTTGTAAAGGCTGATTTCTCTCGATTCGATGGATTGCTGGATTTTAGCACATCCTGCGTTATATGGTTTACTTGATTTTTAGCCCGAGTTATCTGACTGATTATCATATTGCTCACATATCCAAGTCTTTCGATTTCAAATGGTTACAACTAAATTATAACAATTGTTTTGTTATAGGTGTGATTAGCTGCCGCGCCACCAATGCTCATGGACAAATTCAAACATCTTGCACCTTAATTGTGAAAGATACCAAAGGACTTGTCGAAAAAACTCAGCTTCCGGAGACTAAACATCTTGAGAACATAGAAAGAAGAGAAAGAGAATTTAAAGGGGTGAGCTTCACGATTTCATAAATACATCACAATTACGTTTAAAACGGGAAAATGGAGGCAATTATCGTGTGTCATAAAGAGTTTTATTGACCGATTCGCCCATTCAGAGAATTATACGGTAGAAGAATGGAAGTGGTAGTATAACATTATATGAACCGTAAATGGTCACCCGCAGTGAATAAAGTTAATTCAGGGCGCCTATAAGGTTTGGTCAAATTTTTAAATTGTAACAAGACTTCATGGACACCCTAGACTTCAAAATACTGTATCACCGCACTTTTAAAACCTGCGTTTCTAACTTTGTCAGAGTAATTTGTACTCATTGTTTGTTTTTTTTTTAGGTCGGCGATCTCTACGCTAGAAAAGATCCCGACGATGATCAGCCTCCCCATGCTCCCCATATTGTATTGAACATCGATCCTGCCCGAGTAAAAGAGGGAGAACCTGCTAGATTCAGATGCCGTATTACTGGATTTCCTCTCCCCAAAGTCGAATGGTTCTTGAACAAACAATCCATCAGGAAGAGTAAACGGTAAGTAAATAATGATCTGCGTTTTTGTTCTCTGTTGGTTTTGAATAAAAGTGAACAACAATTATTCAAAAAGGCGGCTGTAAACGCACTCATGAACTTAACATATTACAACATGTTCGTGCTACCTTATGACATACATGTATGAGGCAGGGAAACACAGGAACCTCTAATCTTAGATCGTTATTATCCAACGAAGTACCGTTTGCACATAGAGTTGGGGGCTCGGGAACTTATTTCGATAAAATTTGTAAAAATACAATGAATATCTCTACTAGAATTTATTACGTATGGCGTTCCGCAGGGGTGTACCTTTGGACCTTTTTTTTTATTATTTCTAATCTATATTAATGGCTGCAAGTACCAACCAGAATGACTTCGATTCTATTTAAGAATAAATCCTTAAGAATATTTCATGCTGTAATATAAAATTAGCAGTTGTTCTACTTTTTCACCTAAATTCGTTCATTTTTATTTCAATATTATTAATTACAATTCAGTTTCCGACTCTGGTACGACGGAATCCACTACTTTGAAATTGCTGCAGTGCGTGGATACGACACAGGAGAAGTTCGTATGGTTGCGACCAACTCACAAGGTTCGGTTGAAAGCAGCGCTGCATTGGAAGTCTACCAGGCCGACGATCTTAGGTCTGTTCTTCATCGAGCTGACAAGGTTGTATCTACTACTGATGGTGACACTGACTTGACAGTAAAGAGATATAGAACATCGAGAGCAATTGAAGATCAATTGAGGGGTCTGTATCTCTAACTAACTCTAAAATTTTAATTTTACTTAAATTACATTCTGAACCTCGGGTGTCGCTGCTCGATAACCAGCTTTGGTACCCCGCGACTTCCCTTCCCCAGGAAAACTTTATTTATCATTTTCTCGTAGTTTGTGTCCGATTGTTGTTGATTTTACTGGTTGGAAAAAATAAAGTTGACTTGACTATCTCGACAAACAAAATAGAGTAAAAATGAATACGTCTTTTTGATGTAATTGGACCAGTGGGTATTGTTCACTGCCACCCATGTATATCTATCTATATACTCTGAGCATGTGATTTCTTGCAACTCCTATATCAGTGATGTAAGGTGTTCATAAAGTCCATTTACAATTTCAATTTTGTTATGAAGTCAGTTCTCAATATATCTTAACAAGGTTTGTTGTGTTTTAATCAGTAATTCTTTAGATGTTTTTACTTCATTTAATACATCTGTGAGGGCCAAAACGATATATTGTATCGATAAATTCCTTTCCCAATTTAAAAAAATTAAGACTTTATTATTTTAGGCCTTGTGTCCTTTCTTTGTGAAAACTGATATACAAAATGTTTATCTTGAAATAAATACGTTAAAATAAATTTTTATTATACAAAATGGTGCTCCTATAGTACGCGTACCAAGATGGCGGACACTGGAACGTCGTATGTGTACCAGGTTAGGGTTAGGCCATAATTTTATTCCAATTTTCTTTATTTTAGTTGTATTACGAGTTCGTGGACTAGCCAAGTGACTCCCGTAGTATTTGTACCTAAAATTATGGCCTCATCCTAATCTGGTACACATACTACGTTCCGGTGTCCGCCATCTTGGCTCACATACTTTAGAATACCTACAGAACTGTTTATAGTAATGTAGCATGGTCGTATTGCATACATACCAATAACCAATATCACAACTTATAACCTTCTGCCTACAGAGCAAAATGCACGGAAAATGGTCACTCAACTAAAACAAGTTGAAAAGCCAAGTCTAACCGGACAAAAGAAGCCAATGAAGAAAGCTACGGAACCGGAACTCCAGTCGAAGTTCAAACAACTCACCGAAGAAGAACACGTCATACAAGCTTACAATGTGGAAAAGAAACTGGTTTGTGATTGAATCATTGCTATTTATTGATTTGAATTAAACACCTGATCACTACTGAGATTAACAAATACCATTTTGTAAGTTAGAAGATGCTGTGTGTTAGGTTTGGTATACAAGGTGAATATTGAACGTTACTGATTACTTTTGATGCTTCATCGAAGTCGGTTCCAAACTCTCTTTCGAGTCCTAATTGTTCTTTTGTATAACGATGGCTGCTAGCAAGCTTATTTATAGTGTAACATGCACAATAGGTAAGCAAACAATATAGTTAGGTTTTTCAAAATGGTGTTTATATTCCGCGGAGTTTACAGTTAGACAGGCTTTACCATACTTCTTTGTATGTTAAGTACCTAATTATTTTCCGCTACTCTCGTTTCTTTTTCCTCTATTTTTTTTCTTTCGCATGAGAATCTTCCTGAATGTCTGTATGACAGCATGCTTCCCCTTTTCTTTGTCTGCTCTTTCTTAGAAGCTGTGAAACCTTTTTGCATATACAGCCGAGTCAGTTTCGAGATCGTGAATACGTTGAACATATACGTTCAACAAGAAGCAGTTTGACTCATTGGGACGAAGAAACAGAAGAAAAAGCGTCAATCCCTTGGTTGGAACGCCCCAAAGAAACCATCCCTGGATTCCAAACCGACAAGGTTACCAATTAATCACACCCAAGCACGCAATAAAAAGCGGACTGGATCACTCACACATACACACTGTGCATTATCGCATAAACCTTGCTCTGCCTTTCACTTTAACGCTGCTTGGCTGAACTCATTATACTTCTACAGAAAACTGTTTTCTAAACTGAGAAAATTGACTTTACTACGAACGTACTATTGCTATAATCTGCTTCTAAAATATCTAACTTTTTGCCAATTCACGGCACAGACTTGCCACTTTGGCTGTCTTGAGAAAGTGGCACGAGAGAACACTTTGTCGATATAGTTAAATTTTTTTTGAAACGCAGTATTATCATGTTGCTATTTTTTTTTATATATATCTGCATGCTTTTTAAAAGATTGATAATAACAGAAATTATATATTTTCGAAAAAATTGCAATAAGATTTGAGCTTTTGATAACTATTCAGGCAAGATTTTTAATAAACAATACCTCCCAAATTATTTTTTGTTATTTAGGATTAAATGTTGCATGAATGAGTTTATATGTGGTTAAATTTTATCACACAGTTTAGGAATTTTCATTTTGTTGTTTATAGCCGTATCACTTAACCTACTTGACGTTATCCTCAATTATTTTACAAATTATATGGAGTTAACGTATCTAAAACAAATAACTGAATAACTATTCTCACAATCTATCATACGGCAACTGAACAAGAGACCGGTGTTTGGCATATGCTTAATTCATTAATCTTACAGGCTTTACTGTCCTCCGGGATAAATATAACAATCTATCTTTTTTCTCAAACTTTTTCTGATTGTAAAACTGTTTTCGACAGACAATTTTTTGCGAGCTGAAACTAGTTTTTCTCAGCGGGTAGTTATTATCCTGTTCTCCGATCTTTCGTCTTTTTGATTTTCGATCCCATATTTTAGTGACTTGTTTCTTTCTGCATATTTGCACGAACATTATTCTTTTCAACTTTTCTGCTTGAAATTTCATTTTTCGGTGTGTTTTGAATGCATTCTGTATTTTACTCTATTTTTGGCAATTTATGCCTAATAAAATTCCGTATAGTATTTGACGATGTATTTCTAGAGCTCACTCTATTGTCTGTTTGTTAGTTTATTAGGAACATGGTGAAACAAATCAATTTTGATTCAGTAAAACATAAAGAGTAGTGGGGTTTTGGAATGGGCGTTTTTCTTCATAAAAGTTTGCTTCTAAATATATTTTAAAGATGAGATTAGAGATGTTTAGAGTGAAAAAGATATGTTTTCTCAAATTTTGCTCTTTTGAGTCGTCGGTTTTAACAGTTAGATAGTTGAACATTAATCCAATCGATTCGAATTTGATTCGTTCAATATTCGGGCGGCAAAAAAAATCTGAAAAATATTTCAAATTTACGCGTTTCAAATTTGGAGGGCAAGGTTATTGCGAAATTGTTTACGGTGTTCGCGGGAAGAAAAAACATTCTTTGATCGATGAAAAGAATCCCGAATAAAGAATCAAATTCGAATCGTGGCAAGTACGGATAATCAAGGCGAAATACTTTGTGAAACTTTTGTCCTGCCTTTAGGTCGAATTAGCTGACGATTCTGAAGCTCCCGTCATTCTTGAACGGGTGCAAAACGTCACAGTTCCAAAAGGCAAAGACGCAAGATTAAAGGTTAGATTCTACGGGAAGCCACGACCGGAAGTGACTTGGTTCTTTAACGGGAAACCATTGGAACATTCGGATCGCATTTCTTGGACTCTAATCGAGGTTTGATTTTTGTTATGTTTTTCTATTCTTATTGATTACTATGAAGGAAACTTGAACCAGTTTTTAATGACCATTTTGGCGCCTTTTCTTCAATCAAGGCCCTTTAAAAGAAGCTACTGATACCCGGTCCAAACAAACTTAAATTTTCCAATAACTTTTGCGAAAATGAAGATATTTTTTGTTTGTGTATGATTGTAGACATAAGTTAGGGGACGCTTTGCACGATGGTTAGGTTCTCCCAAGAATATGTTCTAAAATCTGAATGACATGGGTTATGTTTTTTTATTATTCTTTATGTCAAGACTTGTTTCTGGAAGTACCAAATATTTTGAGTTAGGGTTAGGGGAAATACGAGTCTTTACTTTATGTTATTCTAATTCATCTACGCTGTAACTCTTTATAGTCTCATTATCTTTTGGGGCTTGGATGGTCGCCTGTTACTTTGCTTAGAGCTCAGTCTCATGTATGCCATGAGAAAATGTCCTCGGAAAAATTAAATGAAGTACTTCTAGCTAATTTACTTTTTTTGTTTACTTCGTCCAGGAAAATGTATCGGAACTCGTCATCAGAAACACAAGAAAATCAGACGCTGGTGGAATCTCTGCAATTGTAAGCAACGCTGTAGGAGAAGCTGGAAGTCAAGGATTTTTACTTGTGCAAGGTAACTGGGAATATGTAGAATACCCCATAGATGGTTTCCCGATTGCATTGACATGAATTGCTTTAAATCTTGCGTCAATCGGTTTTCAACACGCAATTTCATATTATAATTTCCTCTAGTGTCAATAGCTTCTAGAATTTTAGTGCTCCCCTGTAATTTTGCTCAGGAATCATTTTCTTTAATTTATGAGCAAATTCTCGTGACCTTGCTTTGAGGAAATTTTTGTTAAAAACGTACAAAATACCTTAATTAAGACAATAAAGGCAAAATGTAATTTTATAGTATTTTAAACACCATTGAAATCAGTTCATCACACCCCGCATAGTTAGACTTTCAACAGTTCAGTTCCGAAAACTTTGTGAAATTTTACGGTTGTTCGGAAAAATTATTATAGATGTGGAGCCAATTTGTTAGCCTGAGAGAGATCGTTTCAACTAAATCGTGGCGAAATAGATCCCTCGGGACCCAGTCTGCTCAGAGTTTTAACGATAATAACGAAAAGTCTGAAAAACTATTTTGTAATACAAAATGAGTTTGACATTTCATTGCCAATCACGATTCAAAAAACTTCATTTATAATATTTAAGGTTTCATGTTTAGTTTACATCTAAAATTAGCGCGAACCTATGAAATGGGGTGAAATGCGGCGGCAAAGTTTGCAGTGGCCTGATGCTGGCTTTGAGGAAACACATACAGTTCAGCTCGGCCTGAAATTATAATTCAGGAATTTTTCGTCCTAGAGTCACCTATGACATTACATTACTGATATCGTATGCCTTATATCAGCTTGCAGAAACTGTGGTTAAGTTTATTTTGGTTCGCTCAAGTCCTATGAGATCGCGCCTTATAATAGACTTTATCTGTAGGAATGGTATGTCTGGTTTTAGTTTCGCTCATGTGTATATATACCTGGGTTATATTTCAGAAATGCTTCTGTAAGTACTTGATATTTGTCGCCTTTCTTTAAAATCTTTTAACCGATCGCCGAGTGTTTATTTTCTTTTGATAGATCGCTTTGTTAGTTTCTGAATATGGCTTATAATATTCACATTTGATACATAGTTTCTTTTCCCTAAAGTTTCTCAAAGCTTAGAGATGCTTTTTGCGATCTTATTGCAGTATCAGCGTTTATGCGTACTCAAAATGTATGTGAAAGTTTTATTGTTGGGTAGTTTCTGTATTAGACTTCTATAAAACGCTTTCGCGTTTTTATTATAGTACGAGCTGTTCATAAAGTACTACAATTCAAAAATTTCAAAAATATAACAAACATAACCAAATTTGATTAGCTTTTCTTAATAGTAAATATCATTAATCCTCGTTTCTCAGAACCTAATGTACTTCGCTTCACTTCGCCATTGCAAGACGTATCAGCAAAGGAAAACGATCGTTCATGTATGTTCGAGTGTACTCTGTCTGAATCATACGTCAAAGTTGAATGGCGAACGACCGCTGGACGCCGCGGTGCGACAGAAGGATACGAAACCGTACTCAAGGGAGGAGACAAATATCGCATGAATACTGAAGGAAACCATCATTATTTGAGGATTTCTGATATTCAAATGCAAGATGCTGGGACTTATTATTGTGTAGTCGTTGGCCAAGACGATAAACAGTCAGCAGCTGATTTAGTCGTTGAAGGTATATTTCACTTTGTTCTTACCAATAATAATTTAAGAATATTTCATCTCAATGAAAGTAAATCTTTATGAAGGCGACTTTTAAGAGATTGTGGGCATGTATTTTGAACCCTTCATCTTCAACTTATGACCCAACCCAAATTTCAAAATCTAGAGCGTTTCTACTCCAATTAAGCCCTTTGTATAAGCAACCATTGAGACATGGTGACCATCGTGTCTTAGAAATATTATAATTTTGCGGTTCGTCACACAGATTATACAATAAATCCCACCTTCAACAGGTAGTTTACATGGATTTACCCCCATTATCTTGATCATATTACACCAACATATTTTCGAAGTTTTTTCGCTCCGATTTGGGGGCTTTGTTCAAGTTTGTGACGAGGCGAAGTGAGCTTCTGAGTTCTAGAAATACCAGAATTGACATATAAAGCTACTCGACTTATTACACCCTTGACACGTTAAAACATGTCATTTGAATATATTCAACATGCGATGCTATAAAATTTCAATAAATTCACCCCCCTAATCATTTGCCATGGCGGGAGTATTTTCGAAATTTTCGATCTTCCCCTAAACGTCAAGATTTATTTAATTTGTGATTAGAATTTTTTGAGGCGAATATTTAACCTTTAGGATTTATTATATTCTTATTTACATAACGTTAATTCGCTTTTAACTACCTTGTATTGTGAATCAAAAATAAATTGCTTTCTAACAGCTGTTCCACGCACAATCACAACTAAACTCAAAGATCAGACGTCACGTGAAGGACTTCAAGCTCATTATGAAGCAACAGTATCACATGAGAATGTGGCTGGAACTTGGATGAAAGATGGAGTTTCTTTACAAGTATGAATTATACCGCGAACGTGTTTTAGTCGAGGCCAATAATGCGATTTTAAAGTCCGTATAGTATATTGGTTACTGAAGGAGAGCTTCGCCATACACAAGGTTCTGGATAACTAGTTACTGACACGTGAAGAGGATCTATTTTTGAAAATGACATAATCTCACATATTTTCCATTGTCTAATCAATTTCTACCGCCATTATTACGGTAGTTTGCATGGATAGTAAGTCGGTATATTTAAACTGCGACGCAGTTTATTATTCAAAATAATTTGTCCGTTCCTACATTATAACATTCAAACCAAGTTGGTAGCAAATCGAACTATATAAAAAAAAAATGGAATGAACACTAGTATCGTAATCTACAAATGCCTAAACCATTACCGTATTTCAAATGTATTTTTCCCTTACAAATGCCAAGTCTCCAATAAATGAATATCCCATCATTTATTTATTTATATTTGCTAACAATGTGTTTTAAAATAAATAAAAAATTCATTGTAATTACAGTCAAGTGAAAAATATGAAATTGGTGAAGTCGGTCGTCGACGTCGTCTCACTGTGAATGATTTAGTCTTAGAAGACGAAGGTGTTTATGAATATGTATATAATGGCGATACTTCGTCTGCAAATTTAACTGTCACTGGTACGTATTTGGAACGTTTTTCTTGATTGATTTAGATGCGATATAACTGTGGTGTTCTATGTAATCTAACAATATGTTGGTGGTTTATTCGAGCGATTGGACATTATATACCGTATGTATTCAAATGTACATTAATTAAATAGAACGGATAGATGGCCCTAGTCGCTATATGAAATCCATTCCTTAGGAAAGGCTATTATAGGATGTCATATATAAGCAGAAGGTTTGTTTCTTGGTTACACAACATCACTGCTACTAAGACTATCAAGTATATCTTGTCATATTGAAAATGAGTTCTAGCCTAAATTAAAAATTTTGTAATGAGTCCAAAGCGAAATTTGATTTAGGAACGCTATAGTGCTAAATATTGACCATACATTTTGGATAGCGAGGAAATAAATTAGAAACATATAACTACAAGTTGTGATGTGACAAATTTAATTCTACTATTACCCATTTGCTCATTTGTTAGCGGTATTCTAAAATCTTTTTCTAATATTTCCAGCCTTTCCATGCAATATTACACAAACTTTATCGGACCAGACGGCCTTTGCCGGCAACACTGTGAAATTTGAAGCAAAAGTTTCGTTGTTTGGAGCAAAGATTTATTGGTTTAAAAATGGAGTTCCTATTACTCCATCGGAAAGGTAAGCAATAAGAACAATTGGAGTATTAAGTTCTCCCTACTGTGGAATTTTACTGCTGCTGCATGCTAATAATAGCAACTTGATTTATCAGCTTTATTGTACACGTGCATTAAATATTTTCATTATATGTTATGGAAATTGAACACACTGGGCCGAATATAGTTTTCATTTTTGGATTAAGCTATTTCCCGAGTTTATTCGTCGAGCATAAATATCTATCGAGATTCATTTTAAGTTCATATCCAAAAATTCGGGAATTTGAAATTCGTGTACCCGATGGCGTAGTGGTTGAGGCGCTGGATTTAGTTATGTTTGCAACGCATGTTGAAAAATCTCTTGTTTAAATAACATGTTCGCCACCTTACCTACGGCGTAATGAATCGGGTGGGCAATGCAGAACCTGGGAAATTCCAGTCTTTCAAAAACAAATATCTCGTTCTATATACAGAGTCGTGTTCGGAATCAAAGGCGTGAATTCATACGCCGTCTAAAAACATTACTAATTTCCAGTGAGACTTCCTTACGCATTTCTTCTATTGATCTAAATATTAGCAACGGTAACTTATTACTACATCATTTTTTATTTAAAATTTATCTATTTGTTTTTGCAGAATTAGCTTATCGTCTGAACACAAATCTCACATATTGACAATCACGGCATGCACATCGGAAGATGCTGGTCAATATTCTTTCAAAGCTGGAACAAACGAATCCACTGCACAACTTGTTATTCAAGGTTTGTAAAAGAATGAAAATTTAACTTTGTTGGGTATCCATTTTGAAAAATTATAATGCGAAAATGTTCTGAAATAGCGTCTCCCAAACGTTTTGTTCGTGTCTCCCCAACTTATTAGGGAAATACCTCACAGCACACTTGCACGATTTACATTTAAATTCTTAAAAATCACTCATGTTTACTAAACTCGGTTCAGCAGAAAAATAAACCGCAGCTTAAGAATTGCAGCAGGTAGTCGATGGTGTCTACCTGTATTGTTCTGCAACAATAGAGGCAGACACTAACTGTCGAAAATATTTATTTTTGCATTAATCTGTGGAACACTGTTGCCGTGCAGTATTTCCTTCAATTTATTCAACTTTCATTATTCGTGATCCTCTTCCAAAAGACTCTTGAGTCCTTGACACTTGCGGCTCCCTTTTTTGTATAAAAAATACCTAGTTTTGATTTTACGCTCTTTGGTTATTTTATGCACCACGTTTAAAATACAAAGCCAACAATGAAACGAAAGAAGATTGAATCAAAAGATTGAACTTTCCATTCTATTAGACAATTTATCCCGAAGAACTGAGAATCCAACCAGAATATATTGGCATAAACGACCGCAGTGTTCTACGGAGTACTATGAATATTTTGATTACACAACGTGGTTACAAAACCTCTGTATCCAACAATATGTTTTTATTTCAGAAATCGTCGTTACTGGCTTTCTCCAAAACCAATCAGTCGTTGAATCACAATCTGTACAACTCAAATGCTCTATCGATGTCCCCGGATATTTCGATGGCATTTGGCTTCATAATGAAAAATTGATTACAAATTCCGAATACCACGTTATCGAAACAAAAGGCTCTTCCCAAATGTTAACCTTGACAAACGTCACAAACGATGACGCCGGCACTTATGCTTACGTAACCGGAAGTGGAACAGGAACTGAAGCCAAGTTAGAGGTCATCCCCATCAAGGTAGTACGACCTCTGCACGATATAACGGACGCGGAAACTAAAACTGTGAAACTCGAATTGGAACTGTCGCACCCAGACGTAGAAGGTACTTGGTGGAAAGATGGAATCCAATTACAGGTATACACAAAACTGCAATTTTTTTTTTGTCGGCGAAATGTTGCGTCGCTGTGCTTGATTCACATTTATCATTATGAACTGTGCTCTTCTAATATTTCGAAACCTGTCGCTCCAAAAAAAATTTCAGCCATTAAACAAGGTGTGTAGCTGTGTACTGTCAATGTAACTAGACAAAAAAATATAACGCTACTTTATAGCTGTTTTCTTATGATAATGACCTGAACTGCTTCAATTGGTATTCACTAACGCGCAGTTCACCGCTAAAATTCTTTATAGTTCCATTGGCTCTTGGCACTTTGGTTGCACATAGCTTCGCTTCAAGATTAGTCTCCCATTTTTAAGTGAATTTTTATTGCGCTTGTTTCGATATTTATTCAATATATTAAATACCATATTTTCGATTTATCTGGAAATTTGTACTATCGAATATTCGTAAAACTCGTCAACGAATTATTTTCAACCTCTACATTTTATTAATAAATATTATTATTATTTATATCAGGGAACTGACAAACACATTTTTGGATCAGACGGTAAAGTTCGATTCTTAGAAATCAGGAAACTTGCTGTGGATGATCAAGGAAATTATGAATTCCGTGCTGGAAAACAAATGTCATCTGCTCACATAACTGTGCAAGGTATAGTGTTTATAACTCAATTGTAAATTTGGTATTTTATTTGAAATTTCATTAGATTGAAGTTAGACGAATAGATGGATATAAATTTTACCTGGAATTTACCTGAGTAAAATTTTACATAAAATTTATATCTGTTCAGATATTTCAGTTTTTTTTACAAAACTTAAAAAAAAAGTTTGAAATTCCGAACGATCAACTATTGGGATATAGAAACCTATTACTATGGGAACGACATTTTCATGTTGCCACGCCACATTTTACTAAATAAAATTATATAATGAAAGTATGAATTAGGTTACAATTTTGACATAGGTAATGAATCAAATTGTGTTATTTGACTTAATAATCGAGTTTTGCTAACATTTTGCTTTATCTAGTGGATAATGTAATCCAATAAACCTTAATTTTAGCAAATCATTTTCCAATAAAATCATCAAATTTATCAAATATCATAGGTGCTTCCATCACCAAACCATTACATGACACCAAAGCCTTAGAAACTGGAGACGCCACCATGGAATGCGAAGTCGCAGGAACTGGTGTACGTGGAGTTTGGAAGCGAAACGGAGTTCCAATCAACTTCGATGCTCCTGGATGCAAGGACAGGTACATAGTAGAAGGAAGAAGACATATATTACAAATGACTGGCATTGACCAAGATCATGCTGGAACTTATACTTTTGAATTTGGAAGCAAAAAGACAAGTGCTCATCTTGAAATCGAAGGTACTATTTTAATTTGTTTGAAAAACTTATACAAAGTATTGAATACTCCCCTTTTTGCTCAGAAAACGTTCTACTTTATTCTACAATGTTAAGTTTTACAAAAGCGTGAACCAAGCGCCAATTGACTACCTAGTTTAATACTTTTGTTTTTTTCTTATATTATCTTTGATTTCTGCCGTTATTCCACAAAAAAAACAGGCATTACAAATTGTTGTTCATATTTATATTGTCTATACCTGTAACGAATTTCGTGTTTTCATGTAGTTTGGTTTCGGTATCGAAAGATGGAAGAAGTCGATTCTTTTGTCTATTTTTATTTTTTCAAACTTTCCCTGAGTCTCACTGGGCCCCCCAATATATCTCCAAAAATGTTGCTTCAATATTTTACTTAAATAGAAACACTTTTTTATTCTGTATATGTTGACCGCCTCCGTATTGCTTAACCGCTCATTTTTTTAGCAACCTTGCTTCTTCTTGGTTTTACGGAACCAATACTAATGCGCGATTTCTTGTATTCCTTTGCTCTCTAGTTCTAAATGAGCAATTTTAATTTCTCAGGAATCAAGTTGATGAAAGCACTGCGTAACATACACGTTGCCGATGCCTCTGACGCAGTCTTTGCCGTCGAAGTATCTCAAGATAATGTTCGTCAAGTTAAATGGGAGAGAAATGGTGTAGAAATACGACCAGATGATCCCAAATATGTCATGAAATCGGACGGGAATAAATTTACTTTGACTGTCAAAAAAGTCAGTCATTCTGATGTGGCCGCCTACAGCTTCGTTGCTGGATCTGCGAAATCTTCTGGAAGAATTTATGTTGAAAGTAAGTGAAACTGTTATTCCGTGGTCATATCGATTTCAAAATTTTGAAATATAAATGAAATTTTAAGTAATTCAAGAGTTTTGCTGCACACCAACACAAATATATTTCTCAAACGTTTCGTTTGGCCAAGGTCAGACTTCTTCAGACATACATAGTTCAACTTATATGCATAGTTCAACTTAAGGCTTGCTACAGCATCCTTGCAATATGTGCAGACGAATCCACCGGCGCAAAAACATAGAAGAAGGATAAGCCAATAGTCCTGCAGAAACCAATTTATTAGCACATATAAAATTCAACATCATTTTAAATTTTGAGATCGAGGAAACATATTATGGTGACCGAATATTAGGATTACTTCGTGTAATCACAATGATACAGTATATTCTCAAACTTTAGGGGTTCTAACTCTTCTTAACTTTCATTTCGTGGACTTTCGTGGAGTTTTTTTAATGAAATTCATTTAAATATTTAGGTGAAAGACATTTGTATTTACTAAGGTGTATGTTGTTCCGGTTACAACATACAAACTAATTCAAAAAATATCACCATATCTGCCATTCATAAAAAATGCTATTTTATTCAGAAATTGAATTTGTTCGTGAACTTCAAGATCAACACATCATGGAGAAACGAACAGCAGAATTCATTGTTGAAATTGATAATGACAATGTTACCGGATACTGGGAGAAAGATGGAGTTAAATTAGAAGCTTCTGATAAGTACTTGGTAAGTCAGAATGAGGGACAGAGCAAAGTAAATTTTTTTTTTTTTTCAACTATTTATGCACTTTTCGTTGTGCACAACGCTCTGTATAAGCCCCCATCGGTTTGTAAAAAGCTGTTATAATTTACAAGGGCAGGAATCTTTGCGGTTTGATATTATCTGCTCAAATTATTGCATTTTGGGTCAATTTGGTATTGGTGGGAATGGGTTATTTTATCGGGATGATCGGGATTTATTTCAATTTGCTAATATATAATAAGCCATAGCCAGCACAAGGAAATGCAAAAAATCGCGGCCTCAATACAAAAATGACCCACAACCTGTAACCTGTTTTTTTGTTGTTGTTTGGTAACCTATTTAATTGGTTCACCAAAAATCGGCGTTAAAAGATTATTTCATTTTTGTATTAAGTAAGCCTATTGTACGTGTATTCGTATGGATAGTATGACAATATAGCACGTGCAATAGTAGTATACACATGCATAGTAAACATACTGTACAATGTATAGGGTGTCCATGAAGTCCTAAAAAAATTCAAAATTGCAAAGGTAATTTATCGTTACCCTATATTGTTTTGTCCTTCACATATGTATTAAATGAAGTAAAAAATATTTAAACAATTACTGATTGAAAAACAACAAACCTGGTTAAGATATATTGAGAACTGACTTCATAACAAAATTGAAATTTTATTGCAAACTGTGGTATATTAACGAATCTATTATTACAGAATCACAATCCGAAACTCTGTATTTTTAGATCCAAAGTGAACGCAAAGTTCATCAGCTGACGATCACAAACACTACAGAAACCGATACCGGAGTTTATACATTCCGTGTAGGACGTTCTTCAACCTCCGGGAAACTTCACGTTGAAACTGTCAAAATCACAAGCAGAATGAAGCCAAAATCGATCAAAGAAACGCAATCCGCTACATTTGAATGCACTGTAAATCATCCTGATATAACATCGAACATGTACTGCTGGATGAAAAATGGAAAAGAAATTCAGGTTTGATTTTTATACGAGTTTCGTATCATCAACTACGTGCAAGGCTCTGTACAACTCTGTACCGCTACTATTTTCTGAAAGGACTTAGGATCTTTGCGATTCGGTATTGCCTACCCATTTTTAACATCCCGAGTTGGGTGTAAAAAAATTCAAGCTAGATTTTTTATATAACGTTCTACACACTTCGAATAAGCTTCTGTACAAACAGACAGGCATGAGGGCTAATACCCGAATCTTCTCATTCCGGGATTGCTTACCCACGTTATTATACTCTGTGTGAGGGGGTGTGTTCGGACTTTTGACCCGATATTTCTAGTTGCGGTGCCAACATTGTCTATTGTTTAAACAATTATTCTATTGCGCTAAAAGATACGATATTTATATAGTTTCTCTCCGAAAATACTCTGGACAAGCAAATATTTTACGTAATGTAAAGTTTTCTTTCCTGTTTATTATGTTATATCCTTCGGATACAGTTCAAATGAGTCTTTGAATCTGATTTTAACGTTTTTCATCGTAAAATATACATGTTTTGACAAATTGACGTCTCTAAAACCGCAATACTGGCTTATCTTATACAAAGCACATTCTACTATGTTTATATATAAATAAAAAAAATTAGCACAAGGCTAAATTTCCATTTAATATTTCTTTCTATATAAAAAAAATCGGTACTTGCATTCCCATACTTTATTCAATATCTCAGTAACGTGGAACATAAACCAGTAATAATAATAATCATTTGACATATGAAGCAATAAAATTCACATACCACAGACCATAAACAAGGACCGGAGTCGAATTACTTAAAGATATTTCTATATATAAATTCATATTTCTGCCCCAAGGGCTAAAATTATTAAATTAACCGTCTTTAAGCATCACCAATATACCACGATTATGTCTTCATTGTCCAAGCATGGAAGCATCTTAATTATATTTTTAAATGTGTTTTGCAGAGTAACCACACTTGGTGGATAGTAAAATTTATTGCAATTTTTGTATTGTAATTCACAGACTACGGAACGCATAAACAAAACGGTTGAAGGCTACACACACCGCCTTACTATTCATGATTGTTCGATCGAGGATTCGGGCGAGTATACTTTCGAAGCTGGAAAAGATAAATGCTCTGCTAAATTAGACGTGCAAGGTAATATTGTATTATTTTTATTTCTTAATTTTTTTGTAGATGTTTGTGCATTTCTTTTAGTTGTAGACGTACTGTATTATATTATATGTATAACCGAGTGATTAGAAAAAAAAAACGCAAGTCATTTGGAACAAATTCTAAAAAAAAACATAACCTTTGGGCATAATCATAAACAGAAGATTGAAATTTTCAAGTTTTAATGAAATATTCTTCATTTTCGTATTAGGAAATTTATGTTTTTTAGGGGGTCGATGTTAAGGTTATAGAAGTACATGTTAAAATAGAATTGCTTTCCAACTCAGCGATGTACTCATTATTATGGCTTATATCTTATAATTATAATCCGGTATGATTCATTTAAAATTCGGCGCTTGACAAGTTATATAGATATTCTAGATATAAACACTCATCCAATAATGGCTGAATATATGAAAATTCTGATTTCTTTATATAATTGTATTTTAGTTGTCAAAGTTATCCGTGGACTCGCCCCTAAACGCAAAGTTATGGCGCACGAAACTGTAGTCTTCGAGGCTCAAATCGACGCTCCTAATGTGAAGGCATTCTGGATGAAGGACGGTCGACGTATTGACGTCAGTTCACGCATGACTGACTCGAGTTCAAAGTTCGAGGCAAAATCTAAGGAAACGATTCATACTCTCAAGGTTAAAGATGTAAACGCCGACGATGAAGGCGTGTACACTTTGTATGCTGGACGGGAACTTACTTCTTCAACATTATATGTGGAAGGTATGAGGTTTCAATTTGTTTCATTTTTTTTTGCTCTATACTTTGTTGGTCTGAACTCTCCGTTCTTGTTACCCAAATTATTTCTGGTCTTCACACCATATTAACCTCTGATTCATCGCTGTGGAGTAGGTGAAAATTCACAATTGACTTCAATTCCCGGCTCCGGTAAAAAATGATTTCGACTCCGGGTTGTAAAAAAGTCGACTCCATCTCCAGCTCCGAAATTTGAACTTGAGTAGGAAGTCTTGACCTATTTTATTATCGGACCTCCTGAATTATGCGCACCAAGATGGCGCACAACTCAGGTTGTGTATCAGGTTAGGGTTCAGGTTATGCGACATCTTGGTGCGCATACTTCATAAGTACCTTATTATCATTGAAAACCTGCAATCCTACTCTGACTGCAGGGAATTTCAAGGTTCGAATCCGACTACAGGCCTAAAAGTTTGAAAATACGGCTCCCACATCCTTACTATTATTCCCACTTTTCAACAAATTCGCTTTTTGGAATTATCGTGATCCTAGCTGTTTTCATTGTACTGACGACTGGACTGTTTTAAACGCCGTTTCAACCGTTTCAAATTGACATTCAAATTGCTAAGATAAACTTATTCATAACCCTAAGAGTGTCCGTTCTAACTTGCAATTCTGTCGTACTCTCTTACTTTTAGTTGAGGATTTGGGACTCGCATTAAGCATATATCACTCATATAGTTTTTGTGCATTGCGCACCCTTGGCAATGACGTTTAGTTGACTACATCGCTTCTGATTTTTTATGTCATATTCCAATCTCATTTCCTGTGTATTTTATTTCATAGTTCTTCAAGTTGACATCACCAAGTGTGTGAAAACAATCAGCGTCGTTGAGAAGCACCAAGCAACATTGGAATTCAAAGTCAGCAAACCTAACGTCAAGGCACAATGGTTTAGACAAGGAATTGAGATCGATGTCAACCAGCCAAGGTGGGCTTTACAAATAATGCTAGATCTGCCGGATCACATTCTATTTATCTTTTCCGCAGATTCTATTTCCCGTCACGACTTAAGACTGAGCGTCACTTGTAGTAGCACTAAAAATCTGGATACTTAATTTATTACATCATGGGTTAGCCAGGAGGGTGGCATAGTTTTTGAATCAGGGGCCAAACTGTCGGAAAAAGTTACACTTGACGCGCGCAACGAAATGAAGAAAGATGTGTGATACACGACGTCGAATCGAGTGAGCCAGAAAATATAAAGTTATTGTCCCATATCCTAAAAGTCTGTGGCAACCTAAAATACAACTTACCTAGACTACCTTGATTAAACAAGTCTTATGCAGGGCCAAATTAGACCGGATTTATATCGCGGGCCGTGATTTATCCATGCCAGGTCTAAACTGTTATCAAGTACCTTTGCATTGACATTTACAAAATGCATTTGGTTTTATAAAGGTAAAAGTCAAGCTTTTCCTTCCAATCACGTGCCATGATTATCAAGGAGCAATACGCTTCATATCGGGTTATTTCATTCCGTCTAGTAACCACAGCGCATCATAATATTTGCCGTTTCATCACGACGATGACGCTGTTAACGGAGATGACTGTTAAATTAAGAATGGACAGCTGACATAAAAGTAAAAGTTACGATGTCCGTAGATTTGTGACGTCATATAAGTTCGCGTAATTTATAATAAACGTAACGGATAAAACGGAAACGTAGCTATATAGAAATGTAGGCTACAAATCGTATTGGTTTAGTTCTAGAATTATAATTACAGATATCCTAAAATATGAATTCCTTGAGATTTTTAAATTTTTTTTTAATGTTTCTAGGATTCCAAGTATATATAAGTTGCTCAAGTAAAGGTAAATTGGATTATAAATTGATCTAGGATGATATTGTAATTTAGAAAACACGTTATAACTGATACGCTATTGTATAGTTTAAGTGGGAAACACCGTGAAATAAACTTTTATCGACTATATCTGGTTTATGTTCTACGATTTATCGTAGAGATCCCGCAAGTCTTTGACCCAAACACCGTCGTCTTTTTTGTATAGTATGCTTTTGGTATAATTTTTCACCATAATACGTCATTAACTTATCCGTGGAAATTTAGTAAAAATTGCTTTTTATTCAATAATTGTGTTTTGAACGCCGATTTATTTTATATATATTGACGCTTTTCCGTTTGCATAAAGCACATCTAGCCTCACTATTTATTTGACCCCATTTCAACAAGTCAAAAATAATAAGAACTTTGTTTAAATACAAATCTAAGTAACCACATTAGTAAGACGTGGGAAGTAGCATAATATTGACTTATCGGTTCCCGCGTGTGATACCCTTCAATCACGCACTTTCATCGCGCGGCAGACTTTTAAAATTTTTAGTAAAAGTTAGCCGGCGTTTTGGTGTAACTGTAGATAAGACGCACATATATAAAAACACTTTCGATAAAACGGATTACTATGTAGTTCATAGATAATTTGATATTTTTGCATAGCAAAATAGACTTGAAACGTTAAGATTAAACTTTGGCCTATGTTCGTTCTTACTTTACCGTATTTATCGTACTGTCGTTGTACTTTAGTATTCTTGCCTAAGTAAGAATCCCAGTGGAGACGTCGAACATGACAGGGTAAACTTTCCAACTCTTTTGTTTGATTTGTATGTAAACATATCACCGAATAATAATAGCACGATAGCTAGTTATTGCTATAGTCGTTCTAAGGCAGGAATATAGCTAACAACGTCTTGAAAAGTGGGTACATTTCTTCAGGAAATTTTAGAATTTCGTTAGGTAGATTTTTAACAGTCCTTAATAGCGTTTTTTGATCATGATTTGAATATATTACTTCAGCGAGAGAAGAGTAACGGTTGCAGTAGTGTGATTTTGTTAATGAATCCTACTTTTTTTTTTATCATCTATGTTTTAGTATTTGTGACAATGTAAACGATGACATTGGAACTAAATTAGGATTTTATTTTTTAATATATCCTCCCAATAGGCTAGTCATTTCAAATAATAATGAAATTTCATATGCTAAAGCTACAATTATTTTCGTATTCTCGAAGCTGAGAAACTTGGTTTTATGATCTTCAAATACAATAGATTGACGATTTTTACTGTCAGTATTGAGGTTAATTTGCGACTCGCTCACTCGTGGCGTTGAGAATATAGATTACACTCCGGGGAGCTTTATCAAGTTTGATTAATTTATAATTTGTTACTTCCATTCATGGTGTTTATTATTTAGTTACCCAGTTCAGGAGAATTCAAAATTTAGCAGAAAGGAAATTGGGGAGAAATAGCTTGTCATTTTCATATACAAATGAGATAAATGTCCTTTATCTGTGCATATTGCATTTTGGCATCAAAAATGAGCAAATCGTGTCTTCTAATCGCTTAGTTAGGCAAGAATTGATTATTAGTTTAAACAAATGCTGTTGCCTGTTGTATATATGACATTAAAATATCATTTATTTATATCATAAAATATCAAATATCATCGAAATACCCGAGTTAGCAATAGGAAACTCTGCATGATATATAAAAATATCTTAGAAAAAAAAGAGTTGTATTTCTGGGTTTAATTCAACCTGAAGTCCTGAATTCTTCAGGCTATTCAAATACAACGTCATATTTTCTTTTCTAAATGGAAAGGTCATTTCCGGGTCCGGTTTACAATGTGACTGTTAAAGGATAGCTTATTTACTCAGCATGGTATTTTTGATTACTTTATAAAGTGTATTGTATTGCATTGTTGGTCGGCTTTGATTTTCGAAAGACCATTGTTCTAATATTGACAATACGTGACTAAATGTGTTCGTAAAAACAATAGCAGCAAGGGTTCAGGCGTCATATGAATAAAAGTTCAACATTGGATTATTGTGAACTTTTATAAAAATTCAATTTATTATTATAATTTTTACGTTTTTAAATTATTCAATAATCCCACGCAAACGACAATTTTGACTTTTTGCAATACCGGACACGTCTATACCCATATCATGTTTGCCTACTTACTCCACTACCTATTAATTGCAAACCACACTAAGGACAGAAGTAATCGAACTAGATTTGCTCAGAATTTTAAAATTTGTTTTTTGTTTTTCTAGATATCGTTATGAAATAGACGATAGAACGCACAGACTTTACGTAAAAGAAGTTTCATTTTCTGATGAAGGTGAATATACCTTTCAAGCAGGAACCCAGAGAGCAACTACGTTTTTATACGTCCAGCGTAAGTAGATTTATTACGAACGATGTTTTGCATTGGTTGTGGTAAATGTGTACTCCTGTAGTATGTGTACCAGGTTAGGGTTAGGCCATAATTTTATTCCGATTTTCCTTATTTTAGTTCTATCACGAGTTCGGGGAATGTCTGTTTTAGCCAATTGAATACATCCCCTGCCCAACATTGTAATTAGTCCCTTTACACAACTTGCTGTAAAGTAGGCGAACAAAATTAGTTACCTCATTATTGGTACACATACTTCTGGAGCGGCGGTAAACATATAGTGTAATAAATCGACACAAGCCGATTCTGGAACGATTTTGGGGCAGTTTATTTTCTTTCGCACAATTTTTTTGCACATTTGCTAACATACTGGAGATATTTCAAGAAAGCGCCAAAGAGTAGTAGTAACATTCTATGATGTTTTGTTTAACCAGTTCAGTCATAGCAAATGTAAATATGAAAAACGTCATAGTAGTTCTGGCTTTCGTGGAACAATTATGCAATCTAGGTGACGCAGAGGAATAAAATATCCTTTCGCAAAACAACCCTTTACGGGTCACGTCTGTCGAAATTAAATAAATATCTAACTTTTGAAATGATAGAAATAACACAATTCTTTGGTGACCGTATTTATATAAATAACGTATTTGCTTCTAGAGAGCTGGTGGCAAATTCTCTTAAACCAACATTTTATTTGCCAATTGATCTATTTACGTCATACAATATTTACTACTAATAGAAAAGTTTTAAAAAGTCAGCTCTACGTGGCTTTTTGGTCGGGTTTTAACAATTTGGCAATATTTCTAAATTGAGGGCTTATCCAGGATTTTATTTTGGAGACGAAATTGATTATTGAAGCTCAATGACGTCTTACTTCTTGGGATTGCCTTTTCATTAAGAGAATTACTTTTAAATAATTTACAATTATTTACCAAAAATTTATACTCGAAAAAGAACAATATTAAATTTCTAATGTTTTAGTTTAGTGTACAAGGTATGTTAAAATAGAACGCATCTAGTTGCGATATCACAACAACCATCTGTGTACAGTATTGTGACATCTATAAAGGCCTAAAGGAAATTTATCAATACCATATATTGTTTTGGCCCTCACAGATGTATTAAATGAAGTAAAAATGCTTCAACAATTACTGATTAGAAAACAACAAATCTGGTTAAAATATGGTGAAATCTGACTTCATAATAAAATTGAAATTGTAAATGGACTTTATGGACACCCTGTATTTCAAATCCAGACAACATTTTTTTTTTTATTTTATTTACCTGTTGTACAATTTGTAATCTTTCCTTCAGCACCTGAACCACCTCGTTTCGTTCAAGAACTTCGCAACTGTATCGTCATCGCTGGTGAAGCTGCTAAATTTACTGTTCGTGTGACAGGAAGACCTGAGCCCAACATTACTTGGTATAAGGAAGGAATTACTATCAATCCAAGTAAGTTTTTTATATCTTAGGATATTCTCTCTGGAATTTTCATGGCTGTTATTTAATATTTGATTACTAGACATATCATGAATAATTTGCTAAGTTGTATAATTGCTATTTTAGGCTTCAAATACAAGATCCTTCACGACGAAGACCAACATACCCTGGTGGTGATCGGAGTCGAAGAATCTGATGCCGGAGAATACGTATGTGAAGCTAGGAATGAACTTGGAAGCATGAGAACTAAAGCTTCATTGGAAGTTGACAGTAAGTCCAGTTGAATGATTTATGCTATTAAATTGTTGCTCTCTTTTTGATCACGAGTAGGAATTTGCTTTTTAACTCGCCATCTTTTGTCTTTATTTAAGTCTTATCTCCTAACTATCTGGTTTTATCATCGATCGGTTCCTTTCGCTGTTTGTTGAATTATTTAGATGAGAATAAAAATATTGCTTTGTAACCCCATGCTTCCACTTTACCTTGGTTATATACAGAGCCCAAAAAATCCCGGTCATCCGGAAAGCACAGTGTCCCCTGCATATATCAGTCGCTAGCTATCTTTGTGGAAACACATGAAAATTTATCCACTAACTTATCCGAAATTTCAGCTCGTAACTTGGATATATATTAACCAGAAATTAGAAGGAAACCCAATGTAAAATCAAGAAGCAAAATACTAGAACAAAATAATTTTATGATGAATTTTGTTCACAGATAAAGATAAAACTCCTGCAATTCGCCAACCTGACATCATGGCTCCCAAGATTGTTGAACCAATCCAGAATTTCATCACAAGAGAAGGGCAGAGTGCGAGATTTCAATGCAAAGTTGCTGGAACTGGTAAGTGAGAATGCAATTAAAAACCATTTCGATCTGGTTATCTTGATACTTGAAGAGTATAGACCAGTTACTGTTCTAGGACTAGATATAATCTAACTTGGAATGGATAACTAGTGATCAATTTTGTGTCTCAAATTTTAAGACTCGTTATTCAGGAAAAACAACGTCTTTTTTATATCATGTTATGTAACTAGACAGTGGTTCGCAAAATAGAAAGGTGGGCGCGCCCCAAGAGGGCGTAGACAGGGGGGGGGGCGTTTCCAGAGGACGTGAATCGAATTAAAAATAAAAATATTTGTTAGATTTGATCTTGCCCGCCTTATTCTGGATATTTACTTTTATATATTGTTTAGGAATTGCAGATTTGTTGTGCTTATATCTTTATTATATGTTTCATCCACGTATTTTCAACGTGTTTACATTTTTTCGCCTTAGTATCTGGTATTTATAGCTTATTGTTAGCTAGTTATTTTTGAGGTGAGGCGCGAGAGTTGACAAATTCTAAAAAGGATGCGCGACTTAAAAAGTTTAAGACCACTGAACTAGAATCATATGAATAAAATTTAACTTCATTCATTATGTTTTTCCAGATCCGAAAGTAACTTGGTACGTCAACGATAAACGCATCCAACCTTCTCGATACTTCAAAATTTCACAATTTCACGGAGTTTGTCAATTGGAAATCACAGAAGCTTACCCTGAGGACGAAGGCGTGTACCGTGTTACCGTCAGCAATGCAAAAGGGGAAGTCTCTTGCTCTGCAAAACTTCAGCTCGACAGTGAGTTATTTAACTCTAATGTCGACGGCTGCGTCGCCATTAGCCACGAAGCCACATCGGCTGAAATCACGCAATCACACGATAAAACTGAACTTGTGGTGCCGCAAATATCCCAAAGTACGTCCGACGTTACAGATGGTAGTACTCGCGTAGAAAACGTTACCGAAATTACCGATACGACAATTATTAGTGTAGATCGTACCGAAGTGTCTCAAACCGTAATAATAGAGTCTGAAACTACAGAGAATATAGAAGTTGTACAAGTTTCAGAATCTAAGATTATGGAACAAGATATTTCGGAACAAATTTTCGAATCCGAGACATCGATTGAAATGTCAAAATCAGTCGATATTTCGGAAAATTTACAATCAGAATGTACGGTGTCTAAATCTGAGGAGGGTTTCGTATCGGTAATGGTGGTAGAGAGGGAAGAATCGCAGTCCGAAAGGGTCGAAACACAATTGGAAATGGAAGGTTCCGAATTAACATCGGAAACCGAAAATAATACCCAAGTGGCCGAAAGCGACGCAGCCGTCATTGTGTGCAGTAGGTATAGGTCTAAATTTCTCTGTGACGTTGAGCGTACTTTGGGATTACAAGTAGTTGATTTTGAAATGTAAGAAATGATTACTTGCAGAAATCTGCAACAAAAGTTGCATCGTATTTCCGCAGAAAACTCGTGTGGGACCAAAATACACTCGAGAGCGAGATATACGATATCTTAACGAAATATGATACAACAAAATACCCGCATGCTTTTATGTTGTATTACACCTCGTATTATTCACTCCATTTTATTTTCTAATTTACTCATTTCGGATAAAGTTTTGCATGAAAAATTCGACTTAATCAAATTCTATGGCACTTTCGCCAAAATGAGAGCAATTATTACACTTCAATATGTCTTTGCATGTCACAGTACATTAATCATACTGTAAGATTTATATAATAGCTATATAATATATTTTTCTATAAATTTATGCATGAAATACCACCACAAATATTCTTCACTTCTTTATTTTTTATCTTTTTTTTCTTATATCTTGCATGATAATATACTCATCTTACTCAACTCCGCGCTTCTTTCACTCTCTCATATATAAAAACTGCACTGGTCGGGACAGTAGGGATTGTATTTCGCCGGATACAAATGGTAATATTCAAACGTAAAATGGTATTAAATCGATTTTCCTGGCTACCATGCGTTTGGTATCGTGATCCAATACATGATGTTTGGGTTAATCATGTCCTGCTTTTGTGAGCTAGACATTAAATACTAAACATGCAATCAAACTTTCAATTACTGAAAAGTTTATTTCAAATTACGGCTCGAGAAATACCCGGTAAATCGTCCGTTTTCGAAGCGAAATCTTAGGCGCAATTTCAGCCGTCTTAGCAGCAGTTAACTTCATCTTTCTGTCTGTTCTGCTTTCAACTTCAAACTCAATTGAGATATCATCTTTTCATCTGTTCTTTACTTCATCATCATCTGCTGTTCATTATCCATACTGATTTCTGTCACGTCATACAGGTACTTTTTCTTTTCTGTTTCTCACATTATTCTTGGCTACATTGGTATCTCATCAGTTATTTTTATACATAATCATTCATTATCATATTTTTTGTTAAATAAAGTAATACAACTGACATATAGAGACATTTATAGCACGCTATGTGATATTATTCCATTCCATGTTTTTCTGTTAATTTATCAAACTTCTGTTTGTATGGTTATTCATGGCTGATTTGTTATCAAAATCAATAATTTTATAACATCTATATTGGGCCAGTCGTTAAACGGTTTGACTTTTGAAACTAAAGAGACCAATCTGGCATTTTAATTTCATACCGTATGTTTGTCATTACATCAACGGACAATACCAAATTAATAACCAAATGTTGAATTGTAATTTGTACTTTTTGGCTACGACATTCACATTTATCTCCATTTTTTAGTTGCTCCGCCTCGAGTAATTGAGCCGTTGCAACCAGCACATGTGATTGAAGGAAGCCCCGTCAAGTTTGAATGTGTGATACACGGGGATCATCTTGATGTGAAGTGGTATTTAGAAGGACGTGACGTCACACGGGATTCGAGATACGAGGTGAGCAAAATTAATTGGAAGAGTAAACTGATTCGTAGATGAAGGTATTGAATAATGCAAATGCAATAGTTTTGTGGGTTATTGACTGAATTTAAATACTTGGCCTCTTCTAAATTTTTACTGACCAATTGCGACCAACTGCGATTGGGCATCGGCCATATTAATGTTCACCAAATGGACCAAATCAAAATCGAATTTCAATCTGCCCAATTATTATAGAAAACAGGTGCAAATTTGAACCAGATAAAGCCTTGATCAAGCAGAATATTTCTGCCTTGAAAAAGAGGTTTGTAGTGATCGTTATGAAGAAAATAAATTAAAAAATCTTTTCATAGCATACAATGCAGATATATCACTCGTTCCTCTGTCACGAGAAAATTCGAATTTTCTCGCTAAATTCCAGTGTGACTCAACAACCGTTTTTAAATTCCTTGTTTTTAATCGAGTTCAATTTAACAGTGGAAACTGGAAGAAAATGGCCATTGCTGGCTTGTTATAAAAGCATGCGGAACTGAAGACGCCGGTGAAGTTAGATGCCATTCGTCTAATGCTTCGGGCGAAGCTGTCTGCTCTACTGATCTTATTGTCTCTGGTGAGCAATGGCATTTCAATTATGCTTGTTTTATATCAAGCTTTAAGGGCGCTCCAGAGTTCGATACAAAATAGGGAGCTCCAGAAGTGTGTGTACCAATATGGAGTTAACTGATTTTGTTCGTCTACTTTACATCAAGTTGTGTAAAGGGACCGAAACCTATGGACTTAGGGTATATTCACTTGGCTAACACTGACAGTCTCCGAACTCGTATAGAATTAGAATACAGGAAGTCGGCGAAACCCTAACCTGGTACACACACTACGAGAGTACCGCTTCAAGTATCGATCGTATCATCAATACTTGAATGGGGTGTTTTACTGCATTTTTCATTTAAATTTTGCTTAAAAGAATGTTGTATGCAGCCTTGTCAAGATCAACTTGTTACTAAATTAATATTTGCTCCGGGAATGTCGCATGTAAACTTATTCAGGTGTTTGCAAAGTATTTTTTTTCATGCCAACATCATACTAAATATAGATACCATAATTACTAAAGGAAGGGGAACAATTATATTGACAGTAGGTAGCACAGTATGCGGAGTCGCATGTCCGAATTACTGTGATATAATCAGGCTGACTGTTCGTTTGTGGTTACTTTTCAGGTAAATTCAAAATATCCAAATAGGTATTAACGCAATTTTGTTTTAAATTAAAAAACGTTTTAAAAGCTACAACGGCTCCCTGAACTTTGTACATGCAGACGATATATATATATATATATATATTAGGGTTAAATACACACGTAATACGGGGGGTGATCGACTATCGTATTCGGAAGACGACTGGAAAATATAATACTGGAATTGTAATTATATTCCTGATGTTCAGCGATATTATGCCTGTCATTTAGAAAGTTAGACCACGGGATTCATGAGCAATTAGGCTTTAACATGGTATTATGCCTATCTATGTAACAGTTTGTGATTGGTATTTTTCAAGTCGGCATGTATAAACTGCGCTTTAGCAGACTTGCATGTTTTCCCCATCAATAGTGTATTAGAAAGTGATGGCATCTAAGTTAAACTTTTGTCCATGCGCCAGATTGTTTAGCTCGATTTTGCAAATCACAACTTCGAATGTTGAACACATTTATGGCCTTACTAATTGCACGTCGGGGGATCTTAGTGAGCAAAATACCAGAAAAAACTACAAAAGCTATTAATATTAACCCTAACCGATACCGTCGGGGGATCTTTGTGAGCGAAATACTAGAAAAACTACAAAAGCCGCTAATATCAACACTAACCAATACCGTCTTCACTCCAAGTGTGACGCCCAGTGTGACGTGTAACCCCAATTTATAAAATAAGCACAACCACTGGCAATGGTGGAGAGCGTATACAGTAGGGTAGGGAATATTTCTGCTTTACTTATCAGCAATTTATTTAGCTATTCTTATTAAATATTGAAAAGGGGATGCATTCAAGATCAGTATTGTAACCTATTTTAAATAATTCTGGGTCATATTGAGAAGCTAAATATATCGGAAATATCGGTCTAAGTTTAGCCGATACCGATACACTACCGATATCGAAAATTTGGCCGATATTGCCGATACCGATACATCGGTACATCTCTAGTTTGAACTATTTCTTATTTATTGTAGCTTTATTTACTCAACGTTACGGCGTTCCATCGTTAGAGTATTATTGCGACATCTGATTAACGGTATAGTATTGTCAGTCTAGCGTAGTATTATAGTTATAGTTATACCAGTAAAATGATAATTCTTTATTTGTACAATCTAAAAATGAACTAACATGGTGTCAATGTGCATGACATTTTTCGCCATCGCTTCATTTCCACGCTTTCCGTGCATGTTTACGAACTCAACTGCTGGGGTTGCTTTATTTCGACTTCAAGGGTTTATGCTGAGCATGTAATTCAACGAAACAATGGATTTTTTTCAAAATGCTTTGCTGGTGAGTGCCTTTCTTGCATGATTACTTTATTTTCGGATCAGTCTTTTTCCTTTGTTCATTTTTATCTTTTGATATTTAACAAAAAATGATGGAGTGGATCTTGTGGATTCATAAAATATGGATGAGATTAAAAAATAGCAATGTTAAATATTTTCATCGGCCATATTTAAAACGTTAATACAATTTTATCTTTGATGTTCCGTTTTATTCCAATAAATTACAATGATTACATAACATATTAATGAGGTTCTAATGGGCCATACTTTGAAAACATGTTTTGGGCTGATACTAATCTTTGGTATTGAACTTATTTGGTGTCTGGAATATCTTGCATGTTTAATTTCATAAGAGTTTGTTTTAATTTGTTTTCAAATTAGTATTTTTTGAGTGTACATTTGCCCATTCATTTTAGTAAAAGAGGAACTTGACGAGAAACGTAAAACTTATTTGAATCAAATTGAAATGCAATTGGATAAAAATCCTGGTGTTTACGAAATAACCGTTCCTGTGCCCGAGAAAAACGTAAGTACACTATTCATCTATATCCAGCATTAATTGTCCAATAAAAATCAAGGATGTCACAAATCTATGATTATTCAAATGTCATGACGCAAAGCTATACAGGGTGTCCATGAAGTTCCTTTACAATTTCATTTTTGTTATGAAGTAAGTTCTCAATATATCTTAACCAGATTTGTTGTATTTTAATCAGTAAATGTTTGGGTATTTTTAGTTCATTTGATACATCTGTGAGAACCAAAACAAAATATGGTATCGATAAATTCCCTTTGTAAGTTTTTAAAGACTTTATGGACACCCTATATATTTTCTCGCATACCTGGGAAAGAAAATGAAAATGGAATTAATTCGAATCGTTCATCAAAGTGGATGCTAATTGCTAGTACAGGGCCTTGTTCGAAGAGAAAGGCGCGAATAAGCGTAATATAAAAAGCCACGATACTTCTTGAATAGTCAGAATCGCGTGTGGGTTGGCTGAAGTTTTCAGGACCCGATGGTTACCGAAAGATCACTCATGTCATATGTTGATGTAATTCAATATTTACAGAAATCACCAGATTTCAAATTTAGAAATATTAGTTAAGAGTATTTTTCTTGTTCTATTTCTTGTTGTTTATGCCAAAAGATACTCCCGTAGTATGTGAATCTAGATGGCGGACACCGGAACGTAGTATGTGTACCTGGTTGGGGTTAGGCCATAATTTTAGGTACAAATACTACACGATTCACTTGGCTCGTCCCCGAACTTGTAATAGAACTAAAATAAGAAAAATTGGAATAAAATTATGGCCTAACCTAATCTGGTACAGTACTACGTCCCGGTGTCCGCCATCTTGGTTCGCATACTACGGGAGTACCTGCCAAAAAGTCGTTCTGTATTTTGTTAAAACTCGTAGAACGTCGATGGTCAGACAGTTTCTTATTTCCAAAATAGTAGATGACTAAAATCCTTTAACAATAAAATTCTGTTTTCGATTTTTTGGCGTAAAACCCTAAATAAATTTGTTAAATATTTATGCTTATTGTTGACGCGCTTACTTCCAGATTATGACAGAATTCTCTCCAATGATAGCTGAATCTTGCAAGAACACCACTGTTCGCGAAGGCCGGGAGGCGCACTTTCAAGTTCGCCTTGCTTCTATGCCAGAACCTCAAATCACGTGGTATAAAGACGGAACGCCTATTGGTCCAGACCATAGCTCCCCTAAATATAAATTTTATTATCGAACAAGGGAACATTCCCACACCAGGGGAATCGTTATATCAGATGTGCGACACAGTGATGTTGGACATTACGAAATTCGTGCATGGAATCGGCTTGGTCGTGCTTCTTGCTCGGCGAGTCTCAATGTGCAAGGTAACTGGATGGCTCATTGGGTTATACAACATTAGCAAGTTTTATATTTGGATTGGAAAAAATTTGATGGAGAAACATTGTGTAACTAATTAATTTGTGATTGATGTAATACCCAAATGTAACTGAAGTTTCTTTCACCATACACAAAATATAATATAACATTCTATATTTGGTTATACATTCTGTTCTGATGCGGTAGTAATTGCATTTTGAAGTATGTCCTTGATGGAAATTATGATATGTTTTTGAACTATTTCAATAAAACCAACATTGTGCAATGGTACTTGTATTATTGATCTCAAATTTTCCGGATTATCTACCGCTACTTTTGGGAAACAAACTTTGTAATTAGTTCATAAATACTTTCTTTTCTTTTTCTAACTGTTTCTTGTTTTTTCTTCTCATTTTCCATATTCATTTCATTTCCTTCCCGATTTCATCTTTTCAATCCTTGTCGCACATACGATAATCACGCATCGCGGCCACATCAGGCTTAGATGCTTCGCCTCACGCAGACTCTCACGAAGTACAACACAAAGCGCTGGAAGCTCAGCACGACAAAGCAGAATCAGTCGAACAGAGACGTCATATTAGTCACGTGACAACCAGATTGATCAAGGCAAAACCGCCTCAAACCGGTCCGACCCAGAAGGTTCCAGTTTCTCCGCAGATAGAGAAAACTAAACAAGAGGAAGATATGAGACCACCTTCTCCAGGAAAACGTGGTATTAGCATGCGATTTATTATGCCAAAACGTCCGCCTCTGCCGCCTCTGAAAAGCAGTTTATCGGACACTACATTAGCTCAGTCACGAATGAGCAAACGTGTGTCGTTCTCTGAGAGGGATGATTACTTGCTGATTTCACCTGGACCACAGTCTGATACGGAATCGTTCCAAGATTCAATTGGAAGTGATAGCAGCGATCATGAGGATGTATCCCCTTCGCCTACTTTTGTCGAAGCCATTTCTACACAGCCAACTAAGAAATTTTTTGACTTGTATCAGAAAACACAAGAAGAAGTAAAAGAAGTTTACACTAGCGGAATTTCTACGTTCAAAATGGACGTAAAAGGCGTTCAGAAATACCCTGAAATGGTTGTAAAAGTTGGAACTAAAGGAAAGGCACCACAAGAGCCTTCTGATGAACCAACCGAATATATATCGACTTACGAACGCGAACCTGCTGGTGAGCCCCAGGC